AACAGGAATCAGTAAACATTACGCAAATCTTAAAAATCACGTTTAAAACTCGTATTTTTGTAAACGGAAGACGCTAATGCTTCGAAGCTAGGCTACTAATTGATCCTGATTGGTGATAATTATATAGATACATCCGGAAAACGTACCGTATGTCTATAATCTACTCAACCATAATGGATTAAGTATCGTGCTCTTTTCAATAAGTTTTGCTTTTCGCCCGGCCCTCGGGGATGAACGGGTCGGGAATTTAGAGATCTCCAAAGTATTAAAAATCCAAAATGGCCGCCTAAATGTGGGAATTTGAGTAAATCTATCACTTAAAAAATAACATATACATTATGGCAACACACATACTTTTTGTACAGTAGTATCATATTTTGCTTAGTTTTCAAATAATAAACCCTTGAATAAGAGCTTTCATAAACATATACTACACTTTATTTTGATTGGCCAGAAAATGATAATTTACAAGTATATGTGAATGGTACTTCGAGTGATTCATCGATGCATCTTTGAGTTTTTGTTTCCCAGTGTTGACTTAGTTTGATCTGTTTAAATACAAACAAATGCCTTTGGCATTTTTGTAAAAAAAAAGCGTACAACATTCAAGATAGAGCCCCTATTTTGAGCAGCAATACATGTCACGCAAAGAATCGTGGGTTGTACATGTAGTACATCTTTATAGATTTACCAAATAAAACGTAATCATAAAAATTCTATTTTTCATTTAATCATGATTTACAACTTTCAAAATGCATTATTATTTGATTCTTTGATGATATATGGACATTAGTAATAAATGCTATTTGACCCACTGTGTATAATAGGTTAATAGTAGTACTCAGGTGGTATATTAATAGATTTGTTTTGTATCAAAACAATACATATCTATTAGGTGACCTGGTAAGTAGATGAATCTAACTGTTATAACTTCAGGTATGCTCTCATTTATTACTGTTTATAGCACCTCAGTGATTTGGATATAAAAATGAATAGTTCGCATGCCGATGTCAGGAAATAAAGCCCCTTGTGTTGTAACCCCCACTTCAACTGGTCTTAAAGGGCCAATAGCTGTAATCATATCAGCGGTCATGATTGTACATTGAACCCATCCCATAAAAATCAGTCCAGTTTTTTGGGAAAACGATGCTCCCAACTTGGGAAGACTCTTTAAATAAAAAAATTATCCACTTTCCTAACAGAATTGAAGAATATACATATTTTCTCAACAACGACAATAGCAAAGCAAATGATTTTGATTCCTTACAAGTGAGAAATGGTATTTTGCTGGCGGAAGGTTTGCTCTCTATCGCCATTCCGATTTCTTTCCATTACTTAAGAAAATCGCAAAACAGAAAATCGCAAAACTAATGCGTGTCCAAGGTCACTCTAACCTATTTTGCACCTAATTTGACCTACCTCGTGACAAAGGATGATCTAAATATATCCAATGTGAATCTTTTAAACAAGTTCTTCATTCAACGGAGGAAGCGTCTAGTCAGTCTGTTGGATACATACTACCCCTCTCCCTCTCCCCCATTTGCAGTTCGTGTAATTAAAAGGGATGGCTTACATTGGGGTCATGACACATTAATTTACAAAGTAAAAATAATTTTCGTACAAGTATATAAAGTACAATAAAATTACTAAAAATATATAAAAGAATTCATTCCGAAATGAGACATATGTAGGTGTAGTATCTTACCGTGAACTTGAGGTAGAAAAATTAGAGCTGCCAATAAACTCTGCAAAACCAAACCGAACATCTCGTCAATTAAATTATATTTATCATAATCCAACTTCTTTTATTCTTTAAGTCCGAGGGCAGCTTCTCAGTTCCTTTCTGGAAGAGCAGTGTAGCGAATGAGAATATTTCTTTGGTCACGTGACTTAATTAACGGTTTACCGCTCATTACTTAGCTTTGTTGTCCCATTGTAAACTTGATATTTTCAGTCGTATCCTTAATGATTGCTAAATGACGGTTCTTGTCGTTTGAAATACATTAAGTAGTATTTACGTAGCTGGTTGGATTACAAAGAGAGACATTAAACACCTCCATCAAACTACTGTTTCTAACTTCGTTTTCACAACAAAGGTGATAATTACATAAGTCCTGATCATGATCAATGTTAAAGATTTCCAATATCCCTGTGATATATCATTCAAAATTGTTTCACTGCAAACATCTTTTCTCCGTTTGTTGCCTTATTGACTCAGCTACCTTGATGTTTTACTCCTTCGTGTGATTTATGCATCGTGTTAATTCCTAATGTAAGTTTTCTCCTTTCGTAGTTCTAAATCAGAGGACTCCAGGGAGCGTCTGACGTTCATGTACAGTATGCCTGCCAAGCATCGTGACTAAACTTCCACAAAATGACAGCGTACATTGACCATCGTTGTTCTTATTATCCCGTACTTACTTAAAATAAATAATAGTTTATTTTCTTCCGTAATTCGCGAAATCAACATTTTCACCAATCATCCGAAAATATAAATAAACAATATATATACTGTATGTGAACTATTAAAAAGAACACGTCAATGTCCTTAAATAAATTTGTGAATATCTTATAAGGCCAAGGAAGATTAGCTCCCAGGGTTCCAACTTAATATTCTGCCATATATATATTCGCGATCGTGATTCCAAAATTCAAAATCAAACAGCCACTACGCCATTTTTCAGTTTCATTTGAATCGCAAATTTTGGTCTTATTTCCAAACAAAAATTCAAAACACACAAAAAGTGTTCAAGACATAAGGTCAAATCTTTTGTACCACTGATTTTGAATTTATAATCGATTAAAATGTCAGAAAATGATGACATTTTCAATATTGTCGTCGACGAAGGTCAAGGTCGCTATCCGGGTCGCTAGGATATCAGCCATTCTCCTTGCAGTTCATTCATGCAAACTTTACAGTAGAAATCAGCACTGAACAAAGTCCTTGGAGATCAGAAATATCAAGTTGGAACCCTGGGAGCCAATCCTCTTTTTTAAAGGTAACACATACACTGTATTATCTGAAAAGAAACCATTGAGGCTGAATCGGCACACGGTTCTTACCACTGAATGCGTATTTACGTCACAGGGTGGGGTTTCGCCACATGATGAATTATTAAAGTAATCGAATGGTATTGAGAATTGTCGGTTTCCTTTGATTAGAAAAGTGGCAGCTAGGTTTCTGCATGTCGCGATTGAAATGAACTAGTTCATGCAATGTTTTTTCTCTTTTAATCATTTTTCGGTCTATATTTTGGTGTATATGTAGAAGCACTTCACTGTTTTATATATGCGTGTGTTTATAAATGGTATACCCTTTGAGCTTTGTATGGAATAAGACAAGTTGAATTGAACTTGAATTTGTTTTCTGTGCAAAAGTGTACGAGTTTCCAAAAGTGTAGACTTGGTTTTTCTCAACGGCCATCAACTCAATGGTAGCCGAAATTTGGATTTTGAAGGTAATTATTAATGATATCGAATCGAAGTCGAACGTATAACAACTTCATTATAATCTGGGTTCAGATGCATGTAACATCATGTAATTGTTTCAAAATTAATTGCAATCTATTCCAAATTTCAAGTCGATTCCAGCATCGTTCCAAACGATTCATCCAAAACGCATAATATCTTAATTTGAAAAAATGTATCGAATACTTTTCTAAGATTCTGGGTAAATTGTACATATCCACAAGCATCTTTAAAGTTACAAAGTCATAGTCATGCTACACTAGCCTGCACCTGTATAATGTATCAGTTACAGTTATCATTGTGAACGAAGAATTAACCGCACAGTAGCAGACCCACTCCCCCACCCCCAGCCACTACGTCTCGCTACGTTCCTAAAACTTCTTGCCAAACTGGCTAAAACTATACTCCTCAAAAAAAGTTAAGGACCAGTGGTTTTCCTCATAGGTTTGTTTAACATTTGTTTAACATGGGATCTGCCATTTTCGTTAAATTTCATGAAATTCATCAATTTTGACATCAAATTTTGACCCAATGTAATGGAGATATAACATTGAAACGTTGCGGACTTTATAGGGAATAGAATCAAGATACAGATTTATTTTCTTTATTGGGATTTATTTTGTTCCACGCTTAGAAAATAGTCGTTCAAACAAATATGGGGGTTGACATGTAAACCTATGAGGAAAACCACTGGTCCTTAACTTTTTTTGAGGAGTACTATATGCGAAAGTAGTTTGAACTCATTAGGATCTTTTTTCATGCATTTGCTCTGACGGGAAGTTACTGCAGAACTTCTAGCCTGCACAACATTTTCTGGTGCCCATTCCGTTCTATACCCTTTGCATTAGTTCGACCTCGCTTCTTATGGAGAGCTTCGTCTTCGGTAGTTTATTACTAGATCCTGCGCAATAAGACCGAGTAACAATTACGAACCTAAAACAAGATGAACGTACTAAGAACGGAATTGTCGTACTTCGATATTACTAAAGGACATGTGACGAGCCAATTTCTTCTGACGTCCATTCCGTTTTAGCAATTGGTCATCCTGTTCTCAGACAGACCCAACTGACAGAATTACGTTCTTAGTCAGTCAATAATCCGTGCAAATGCGTTCAAAACAAAATGTAGATCTGAAGGACGTGTCAACATAATTTCTAAACGTTTGTAAAGGTTTGCATTGGTTTTTTATTAAGATCGACTCGTTTTTAGTTGGTTCGAATATTGGAAGAGCTCGTATCGTTAACCCTACCATCACACCAAACTAGTAGTAAACTAATGTAAATTATGTACGATGTTGCCATCTATTACTAATTGTGGAGTTAATGCATAGTATTGTGATCGAAGATTTACTTTTACTTCTGGGTGTGCGCTGTTCGAATTGTCCATAATTTGTGTACATTGATTTGGCATCGCCACTGATTCTAAAATTTGAAAAGGATGAATCATCATCAACCCAAATCATCACCAAAATGTTAATAACAATACTCAGAATGAACTTCTTGATTTAACGAAACTTGATGTATCTGACAATATTGCTCTTGACCGAGATTCACAACTTCAATTGCAGAAATCATTGAATAAACCCGTTTACTTCTTCCACTCCGTACAGTTATTCTCGCAGTTAGTTCAGTTTTTCTTAATGTTTGTATGATCAGCCCCATCATAATAAACCGTGACATCTCATTTCTTCTCAGCCCTGAGATGTTTCAGGTGAAACAGAAAGATGCTAGGAGTATCAGATCAGAATGGATCAGCCCCAAATTCAAAAATACATATCAACTTTATATTAGGCCTAATAAACATATCATAATGTGAAAGAACACTACCAAGTATGATATCGGTTATACGCAGGTTGATGTGCTTGATATGAAAGATAAGATAACGATAAGATATAATACACAAGATACTTGTATATAATATAAGATAAATCTTCAACATCATAATCTTTCTGCTGCTCGCCTGTACCAAAAACTTATAAAGTAATACAATATGATAAATTGACAATACTAGCATATATCTATAACAATATGACCGCTGCACAAAAAATGTGATTGGCATTGTTCATCGTCTCTGAGTGTGGTTGAAAATTTACATGTAGCTATGGATATATGGAAGCAATTGTCGTGCGTACGTGAAGTTGAGGATTCTTATGATGACGATGACAGCGTCAAAGATACTTGGACCATTAACAGTTGCTGCACAGTTAAACAAAACGTAGGTGTAAACAATTGATATACAGTAAACATGTCTAATCTGAACGCCATTGGGACCGGCTAAAAGCCTTCAGATTAGGAGGTGTTCATATTTTGAGGTTTTTGCATTCGCGAGATTCCTGATCCTGAAGAAATGATCAGTAAATATTTATAGTTCTTTTGACCACATAGCTTTATGGCATTCCAGAAATTCGTTTCAAATAAGATCTAGTCATGCTGGAAAGCCCCATTATGATTGAGACCATTCAAGAGTTTTTTCCAAAAGTATTGATATCATGACAATATTTGAGCAATTTTGTAAGAAACATCAGAAATTTTATGAAAAGTGTTCAGATTAAACAGGTGAATTTTTCAAATATGACAGTTCACTGTTCAAATTGGGAGGTGTTCACATTTCAAGGTTTTTTAAACATGGGAGGAAAAAATGGGACCGAAAAAAGTTTTCAGATTGAGAGGTGTTGGGACCAGCCAGGTGTTCAGATATACAGGTTCTACTGTAATAGTTTGGTCATTACTCTCGAGGAATTATATAAGGTAGGATGTATAACTTTAGCAAGAGTCAGATGTCCAGAAATAATCTCTTCATATTTCATCATTTTCAGGAAAGCAACAAACTTGATAAAATTCATGAAGATCACCCCAAATCAATTGCCTCGAAATTATATCTTACTCAGAGCATGTGTTTCTACAACTGCGCCAAGGTTGTTGCTTTCCTGAAAAAATGAAATATAAAAGGGACACCCGACTCCGTTATTAGTTACGTCAATCATGGAGGTTTTATCCTCTGGGACAATCACAACTTTTCACTCAATGGTAATTTGCAACTGTTGTTTTCTTTTTAGCGACTGTCTTTACTGTCTACATCAAGGCGTTCATCGTCATCCTCATCGACATCATCGGATTCAGATGGTTCCTATACGGTATGGGGAGTTGCCAAACCTATAACATCATATCCAAGGGAGGATATACATTCTCTGCTCCATGTGAGTATCCATGATGATGAAAACGATGGGAACGTAAACCTGGATGATGTGAAGCACGCTGTTCCGGTACCTATCATTGAAGTATCACCTTACGATGATGATGTTTTAGAGAATCAACGGGCAAAGAGTATGGACGATCTGGATGCCTTGGAAGTACCGATGACTGTTCAATCCCATTCAAGATATCAAGCCAGACGATCTACCGACGCACATGTACTAGACCTAAAGACGCAAAAACATTTGAAGAAGAAATTTTCCCGTGCTAACATAAATAAACCGCCTGGTAGGCAACTCCTGGCACCCTCTTTAGACGTTAAGGCAACATTAAGAAAAAGTTTCGAGAATTTGCTTGGGAAAATTGGTGAACACGTCCATTGTAAGTTGGCTTAGTATTTCCACTTTTTCTTCGTTGCTTATTCTCGATAGAAAGAAGCCCATTGTTGCTATCCTTAACATAATTGTTCATTTTTGCCATTTTAGTCGGTAGGAGTAGCAGTCGTTTAGATTGCCGAGTTCAACCAACATGGCCACCGTCGTCTGCTGAAATTGAAAACGAGGTAGAAGAACTCAAGAAATGTCTCTTTGCGAAAGATGATACGAATGCAGAACTGGTGGAACATAGAAATTGCCAATCCCTTCGCAAACCTCCTAGGTTCTTATCTAACACTTCAACGCTCGTTAACAACATTTTGCAAAGCTTTGTTCAACCTTATGTATACAATAATGACACTGTTTTGACAGAGTTACCCAGCGTTTTGGATTCTGATGATATAAAATATGAATTCGAGGAAAATGGTGATGCAGTCATCATTAATCAAAATAACAATGCTGTTGTTTATCTCGCAAAAGACGCTCGTGATAGATTCGTTGTGGTAACATGTACATTTTCTAATGGTCTGCTAGACTGGGTAGATGTTATTAATAAGGGGCGTGTTGCTGAACATCTTGGTCTATTAGATGTTACAGGTGTAATACCTTTAGACCCATTAGACTCTGAAAGATTCCATTTTACAGCAATAGTGTCCATCTATAGTGGGCAACCAGAGACTTATAATGACTTCTGTTCTGTCTGAAATCCATACAAAAAGATGTTATAAATTAAAATTATCAAAATAAAACATATTTGTATATCATAAATGTGACAGGTATTTTGTGTTTGTTATTTAAAAGCACGATATTGAAACTGTTATTTTAATATGTTTTTCATCTTGGACATATACCATGTATACAACAATGCTAGTATATTGCAGGGAGGTCTTATTTTAACGCTTCAGCAAAAAGAGACTCCAAATGGTCTATTGAGTTGAAATTATAATATGAAAATATGTCGATTTTTTTCTCGATACCTGTATTGTGTCGTATCACTGTTAAAGCAAATGGTTTTACACACTAAAGTAAAATACCAGAATACCACTAAAAGAAAACACTACTTTGAAAACGAATGATTTATTAAATCAATGATGTTATTCCATTAATACTGTAGATCCAACATTTCTAAAATTAGGTGACATATCAATTGTTAATTACACGTGTATTAATTATACCATAATTCTAACAGTATTGTAATATTTTCACAAGAACTGGAGCTGAAGATGATCTTCAATTATAAAAAACTTTTTATCGCTATTTATTATATAGAAACATGCGTAATTGATTGGTTTCAAACGTACGGCATTGACGACCTGTATTTGAAAACTGCAGTGATGTATCGTGTATGTCAGTCTATCAAGACCATATCCAGTGTGTTTACAGGCTTCTTCATAATAGTATCTCCCTCCCTGTTGCCACAACACGAGTTTGGGCGCGAGTAACCCTAAACCTTCGTCTACTCATCCGTGTGATAGAAACAATGTAGCACATCATGAGGCCAATCAATAAGAAGACCAAAACGGCGACAGTGAAAACATATCCATCTTGATACAGCTCATCTTTCCAAGTTTTAATGGGTGCTTTGGTTGTTGTAAATGCTTCAAAGATTGTCATAGGCGTGTCAGCATTTGAAATTGAGCTGAAGTTTGTGGCCTCTCCAACTGCCTCTTTTGGTGTATCATTCACGACTATATCGGTATCATTGAAGATATCATGATGATGATATTGAATGTCGTCTGTTACGTTGTACATGATTGTTAAAGATAGAGGAACTGAGTTTAATGATGTTATAATTGAGAAAAGTACGATCACACTCAATCAATTCCCTGCAGACGAACCTGAAAAATAACACAAGACGTATCCGTTTACATATTTATATGCATAGTTACATTATAACCCTACTATCACACCAAACTAGTTTTCACTACGTTCTCGCTAAACGGGCTTAAACTGTGCACGAACGGATTTGACGTACTAAGAACCCACTAAGAACCGTTTGGGATCTGTTTACAAACTTCATGAAACTACTAGAACGAGTAGGTCCTCCAGCACTTCGAGCATGCTAAAAAAAATTCTGGCGATCGTCAAAACGTTGCCGAATCGGTTTCAAACGGTGTGCGAACTGAATGAACGTAGCTACAACGTTCTACGGTCTGTTTACGAACTTCATGGACTTTCCCGGACGGGGTATGTGATTTAGAATTTTGAATCGATTCAAAATTCGATGGCGACCATACCGTTCTGTAATCAGGTCATGATGACCTTCTAGACTAAGGGACGGTTTATACTACGTTGCACAGCGACGTGGTGCGACCTGGACGAACTGCGGATGAGATGGACGTATTGAGGACTGTTTATGAACGAAGTAGCTAATTATTTTAGACATATATCCCGACAGCAGCCAGATTGAGCCCGTTTTACGACATTTTCGTAGGACTGGCAAGAACGGGTAAGAACTAGTTTGGTGTGATAGGGGGTTAACATAGTTTCAGTTATGAACCCTTTAACAATCTACAGAAACAAATGTACTTTGTTTATTTTTTGTACATCTTCAAAAATGGTTAATATGAAATAAACACTCACTAACTCACTTTGAAATGTAGTCTTGATATAATTATATTATATAACTATAGTATATTCACATTTATATTTAGTTGCACGGGGACATACTCCATCTGGATGTCTAGTCGCTTGTCAAATTCATGGCATGTTGGAGACTATTACAATAGGAAGGTTAAGTTACACGTTTGTAGAGAACCTGCAATATTTGACTCACGGAATTAGGATTACTGTCCCGCTCTCAATTCACGTTTCCAGATACCGAGTTACAATTATTTTCCATTTACCTTTATATTCAATTGGCTAAATAAACATCACAAATGGGAGAACTCATCCAGACCACTGGCAATGAACGGACCAACACATACATGTAGTCCATGGTATGAAATCTCTAGGACGTCTAATAAAGGAGTTGGTAGCACACTATAGCGCAGCGATATTTGACCTTACATAAACATACCTACATATGTCCTCTAATAATTTTTATTATAACTGTTCAATATACTTCCGGCTTCTAGGCTGAATTATGCCTGCCATTAACAGAGGTCAAAAAAGATCCAAAAAATTAAATCCCAATTTTTCACAATTTGGAGTACACAATGCAACAGAAAATAATACAAAATGATTTTAAATATATGATTTAGGTTTCTAAGCCATAAGTTCGAGGTTATTTTTCTTATCAATACCCAAAAATATGTAATCAGTGTATCGACGTTTTGTATTGTTTCTCAGGTATTAATAAGATAAATGCCACAAATGAATCACTTTTATATTGGAATGACAAATGTTTAAATTATGCTAGCTTTTCACAAAAGGGGTCTCAATAAGTTTTGAGATATGGACTTTTATTCAGCAGTGAAAATTATCAGTAAATGCGGGCCTATTGCTCTTCCTTGACTAATTGGGACTACAGCTAAAATTCTATTTCCCGTAGTTAGATATAGCTCAGTTGCTTATAAAACAACCATCAAGACTTGATCGAATTAATGAATAATTGAGAAAAATCGTTATCATTATCTTCCTAAAATTTGATTGTATCCAGCGGTAAGGTCAAAGAACAAACCAGCCATCAGAAAACTTGATGATAGCCAAACGTCGAGGAAGAATTTCAAGGCGTTCGATTGCATATGACTCTAATCGATTATTAGACATGCCCTTGGAATATATGAACATTCCAATACCTCTATAACATTTAATTAGATATAAATCTTACCTATTTGTTATTGTAATTATGTTTTGTAAAACATGAACAATAATTTGCTATTAGACCCATTGCGATTATATGGAAAAATTCTGGTATTAAAATGTTTTAAGTGGTAAGAAAACTAATATGTTCCCAATCATAAATTACCTAAATATTCCACATAATTTTGTTGAATCGGCTTGGCTTATATTTGAAAAATCTGAAAAACACACTTGCATAATTACACTAATTAAACACCGACATCTACGGTAAAATTAAATAGTATATTTTAAAATCATGATAATTTATTCTTGTTCGTATGCTTAGAATAACGGTCTGTGTCTTATAAAATGTATAAAAGTTCGAATCAAAATATTTACGTTTTTTGACCCCTTGTGATGAAAGACGTTTTTCGACCCGAAAGCCGGAAGTTTCAGCAAATGGTATTTTAAAAGAATCGAGACACGTACACCTTCATAAATATTGCTTCAAATGTTGCTGCGCTATAGTGTGCTACGGATCCTTCATATTCGGAAGTCATACCATGGACTAATGTATGCGTCATTCTGTTCTGATACAATATTGGCCATCTCTATCTTACAATAAAGAGGACTGATAAAAAAGAATGCCGAAGCGTACATTATTTTTGACAATCAACTTACCTGTTGAGGACTGTACCTCCAACGGAAAAGTAGCCGAGAATTGAAGATAGCTTGGTCTTTCTCAGCAAGTTGAACTTGTGTACTACTTTGCAAAATATAAACAGCCCTAATTATCGTTCAACGGAACAGCTAATTTTCTCAAATTGTGAATGAACTCATTTGAAATATTATATGTAGAATGGATCAAGGGCAATGTTTCAATACACTGTGTCAAACATTTGTTTTTTGTTTGATTGTAATGTCGTGTATTTATAGTAGTTGGAGGAAAAACCTATATCACTTTGTGGAAAAACCAGCATGTTGAAGATAAGATCGTATAATACGATTATAAGGATGTATCAAAAATAAATTTGAATTGTCTCGCTTTTCTTTGACTCAAATGGTAAAATAAATTTTAAAAACCAACTTTGATTAATTTGCTTTTTCAATCAGTAAAAGTTTTAAGGTAGTTCCGTACGTTCAGAAATTTTAATGGCTTCCCAATAGAGGGGTTTCCATGTACACTCCCTTCCATAAGTTTGGCAACCTTAGCTACCCCATTGAACTACGTGTTAAAGCCTCTTTACGTTTGAATTTTTATTCACTTAACCTGAACTTATAATATTGATTGAAACGTAACTTGACTTTATTTCCAATACCTTCAAATTTTCCCAATTTTTTCCTCGATTACAATAGGTCGAAAATTGATGATAAATTTGATGAACTTTTGAGAATCGTCATTCCCATGTAAACCAATGGGAAATGGTGGGTTCGGGGCAAATCAGAAATCAGGATATCTATTCAGTAACAGATTCAGCAAAAAATATTTTTATATAGAAAATTGAATTGTCTAACTTTTTGTCCACTAAGTGTTTAGCTTACTTGATGAATACTAAAGTTACAGAGTTTCAAAGTCATTTTTGAAAATCATTTTTCGCCTCCTGTGTTATTTCAAAGGGAGAGATTTTTTGAAAAACAATTTTGACTTTAAAGACCTATAACTTTGCTGATCCTGAAGAAAGGTATCAATATTTTGTTAAATAAAGTTAGCAAATTCAATTGCCTACCTAACTTGTATTTTTTCAAAGGACTTGAAGTGATGGATATTCTGTCATATGACTTGCGGCAAACCTACCATTTTCCATTGGTTAACATGGGAATGTCGATTCTCAAAAATTCAACAAATTTATCATCAATTTTCGACCTATTTACCCTGCGTGTAGAGTCTAGTTAAACGAAGCTCTCTTTTAAGAAGTGAAGTCAAACGAATGCAAAGGGTACGACCTATTGTAGTTGAGGAAAAAATTGAGAAAATTTGGAGGTATTGGAAATAAAGTCAAACTACGTTTCAATCAATAGTATAAGTATTTGCATCGCAGGTTAAGTAAATAAAAATTCAAAAGTAAAGAGGCTTTAACACGTAGTTCAATGGGGGAGCTAAGGTTGCCAAACTTATGGAGGGGAGTGTAGCTTTGAAATCCCGCTAATTCTCGTTTTCTTGTGATTTTAAGAGATTTGCACGTTTAACCTTTAACATTGACAACTAATTTTTCTTTCTTTTTAATAGCACATTTGACCTTGGCTTATTTGTTTGACAACCAAACATTTCATGATTAATCGCAATAGGTTCATCCCATAGTATACCATTTGAGTTTCATAACGCGTTTTCTTAAATCATTAAATTAAGTGACAACAAACGAAGAATGACAAGCAGGACAAGGGTGACATCTATTATGTCAGCTTTATTCAGATATTTAGAAACAAGTCCCGTGTTATTTTCAGGTACATATAACTCATTCCATGCATGGTCTACATCTTTCAGTTTTGCACAAAGAATGTATCAGTTAATCTGAAAATACAGGATCAAATCCACCTTTACGTCTTTGGTGGGAGGATAGGTTAATGTAATGGGACAATATTTCGAAAATATTTTACAAACTATTGATTCCTTATTTTGTTACTTTCATAGCTGTGATATTGGCATTTACTGAAGGTAGATTCTGGGGAAAAATGACGTGACACGTGAAATGACACAGTAAAATGTCATATTTTCATTGTATTTGTCTTATTTGTCCAAAAATGTTCGACTTCAAAATATGTAAAAATTGCCTCTTTTTCATGATAGGATTGTTCAATTAACTTTGTAACTAGCAGACTCACGTAATGTTATTATACCCTTATTCCGGACACTATCCCTTCCATTATAATCATCTTGATTCACAAGCATTCAGTTGCTCCAGCCTAAGGTCTTTAGCATTCTGATACTCATCACAGCCTTCTGCCTTCAGCTAGAAATATCTTCTAGAGAGAAAAAAGCCATGATTTCTCATGATGGGTCTTTAGACCTAGTGGAAAGAGACAATGCCATTACATAATTTAAGGGGTATGAAAAAATGGTATATTAGAAGCATTGTTTATCAAGATATGGGATGTATACGCGGAGGCTTGATGGCGATAGAAATAATTCTAAATAAAGATGGCAATGCGATCAATCATCAAAAGGCTTCGACATTTCTATTTCAATTCAGATTGAAGTGAAATACCCGGGGAAATACCCTTTCTGAATACACATTCTAAATGATACTCAGAACATATTTGCCTTGCTTAGAATGCCATAATCTTTCTTATTGTGATGTTATCCGTTTTGACAAAAGCGGTGGAATATTCTGTTATCTGATATGACTACCAGGCCTGTTTTGAGGGAGGTGAGGTCGTTTTTCCTTTTCCGTGCAAAAACATTTCCCACGGCTTCGGTAGAGAAAAAATGCCTCTATGGGGGGGGCCTCTCTGTAAAAATTGTTTCGAAGGCCCACTTTTCCAAAAATAAGACATTGTGACTTTTAAGGCTTCGTATCTATGAGCTTTTGGAGGACCAGCGTTTTACTTTATTGAGAAGATAAAAGGGGCTCCGATAAATCAGATTCAATGGTTCACATTAAAAAAAGCAAAAACACGCCTTGTGATTGCAGCGTCTGTGGAGATCTCGAAGATAAACTGAACAGATTATTTAAACATGCAATCTCTGAGTGACACAAATTAGATCTATGACAGCTAAGTAACGGAATGATAACCATCTCTCCATCAACTAAAACTGACAATCATGTCTTTCATATTTCCAATTAAACATGCAGATTTGAACCTGGAAGTTAACAAGTGGGGGAGGACAAATACGTTTTCGAAATATCATTTTTTATTAAAGGCAGAATCGGATCTATAGGGAGTGACAAGCGAGCAATAGGGCAATATGTATAATTGACCTACCAATGTATTCCTCAGAAGCTCGAATGTAATATCAGTCTCAAAACATCCGTGATTTGTTCAATTCAATCAATTAATGAAGTTGTTTAAGATTCAAAGTGCAAAAATGGGGGAAATATTCAAATCTCCCAAATAATAAGAATGGTAACCATTCTTATAGACAAATGATTGCATTGTAAAAATCTTTAGTTTTCCCAAAATAAAGTATATACTTGGGGTAGCCTAAAATATTCTAAAATTGAAACAATTTTTTGTCAAGATGAAGCACCAAAGTAACAAAAGTAATTGCTAGATCTGATTCTGCCTTTAATAAATCACAATTTTGCAATTCCAAATGCCCCCCCCCCCCCCATTCCCGGCCCCATTCAGCCAAAAGGCAACGTACAAAGAAGAGGGATAAGGGGGATAACCTGCGCACATGTGTGATGAATCATACAGTAGGTCAGTATCTTAAGTTTTATCTTACCAAATACCAAATATTTCAAAGTTCCGAACATAACTCAGAATCTTAAGAATCGATGCTATACATTTATTAGTTCCCATCCCCACTCTAATCGGATTTTGACTTATGGCGACTAAAAGCTACAAGATCAACAAAATTGTTTAGATTATAGTATTATGGCAAGTGCAATTAAAACATATGTCTGAGTAATTCGCACTAATGTTATGTTAATGTTTTATTTCACCACATTAAGACATTGATACCGATTATGTCATTGAACGCGATCAGCAAATCGTGAACCTTGAATAAATGTTGATTTTACTAATTCGAGAAAGAAAGGTGATTACCAATAAATAATAGAAATATACAAAATGCGTGTGACTCAACCTAAATACCGGGAATTGAGACTGGGACGATGAAAAATTTCATATGATTGAAAATCAAAGTGATACTTACTGTAATTCTGATTTTAAAAATGCATGTACAGTTCAGTCCAAATTAGCCCAAAATGTCTTTAATTTATGATAATCTGAAACTTATCAGCAGGCTTCGGTACAAACCTTTTTTGGAAAATATCGGCTTCTTTTCACCATAAGCTAAACAATGTCCTTCTGAATCAGAGAATTAAAGAAAGAATCAGATATTATAGACGTGACAATGGTGTGTACAATTGGCATTTCTATATTCTAGAAAAATGAATACATAATTGTAGAAATCGTTAGTTTCCTCAAATAATGTCTGCTCTTTGGATATTGCTACAACTATACATGACAAAGATGTAATGATCAAAATATTCTAAAGGATTGGTATCGATATGGTGAACTTTTTGGACACACGTTTCTTTTAAACCAGTCATCAACAAATTCTGAAACTTTTACACATCGTCAATATTAATTTAATGGAGGGAGGGGGGGGGGGGGTGCGAAACTGACTTCATTGAATAATTTCTACCCATGTGACCGGGGAATTGTTTTCATATTTAGTACCTGCAAGATGAAGCTATGGACATAAGAATATGTTTTCTCCCTGGTTACTCTATCCCATGCTAAGATTCATCTTGAGGTTGACGTCCTTGGATTCATGAAGTAGAGATTGTTTACCATGGGACTTGTACGTACAAAGGACCTCCACTGCAAATTGTGTCATATAGAAAACGTCAATCATGCTGTATTGTTTGCACAGATTATATTCAAATAAATACATATGATTGAATAATGTAACGTTAGTAATATTTAGCGTACTTATTGCCAATCGAAGGAGAATATTCCCAAACAGTCCATGAGATCAATCTAAAGAGTGTTCTGTAAAGAATAATCACACCTTCAAAAAGTAATCAACAACAAAACGTAAGTAGCTGCCGTTTAAGGTGTCTACTTGTTGCTATGCCGATTAATTACAAATCATGTAGCTGGCCGCACCTCCTCGGTGACGTACCCCCTGCTGATTTTGTGTATAAACACCACTGACTTCAGCTCAGTAGTCATTCTTACCTGAGACTTTTGCACAGCACGAGCTGTTTAGATCAACACTCATAAATACTGAATAAATCAATCAATCAATAAATTAACAGCATTGATCAAGTATAAAAACCATAGGCGAAAATAAAAACCATTAGCACGTGCCGATTTGCCCTGTTGGAGAGACAGATTCCTAAGGACAACGTTATTGTACAAGCAGATCGTGACATGGAACGTCAACAGCAGCCAAGTGTGGAAAGCTTCAGAGAAAGGCACCAGCAACCAAGTGTAGCAAGTGAAGAGCGACCGTTAGATTTCCACCAGGTATGTCCAACTTATATTATTAAGGGAGTTCCACACATTCAAAAAAGTTTTTAGTGGAAATATTATTACAACTTTTTAATCAAAATAGTTTGCTTTTAAACTAGATAATTTATCATAACAAATATCTATAAAATATGAAAATGTTACCTATAGCAGAGACATATAAAACTGTTTTAAATGTCTCTGCCTATAGCATCTATTTTTAATTAAATAGATAATGAAAGCTTAACAATTATCATCAAAATACCTTAATGGGAAGGTGCATACTGCATTTACAAAGAATATGAGTATTACAAAATTGATATAAAAGTGGTAAAACGGTAAAATGGGAATATAGAAATGGAATATGGACCCTCAGAAAATATGAGATATGAAGATTTATATATATAAATATACCAACACCAATACAGCCCCCCCCCCCTCCCCCTTTAATTATGATTTAATGTACACAGTGTCACCCATACATGGTGATAGGGTGATAATTGCAAGCATTATATTATTTACCCTACCAACCATCCTTCAAGATCGGTCCTTCACTGCTTTCATGCAATGAATTACTCTTGGGCCAAGGATGCTACCAACTGACACATTAACCTTTTACACAGAGATTAGGAATTGAGATGATAGAACAGTGGCTAGATCCAATATTGTTTGAAGAACAAATTGAGCTTGGGAATTTGGCATTTTTGGTCCTTTTTAGGTGAAATTTTGTCAGTGGTCCCTACAAGAAATTGTTCCTGTAATGCTTCTCCTTTTCTATTCTTCCTTATCTCCTCTGTGGTTCTGGGAGGTAATAATTAAATGATAGGAACAATTAAAAAGAAACATTGTTGACAATGTGACCAACTGAGAAACAACATTTAGAGCTATTATCTCACCATGAATAGAACATATTATAGTTGATTTCCCTTATTGTAATATTGTGATAATGATTCAAGCTGAGGAGGGGCTTTTATATGATATAATTACTTTAAAGCTCAATTAGTGGTAATACAGAATAAGTGAATGTTGCTTTCTAAACCCTAGATTTTTTAATTGTTTCTAGAATTGAACATTGTCTCATGAATATGCTGCCTTTTCTCTCTCTAGGTTCCTATTATGGCTTCTCCCAGTAGAAAGACAACTTCCATTGACATCACCCAGAGCAGATTGTATCCTAGCAACCAAAGTCAATCCAGTAGCCATGGCAACTGCAAAAGTCGGGCTAAAGAGCTAGAACAAGGTGAAGAGACAATGCTAGATACCACACTTCCAGAAGTCAACCGCACCCCCTCCCCATATTACCATGACGATGCTGATGACGATGTGTTTGTTACCACGGATACCAGACATCTGTTGTCTCCTCCAACACGGGATGTCATCCCAAGCCCAATGACCAGTACCCCAAGAGTTACCAGAATCCCACAGTACCCACACAACTCTAGTTACACCTATGCTGCCTTAGACTCCGGACTGTCTCAGCCAAGCCTTCCACATTACAAGCCAAGTAAGATATAAATTCTCTATACCATTTTTTGTTATGCAATATTACAATAATGGAAATATGTGGGAAAATGTATTTATCTATATTAAAAATTGTTTTATAATTTATAGAGTTAACATATGAGGTTCGAGCTTCACATCTTAGTGAATTTAATAATATACCAATATAATTATTTGACCTAATAAAATAATGGGCTTTCTAAATGTAATATTTAATCCAATGAGTGTCAAACAAACAAATACCATTTTGAAATCAATTTGAGAAACTTCATAATCCTTTTGTTTATCATATCACAGACACAACTGTAAAACTGAGTGATAAATTAGCAGAGGCTGGGGCAATCAAGGTATCTAAATGAATACCTGATTTTTAATCCAATAATTAAAAACAATTTACAATTAAACACCAGAGCCCAGACTAATTCTGACATTTCATTAAATTACTGATATCCAATTAACATAATCTTTTTGTTTATTTAATTCTCAGACAAAACTGTTAGGTAAATAATATCAATTTTTGAGGTAATCAAGTTGACTCATTGCAATCACAATATACCTGTTTTTAATCCAATCAGTAAAAAACATTGTAATTAAAACCTTGGACTGATTGTTACATTTAAAACTGACATTTCAGACATAAATCCTACTTAGTTAATGTTATCAAAATAAACAATTATCTACATTTGGCTTGATTACAATTTCAATTTCTTAATTACACCATGGGAATCAAAACATTACATTTGATAGACATTCACTGCAATCAAAGATTTGTATCTCCTTTTGAATTATGAACTTCCATTTATTTTTCTTATACCCAAAGGACATTTTCCGTTTTTCTCAGATTCAAATTCTCAATACTTGTTTGTAATTAAAAGTTAATTGCTTTATAATTACATGGGAAAATTTTGTCATCTAATGCTTGTGATCCCTGGGGCTGAAATTAACTGTTTCTTTATCTTGTCCATATTTTCTTTGAGAGAACAATACTACTGCACTATGAAGCTAAAATGAAATTCAAACTTTTTTAAACTTTTATTGATACTACAACCAGTATTAACCATATTTATTCGCTATATCTGAACACTGGTTTGGGAAATTTTCTTTGGCATAATAGTTTTAAATTTTTCATTTAATACAGTTTTTCATTTAACAACATGAATGTTTCAGCTAAAATATTTAAATTGTACTTATCAAGCCAATGTCTCAGACTCATGTTATGCACAATATGCTATTTCTCGATATTAACAACAAATATAACATTTGTACTTGTAGATAAATCTTCTACCAACAATATGAGTAGCTCTGTTAGCAGCAAGAGGTACAGACAGAGACGTATGTTCACCACTGATCAGCTCCTCCTTTTGGAGGATAACTTTGAAACGATGCCCTACCCTAAAAATGCAGATTTTGCTCACTTGGAAGACTTGACTGGGATAGATGGCAGTAGTCTAAGGGTAAGATACATTACAGTAAAACCTATATTTGTAGAACAAAAAATGGTTCACTTAGGTGTTCATCTTCCAAACAGATGTTTATTAGCATGAAATCATTTGGGGACAGAAAACTAAAACACTAACTGTTCTACTTACAAATGTGTTCTACTTGGCGTTTCTACCATATTTCAATTAATCAAGTCTTGGTGTGTGCTTTATTTCACTTTTTAGAGATAATGGAAGACAGCATGTATTTTTAATTTTGATGCCATGAGCACATTAACCTCTTAGTCAGAATATAATAAACAACCAACATACAATTTGAGGAGAGATACCAAAACACAAATATTATGATAATTCATGTACACCCCTTGATTGAGAAAAAAACCCAGTGATAATTGATTGATTGATTATTGGATAAATTTGTTTATTGCAGATTTGGTTTCAAAATCGTCGTGTAAAAGCTCGTAAAAATGGACAAACTGGAATTCGTAGCACAGTAGGACGTCCTTGTAAGCAGGTCCCCTCCAATGTGCCAGGAATGACTACATATGAACAAATGACCCAAATCAAACTACCTCCAAACCACCCATTCTGTGTCATTGATGGCAGTGAGAGCATGTCGACTAGCAATGATGAGACTTGTTCATTGTCTCCTAATGACTCGGTGGAGGTTAGATCAATGGAGGTCATCAAAAAGCAGAAAACACAATGGGTTGGTGATCATGAATTCATTGCTAAAGACCGTCGGCTACATAGCATCGAGAACAGAATGTCAGACATTTTCCCAACGATGACATCATCACCAATCATTTCCGGCAATTCTATGATGCCATTTCCCTTCCCACTTATGGGAGTTCCAGATCACCATGCATTGAAAGGCAACGTTGCCATGACACCCACAAGCTCAGAGCAGCCATTGGACCTTAGCGTAAAAACATCAAGCCCCCGTCCAGGCATCCAACGACCTTGGGAGGATGCCCCAAAGAAAAGTAGTCCCTCCAGCAGTAATCCAACAACCCCAAGCTTTGCATATTCCTCTAACCCAACATTAGTGTCGTTAATGCAGTATCAATATGCCACTGCCATGCACTATGCCAATATTGTACAACATGCATCCATCCAAAGATCAAGTCATCATTAGACTATAGGCCAAGCTGTATTGATGTCTACAACAATCCATAATGTCCGGGTAACACAAAAAAATTAACATTTTTTGTCACCCTGTATATTGGACAATACATATATAGTGTATCATACTTATTGCCATAGTAATTATTAAGTAGCCACGTGGACTATATTTCATTGGGTTTCGAAGAAGTTACAATACTTCGATAGATACTAGAGTGTTAATTCCATCAATTAATTGATTAATTGTTCCACATTATAAAGAAGACAACTGCCAGTGTAAATATGATTAAAATTACTGTAATATTTAGTAGTTTAGTACAATCTTCAGTATAATTAAGAACGCAACTGCCAGTGTAATACAAGTCTTGTATAATGATAATCATTTGTTTAATATTTAGTTCAATCTTCAGTGTAATTAAGAACACAGATAAAAGTGTAATTTAGTATATTGCTCAAATCTTCAGTGTAATTAAGAACACAAACAAAAGTGTAATTTAGTATATTGCTCAAATCTTCATTGTAATTAAGAACACAAATAAAAGTGTAATTTAGTATATTGCTCAAATCTTCAGTGTAAATAAGAACACAAATAAAAGTGTAATTTAGTATATTGCTCAAATCTTCAGTGTAATTAAGAACACAAATAAAAGTGTAATTTAGGATATTGCTCAATCTTCAGTGTAATTAAGAACACAAATAAAAGTGTAATTTAGTATATTGCTCAAATCTTCAGTGTAATTAAGAACACAATAAAAGTGTAATTTAGGATATTGCTCAATCTTCAGTGTAATTAAGAACACAAATAAAAGTGTAATTTAGTATATTGCTCAAATCTTCAGTGTAATTAAGAACACAATAAAAGTGTAATTTAGTATATTGCTCAATCTTCAGTGTAATTAAGAACACAAATAAAAGTGTAATTTAGTATATTGCTCAAATCTTCAGAGTAATTAAGAACACAAATAAAAGTGTAATTTAGTATATTGCTCAAATCTTCAGTGTAATTAAGAACACAAATAAAAGTGTAATTTAGTATATTGCTCAAATCTTCAGTGTAAATAAGAACACAAATAAAAGTGTAATATGGGACATGTGGGACAATGCTCAATGTAATATTTAGTACAATCTTCAGTGTAATTCAGAAGACAACTTGCAGTGTAATACATGATAATCCTCAGTGTAATATTTAGTTCAATCTTCAGTGATATTTAGTTCAAACTTAGTGTAACTATGAAGACGATTGATAGAACAAGCCAAGCTTTAGTGTAATTAATATTCAGATGTAGTGTGATATCTTGCACATTATATGTAGTGCAGTGTAATATTTAGTACACTATTTTCAATATTTTTCAATATTTAGTACAATATTTTCAATATCTGTACAATATTTTCAATATTTAGTACAATATTTTCAATATCTGTACAATATTTTCAATATCTGTACAATATTTTCAATATCTGTACAATATTTTCAATATTTAGTACAATATTTTCAATATCTGTACAATATTTTCAATATCTGTACAATATTTTCAATATTTAGTACAATATTTTCAATATTTAGTACAATATTTTCAATATCTGTACAATATTTTCAATATTTAGTACAATATTTTCAATATTGGGGACAATATCAGGTGTAAATACTTGTCACATCAATTTCACTGTTATTGTGATAAATACATGGTGAATAGTATAAAAATGTAAATAGTTCTAAAGACAGTGTAAATAGATAGTGTTAAATATACATATAAAACTCAAATCAGAAGAGTAATACAATACATGTAATACAATAAGACAGACTCAGTGCCTTTACAGTACAATATATTATTGTATACATGTTTATATGGTTTTGATGAACAAAGAGAAGTCAGTATAAAATTCAGTATTATTATGTTTTTTTGACATGTACTGTGTAGTGATTTCCAAAATATTGTTTAGTTAGGTTCTCCCATTCAGCACCTTGGTAATAGGTCAATTGCGTGCTACCAAGGTGCCAAATGGGAGGATCTAACTAAATGATATTTTCCTACTGCTGAATTCAAGATGATAAAGCAGAAGCTGAATAATATTTTTCAAAATGTTAAATGTTTTCAGAATTATATATGTGCAATCTGTTGTTCATTGTGTATAAAATAAAGTTTCAAGCATCAAAAGTAACTACATTTTAGTGTTTTATTGATCAACTTCATGACAAAAATATATTAAAATTCTTTTAATAAAGAGTAATTCTTTGATCTTTTCCCATTAGAAGTCCTGGAATAATAAGACGATTTACAGTGTCCCTTTATAAGGGTTGTTAGAATGGGGTTATATAGGTTGTTAAAACCTATAATCTATTATAGATAATGATTGATAAAATATTCTTGTATGATCAAAAATGAAAACTTAAAAGTAGTTATTCCTCTAGCACACAATCTTTCAAGATATCAGAGAACTGGTATTTCAAAAAATCTGCTATGGGAGGTCATCCTAATCTATAAGATATATTATATTGGCCATTGGATAATCCCTATATCCTGATCTGAACCTACTATTATATGATGATCTGTCTTTAAATTTTGATTATTTCTTCATAAAAAGCATTTTAACTTTGTCCTTAGAACTTGTCATTATGTTTATATTTTCTTTAAAATGTTAATTTCTCTACCAACTCAAACATATCAGAGTACGGAACAAAATGGTATATCCCATATCAGATTCTTGTTCTCATGGATTTAACAGATAGTTTATGGGCAGGGAGGAATATGGAATTTATTCAGGGATGATATGATATTGGACAAGGGAAAATAATAACAGAGGATAAATAGCTCTAGTGTCAATAAGATTGATTCAAAATGTACATTCCAGAGAATAATTTCCACAAATTATATTCAAACTGTTTTACATAGTGTGTAAAGTGTGTTGCTAACAACAATACTTTCTATTTCTTGTATGCCAAGTCTAGATATTTAGATACAAAACTTGTACCCCTTTTCATGGTTTATTCTATCGGTTGGAAAACCTCTATAGATCTCTACAACATTGTATTCCTTCAATTTTCTCAACATATCAATCAACAGGCAGAGAATTTCATAAAATATATTTTTTATTTCATCACTGGTTTACTCGTACAATGATTCACTAAAATGCACAGAAACAGTACACTGTTATATGTATATATAAGAGACAATATACACATCATACATGTTAAATATAAATAGTGTGGACTTGTAAACTCAAATACAAATCGTTAATACATGTATGTATTAAATGCATTGTTTATGTGGGAAAAAACACATGATTACTTAAATCCTTATCATTCTGTATTGGGAGCGACTTCAAAACATTTTCTCATGCTCTTGTTGGTTCACTTTAAAACCATAATCCAGCTTAAATCCGGTTAAAGTTAACAAATCTTATTGTTTAAAACAATTCATAAGCAGGTATCAATACATTGGCAAAATATGGGGATTAAATATTGATATGGCAGCAATGGACACATTATGTGATCCCATGACTTACATCAAAATACCTTGGCTTGACAATTCAAATATTGAAACAAAAATAAGAAACAAATTAAAAATTGTAATGTACTCACGTGAAAAATAATGTGATAATAAAGCATTCGATACAAAACAACAAGCCTCCCAGAATTATGAACAAAAGTTAAGCTTAATGAGTCACTCCATCAAAACAATGATTCACAAATTATTAATGTTCAAGTTGGTCTGAAAAATTATGCACATTGTTTTTTCAGTTACTATAGAACATTAAAATTACAATCTATCCTTGTCATCCTGTTTTGACTTACATAATAATGACAGTCCTTGTCTTACATCTAATTCTGCGTTACAAAATAATGACAGTACTAGCCCACAATGGATCAACTTTTCCTCTTGCCATTATGATAATGGTGTTGCAGTAGCCAACACACATTTTTGATCAAGTACATTGAAAGGAGTTCAGATTGGGAAGTGTTTTGATATAACACATTAGATGTACAATTGTATTTATCTTTATGATGCCAAAATTGGTCAAAACATATGAATGACTATTCTAAAATACCTGTTTAGAGCTACAATTTAGCAAAAAAGAAAATTTAAATTTTCAACATTGGAAATTGTCTCTACCAAAAATATTTTGGGTTCTTTATGAAAATCATAAATACGCTCGTACATGCATCATATCTCAGACAAAGGCTAAATTATAACATAACCTTACAGTGTGCAGTCAATCTAACAATTAACAGGTTTAATATGTCATTAATTCTCACCATGAGATAATTGAGCGACAAAATACATATCACTTGCAAAGAATTCATTTATTATGAGCTAGCTATGAGTCAACAAGGAGGTAGAACTTTGCAGTAGGCATTCAAGTAGGCCTCATTATATCCCAGGTCAGTAAAATAACACAAATTAAAGCAATAAAATTGAATGAATCACAACAAAATTAATCTAATATTTTGAGTTATGCTACAATAACAACTGGATCGTCTTTATTTTATTTATTTTTTTTTGTGTTTTAATCTAAATAACTGTATTATGGAAGTATAAACTGGATTATCTGAACCTTTTCTATTAACCTTTGCTGTTGTCATTTTGAATTAACAAAATGTGATCTCATGCTAATATTTTGATAAAATGGAAATGATTCTGTCAGAGATTGTCACTGTATGTTGATAATATGAATCTTGGCACTTTTTAAAATAAATAAATGGTATTTACAATAAATGTTGACAGTATGAAATTCATTTACAAATTTTGTCTCTTGGTAAATTGATTAAAGTGATACCCTTTTTGTTTCCCCAGTGGGAAAGAGGGAGGTCTGGGGGTGGGGGAGGGGGATGAAGCACAAATGGTATTTATACATGTATGTACAGCAGTTATGGTATATATTAAATAGTTCAGTACAGTACAGTACAATGATAACCATAGTATATATGTATTTATAGTAAAAGTATAGTTAAGGTGCCATGGTACTTGGGTACACCTGTTATCTTGGTTCAAAAATGTTTGAAATCCAGCATGGTTTTGTCACTTCCTGTTAAGTACCATGGCACCTTAACTTTCAAAATGCAGCTTCATATACATGCCCATTGAACATATATTTTAGTTTTACATATCATAAAATACCATGAGATGAGATCAACATTGTAGGCACTGCCAAACTAGGGTAGTATTCCAAATGGTCTTCCCTATTTTCATATCTTACATCAAGATACGTCTTATATCTCATAATGTATAGATGTACAGGTGTAAAGATATAAGATCTAAAAATGTACAGTTCACATGAAGTGAAGATGGACAATTACAAAATGTACAGCTGTACAATAAAATGATGTTTAGATGTACAGTTACATGATGTATAAATGTACAGTTACATGATGTATAGATGTACAGTTACATGATGTAAAGATGAACAATTACACAATGTACAGTGACATGATGTTAAGATGTGCAGTTACTTGATGTATAGATGTAAAGTTACATGATGTATAGAGATGTACAGTTACATGATGTAAAGATGAACAATTACACAATGTACAGTGACATGGTGTTAAGATGGGCAGTTACTTGATGTATAGATGTACAGTTACATGATGTATAGAGATGTACAGTTACTTGATGTATAGATGAACAATTACACAATGTACAGTAGCATGATGCTTAGATGTACAGTTATACAATGCATACATTTACATGATGTATTGATGAACAGTTACATAATGTATAGATATACACAATGTACAAAGGAACAATTACAGGATGTACAAAGGTAAAGATACATAATGTATTGATGTAGTTACATGATGTATACATATTCAGCTACATGGTATATAGATGTACAATTACACAATCTACAGTATATAGCTATGATGTTTAAAGGATGAACTGAACAATTTAAGTAGAGCAATATGTTTCAGTATAGAGAAACTTGTACAAGGCAGCTGTCATTACATAAATTATGCATGAAATCAGAATAAGCTTTCATATATACAGTACTGCAATAATCATAATATTTTAGAGTTCAGTTCAGCTGGTTCAGTTTGATACAAACTGAGACAGAGTTAATTCAAAGAGTACATCGACCTAGAGCCAGTTATTTTGATTTCGGCCAGCTAATTGTTCAGCAAGTTTAGTGAAGAGATATGATTTCAACTTCTGGATGGTAATATGTGTGTATGGTGTGGAATAGCACCGAATCATTGGGCAATATCCATTGTCAATATTGAATTTCAATTTGAAACATCTCATCTCAAATGTTTCATTGTTAATTTTAGACAGAATTTATTTCGTTTAATGCTAAACTATCCACCAACACTCATACATGATAACATCAGATTTATTTGCAATTTTGATATCCTTTGAAATTCAAAATTGCATACTTAGCCAATAACAAATTTTTATATTTAAAATCATTGATAGCCACTGTATGTTTTAACTCATGCATATCAAATGAGTTATTACTTCAAATATAATGAACTGATTCAGGTTGTATTATAATAAGTTTGGCAAACACAACTGAGACTTTTTAAGTCAATTACAAATGTTAATTGCACTTTTTTGAGCTGAACTTCGCCTTTAAATGATGCACTTCATTCTATTGACCAGATAAATAAGATACGCTGTTTGGCTGGAATTAAGTTTAAGCTATGGTAATAAGCAGATTTTCAAATATAAATTGGAACTTGTCTTCAAAATATTCAAGAATCACCATTAGGTGCAGCTTTTAAGTCATCCTAACAAACCTGCAACTAGTTTGAAAAAGTCTCATTTCGTTTCAATTGGACATTTAAATTGCCAAATTTGGTCGTTGTGGTTGTTGGCTGTTCCATCAGTCCTTTACACCCACACTGGGTCTTTGACCAGGTTTCCACAGCTTATAACTTGTGCGTAACTCTGTGTTGACTTCCAATTACCATTACCATAGGATAATGTGTAGTAACCACGCTTAATAGTAATACCACTGCATTGTAAATGTCCTCAACTCTGGGTCTTTAACCAATTACCACTTCATTTCAATAGGATGTTCACAATCGAATGACGCCAGCAGATAATAGAACATACTTTGAAGCAGATCAGTACAGTAATCAAACATATATGCATCTTCTATCATGCTTTCTTCTTAACAGCACTTTGCGTTGTCCTAAATTACGTATTCCTTGATTGCGTAGTAACCACACATCATTGTTAAGAACATCATTGCTTCATAGGTGAACATGCAGAATTGAGTACTAAGACTAAGGTCAATGCAGACTTGAGTATAGAGCACAGATGAGGTGAACATGTAGACTTGAGTACAGAACACAGGTCAAGTGGTCATGCAGACTTGAGTACTAAGACTAAGGTCAATGCAGACTTGAGTATAGAGCACAGATGAGGGGATCACGCAGACTTGAGTACAGAACGTAGGTCTGGTGGTAACTGACTGATTATGTTATCGTGATGAGATTGTAATTTATGCACTGTCTCTGGAGAAACTGGCATCTGACTACTAGCTGCACAGTTCTGAAAATAAATAAAGTATAAAAAATATAAAAGTATAAGAAGGCAAAGTAACAAAGAATGTGAAAGTAAGATTTTTATATTGAAAACAGATTCACTACCTTAACATGCTCTGGAGCCTGTCTACAAATGGAGATTAAAAACTCCCTGTTATATCCATCGATCATCATCATGTCACATAATCTGTTTAATAAACTTGTATTCTTAAATACAAAAAAAAACAATGTTGTTACAACTTACTAGTTTTTCTCGTAGACGTAAAATGAGATCAACAACTTCTACTTCCTGTTTGTCTCGGATCCACTCAACTAGATCCTGAAAAAAATATGCTGAAGTTGAAAAAGTAAATTATATTCCTACACATTGGCACTGTTAAAACCTATCTAGTATTCTTAATAGATGCTGCTTATCTGACTGTAATCATAAAACATGTCAGGGTGGTATTCTTTAACACTCAAGTATATTACGGTGATGAGATTTTTTGAATCAAAATGATTAACATGAATAAAATTTAAAACTAATTGCCAGAACCGATTTATAGAGTACATGTAAGATAGTTGCTCAATCAACTTGACATTCCCCAAAGGTTCAATAATATACAGTAAAACCTGTATATATTCAAAACCTATCCAATTTGATCACCTTTCAATGTAAACACATTTTTGATCCCATTTTGAATCTGCTAAAACGTCCATAATAAAAACTAAGTCATATGAAAACCTGCCAATCTAAACACTTCTGACCAGTCCCAGTGGTGTTTGGATTAAATGGACTCTACTTTAACTGTATGAAGCACTCTGTTTTCGAGCTTGATGGGCACACTATACTGGGTTTCCTGTAAACCTACATTTAGGCCACCCTATTGTACTTACAGAATTGCACATAGCTTCAGCATGTATGGCCTGCAGTTTCATATTCACTTCTTGCTGCCTGTTATTGTACCAGCCAATAAAATGAGCCGACTTAAAGAATTTTCTGCAAAAAATCAAACATATTATTCTTCAGCCTTCAATGCACTTCTTCAAACTCCCATTGATTCACCTCATGTTATGTCAATATGCTGTTTGTATTAAATACAAATCAACATTTACTATCAAAAATTCTTCAAATTCATTTGCGTGGCACTTTACCTTCAAGGGTCCCATAAATTTACGTCAAAAATGTGTCAATATGGTTTTTGTATTATTTGCAATAAAAGCAATTCTTTACCTGTAAAGACCTTCCCAGTCCCCCTTGAGGCCAGATGTCAGTTGCGGGCCTGAACTCTCTAGGGTCTTAAGGAACTCTTCTATTTGAAACTGCTTCAGCTTTGGAGGCCCTTTATGTGGGGACACTGATCGTTGTAGGGGCATCAAACTGGCCATATACCTCTCCTGTTAACAGGGGATTTGTAGATTAGATTACAAAAATATTTAAAGATAGATAAGCTTGGAATGGAACATCAAAAATACATACAACAAAGTTATATACTAGTAACAACTATAGCTACAACAGTTTAACAAGGCATTAACATGTAATATGTTACCACCTGCTATTTGTTACAGACACTAAATGTAGAACGCTGAACTCCAAACACGGGCACAAAAAAAGTTAGAGACCATAACAATATATCACCACTTTTTGTGGTGATATATAAATAGAAAACCTTTTGGCAGAAGTGCTTTATGATCTTTTAACATTTCATATATTCACACCATTGAATTGTGTTGTCAAAGCTGTCAAACCAATGATATCTCTGCAGTCAGCCCTCAATGATAAACCCCTCAAATGATTTAATTTCCCGTAATTGCTCCAAAGGAAGAAACCAGTGGCAAACTGAAGGCTTACTAACCAAAGGTATCATGAAACTCTGTGTAAGTTCTAGCAGGTATCGTTTGAGCATTGCATTCTGTACTTCAACTGGCCTTTGGGTCTGGACTCCCTGAAAATATTGCATCTGTTAAATCAAGTTTGCTTGCTGCTAAAATAATAAAAATAGTTTGCTGATTTTAATTGTTGAGTGATAACAATGATTTTCTTTGATTCCTATTCACGATCACTTGGCTACTGTCGCAAAACCGAGTGTGTGAAGATGATTCATAATATAGAGTTTGAAAAACATTTTAATCTAGGACGTTTGCTCTGATATGTCCTTGTGCATTATGGGTAACATATAAGACCCATAAAGACTCATTCCACCAAAGAAATCTGAAAACATTGTCTCTACGACATTAAGTTTAAGATATAAACTGAGAAATTCTAGATATGAAATTGTATTATGATATGTAACATTAAAAGAATGTTCTTTTTTTACATGATGCTGTAAACGATACTACGAAACATATGTTTTATATCTATTTTAAGTTTAAATTGTTTTTAATATAAAGTTTTTGCTTGATTATAATTCATAAAGACAGAGCTATGAACTCATTTATGTTTGGCTCCTGACCAAGCTGACACAAGCAAATGGGAACAAAGGTGCTCCATAATGTGCAGGTCTTAGTATCTGATACATACATGTATATTGTAAAGTATTTCAAAATGGATGACATAGCTAAAGCTGGACCCAAGCATAAAAGGGATGAGGAATCAGCCATGCATCTAGTAGTAAGGCATAGAATTCATATATCATAATCATCTATCTATTTAGATAAATGTTGCAGGTAAATTGTCTATTTTGATGGCAGATATGTTTAGGAGGTGGTCCTAAAATACTAAATAGGCTTATTCTCAATGATATGTCTCATTTATGAGAAAATGGGCCTTTCTGAAAATAGACAAGGCTCTTTTTCAAGTAAATATAGTAATGGATTTCAAAAAAGAAAAAAAAATGGACCCCTCCCTTGAAAAATATCAAGAATCTCAACATCTGCCTTTGGTCTGTAGCAAAGGGTGCATGCATTTGCACCGAAGCACTGAAGCACCAAAGTTTAACAAATAGAACAATTTAATAAAATCTTCATACATCTACTTAAACATACATACTGTAACTCAAGCAGTGTTCTTTGTTCTAAAACATGACAGTACTACAGGTACCCAGTAGTGTAAAATACATTGTTTAGCATTTAAAAGAGGGTGAATGGTGGTGATTTTGGTAAACTACTAGACCAGTTCAGTAGATGTAACATCTAAGAGTATGTATGGTGCCAGGAAAAGTTTATTCAAAACATGGCCAACTGTCCAAAACACATAATAGAATCTTGCATCATTTGGTCAATGTTTGGTGTGATAGCTAATGATAGACATCATGGGCTTCCAAGAGAAAGCCCATGAGACATCTATTTTATGAAAGTGTAACTAAAAAAGACAATGGCAAAATTTCCTATTCCAAAGATCCATTCATTACAACAAAATTATAAATGAAGTTTAAATTAGCTGCTTGTTTTGGGATTCAAGTTCAACCCAGTTATCATCGTATTACAAATTAATCAATAAAAAATTAAAGATTTATCAAAAAATAAACAACAGTGAACAAATTATTTAAAGGTAAATGCATTGAAGAAAATTCCTAACACCAAAATAACAAATAACTAACGTCAAAATCTTGCATTTTTCATCAATAGACAATGATGTTTTAAACTCTTATGAATTTCCTTTTATTAAATGTACATAATGGATAAACCACAAGAAAATGAAAAAACTAAATACATAGACACATAAATAATGGGCTTAGCATTTACATGTAGCTGCCTTAATTGCTTAATTGATTAGCTAATTAGCAGGTGTTTACCTGTAGAAGACTCTCAGTGGGAGAGGGCTAAAGAAAACAGAGACATGCTCGTTAGATTAAATATTAGGATCATCCCAAAGGTTAGCACTAAATTCTACAAATTATTTTATTTATTCAAAGAGTTCCTTTTTAAGACTTGTGAGATAGCTATGGCAGTGGATCCAACATATGCCATTTATTGTTAATGAAACAGACTTGAAAATGTGATTTTTTGAGCCTTTTACAACCTACCCACAAAATGCAACGAAATATGTGTAGAATTTAGTGTGAAACACATGAGATGACCCCTATGGTTTAACCTCTGTTAGACATTAATGATTGGATATCATCAAATATATCAAATGTAAATACATGTATATTACATCATCATATTTCATTGTATGATCTTTCTATGTTAATTATTTTTGCATTTGCGTGAGATGGATTTTGAAGAAATATGAACATATTCTCAAAATAAGTTTAGTTATATTGACCACATACCTTCATCATGGCATTCCAATAATATGAAAATCTGATTCAAATGAATTTATTCATCAAATTAAAAAGACAAATGATTGGGACCAATAAGTTATTTAAAAAATATCATAATACATCAGTGATAAAAAGGAAATATTTGCGCAATTTTGTACATCGGGTTAATTTCTCAAATATGAATGTTCACTTATTTTTTTTACATAGGAGTCAATGGATTTTACTGTATATGGTTCATGACATCTATGCTTTAAAAGGATTGTATACCTTCCTGATACAAAGCTTAGATTCATCTAATGTATAATGCTCCCTCAAAATGCAAAATGTGATGTATAAGGGGTCTACGAAGTAAGGCTGAACAAATACAGGGACCCCTTAGACCCATTATTTTGACAGGTTAGTAAATTCTAAATACAGTACCAAAATCCATATCAAAACTACTATAATTTAAAATTCCACATTCCAAATATTTTTAATTCATCTACATATCTACTCAAAAATACAAGTTAATGTATTAAACAGCATTCTAATTTTGCTTCTATGAAAAAGCCTCACAAACATCAATATCAGTAAAATACAGGTTGTAATAACTATGTTACATGTGTGGTGCTAATGAGTTCTTCTTACCTTAGCTAGTCTCTTGAGTATTGTTTTATCTTTTTGCAGGTGAGCCTTATAACGAGTATATACACCTGAAATAAAAAGACAATACAGTTGAGTAAACACAATAACAAGCCTACAATTCACAGCTTCCATGATAGTCAATGGCAATCATTTTTCACTCTTGGCAATGAACGTGGAAAAATGAGTTGCAATTGAGTGAATGCAAAATGCTTAAGATGTAGTCTACTTTTTTGTTTCATTTATCTACATTTATTTCTTTAGAAGTGGTCTGATAAAAATAAAGATACCAGCAGACTTTGTTAAGAGCATGGCACCATTCAGTGCAGTACAGTTTGAGTATGGTGCCATACAGTTTTCATGATAAAGTAGACCAAAAATAGTACCATGAACACTGTATTGCACAATACTCATACGGTACTATAGCCAAAACAGTACTATACAGCACTGTAAGAGATTGTTTATGTAAATTAAGAGAATCAAAATTTTTATTGAACCCCACCTGGCTTTGAGTCTAATGTTTTGAGATTCCCAGCCTTCTTCAGTTTATTGAGACCTTTAGCTGGAATAAGAACAAAAGAAATCTTAAATGATAACATTCTTCTGTGAATGTAAGACTGATTCTCAGCAGATGACAAGTCAAGATATTACTGAACATCATCCAGCTCACATAAAATAATTCAAATGTTTGCGGAGAACAGCCAGTAATTTGACACAGGTTTGTCCCTGGGGTGGGGTTTTCACAGAATACCAGGTTTGGGGGTCTCATGCAAACTTTTAAAAGGAGCAATAATAACGAATGATATAAAAATCAAGTTCAAAAAGACTAACAAAGCTTTTCTCAGATAGAAATTGATGACATGTCATTTGAAAGGTTATTCATATTAGTAACCTTATTCTATAGTAGTATATCTAAATATGCGTATATTAGATATACACTGTATATATCAAATAAAGGCAGGCTAACATCATAAGCAAATCTTAATGTTAAGATACACGTCATATAAGCTATTATTGTGTCGGATTTATACAGGTCACTGAAAGAAACCCTTGTCCCCATAGACACAAACATGTTGAGCTACATAGGACTGTCACTCATCCCATAATTTCAATGCAGTTGCAGTGCTGGATTAATGTAGCATAGCAAACCTGTATTAAAACATCCTTCCAATGCAAAAAGCGATATTACCTTCAAAAATACGATAAATTACAATTTGATCCCAAGCCAATTTAAAGTAAACATAGTAACATAACACTGAAGGCATCCCAGAACAGAAACTCATGTAAAAGCAATAAGCTGAAGAGTGACAGTATTGTAGGCTTGGTATTCTACACCAGGTGTCAATTTTTTCTTAGGAATGAATTTTTCCACGAGAACAAGACAAACGGGAGTCAACACAGAATCTTTGGCAGATATGGGATACATTACAGAACTGTTTTCTAGATTAAGGAATTAAAGACAGTGCAGGACATTTGGCTGATGAAGGACTGTATACTTATAAATTCCAATTTTACTTTCATTGTAATTATTGGGGAAAATTTCTATTCATGAATACCAGTGCCAAATAAACGAACATAGAAGTTTCCTAGCACAGGAAAGTGTAAATTAAAAGCTCCTTGTCTACCTCATCTTAATGAACAATAAACATTGGAAATATTCTTATAGTAGTTACACACAAAACAGTTAACCCAAAGCTTCAACATAAAAATCCACAAATACCTTCAGTGTCACTGTCCATGGACCAATGGTCTTAATATAAAATACATATTTCACTAGCAGCTGCATGACACATTCAAACATTATATTTTGAGTTGTTTTATAGCATGCAAAATGTTAAACTGAACAGTTTAGAGTAATATTTGCATCTAATACAATCAGCAGGCAGATTGATAAGGGCTTAACTATCAAGTGATAATTCTCTCTCTCGCTCCTTCTTTGAATGTGTAATTAAGTTATATTGACCCACCTTCGACTAGTTCTCCTATGCGTACAATGTGCGGCCAGTGCTGTAATGTTTTGGCAAAGAATGGATTGGTAACCCCTAGCAGGACTGGTGGACTGTAAAACATGGAACAGCATTGTAAGAACATAGAACAGCATTATAAGGACATAGATCAACAAAGTTAGAATAAGGCACAAATAACATTGTAAGAGCATAGATCAGCAAAGTTAGAATATGGAACAACTAAGTACATGGAACAGCACTGTAGGAACATGAAACAGCATTGTAAGAACATAGAACAGCATTGTAAGAACATATATCAGCCTAGAATATGGAACAAATAAGTACATGGAACAGCATTGTAAGAACATAGCACAGCATTGTAAGAGCATAGATCAGCAAAATTAGAATATGGGACAACTAAGTTCATGGAACAGCATTGTAAGAACATAGAACAGCATTGTAAGAGAATAGATCAGCTTTGTTAGAATATGGAACAACTAAGTACATGGAACAGCATTGTAAGAACATAGAACAGCATTGTAAGAGCATAGATCAGCAAAATTAGAATATGGGACAACTAAGTTCATGGAACAGCATTGTAAGAACATAGAACAGCATTGTAAGAGAATAGATCAGCTAAGTTAGAATATGGAACAACTAAGTACATGGAACAGCATCATGAGTACATGGAACAGCATCATGAGTACATTGAACAGCATCATGAGTACATGGAATAGCATTATAAGTACATGGAACAGCATTATAAGTATATGAAGCGACATCATTGAATATGGGACAGAATTGTTAGAACATGGAACACATGATATAAAACATTCAGCAGCATAGTTCATATATGCGCCACCCTACATGGAACAGCTTGGTACATTTGATAGCACTGTATAAAAACACAGAACTGTATAGTAATGTATGAATACAGAACAATGCCGTAAAACCATGACAACAAAAGCAGAAACAAAACAATACTTCTTAAACTGTATCAAAAATCATTGCTTGGTTAGTAAAAGCACTATCATAAAGTAAATCAAATGAGAACGTATGGAACAGAAGTATCAATTTACATAAGAATACAATACAATGTGAAATACTTACGGGGCTTGTGTTTTTGTTGTATATTCCTTGAATTCACTGTCATGAATGGTGAAGTATGGCCTATAGTCCGTGCAGAACTTCAATGGCCATATCATACTGCAATACATAAATATGAACAAACCTAGAATGACGTTTTCATAATACATTGCTGCATATGGGCAGCTGCAGTAGTAGTCTTCCCAGAACTGAAGCAATGGATTACGCCTAGTTGAGAATTTCAACATGGTTGAAACCCATTTGAATAACCAGTCTTATCAAAAATGCAAAACACCGGAAATATCGACGTAAAATTCTCAGAGTGCATATCTAATTGGTCATCTCAATTCTGATCTACCTAATCCAATTGGGTAAGGCTAGACCAAAGAATTATCGTTCATCGTTAGAGTGTAGAATCTAACTTCTGAAAAGGGTTGTACCTGACTAGAGCTTGGACTGCACGGCAGCAAACTGTGGGGGATGATGCCATCACTACGATTGACTCACCAGATATTACAAGTTCCCAAAGCATTTGTATGTGAGGCAACACTGGCTGAAAAGTACTGAAAAAGAAGGCATAGTAATGAAAAACAAGGCATTAACATGCAAAATGTCACCACTTGCCATTTGCTACAGAAGCCAAAGCTGAATGCTGAATAAAATAGCCGAATGCCACCCACAAAAGTTGGAGACTATAACAATATGGTTCTTGTAAGGCTTTTTTCTAAAAATTAGTAAAGCAGCATATTCAAGTTTTGCTTTGTCTCATGTCAACTGTCAATTTCCATATCATTCTTGCTGGGTTCAACTGCTACAAAATTCTTCATTACTTGACAAGAACCTTGGATCTTTTTTTGGTATAACAGAAAACTGTTGATATAAAATGAAAATCTGTTGCTTGCAATTTTGCTGTCCTCTCTGATTCTAGCTTGAGGCTTGTGAAGACAGAAAAGTATGTATATACAATATACCATGAGATAACTTACCTATATAAGTCTACTTCATGTATGCTGGGTAGTAGATTGTTGGCAGGTATGTGAGGCTACAAAAGTTAAAGTAACAATACAATTATAAAATTATGGCTGTATTAAAAGTTGTATAACAACTACAGACAGGAGGAATATCTAGCAACCATTTAAAGCAATCAATCAAATCAATGCACATGTGTTTTACAATGATTGAATGTCGTATATGAGTTTTTTTTAATTAATTGAATGTACGAATATATGAGGTATTTTACATTGCTTGAATGTATAGGAGGTATTTTACATTGATTGGATGTATATGAGGTGTTTTTAAATTGATTGAATGCCTGTATAGATAAACATACCTTTTTGAATCAAAATCTATAAGTAAATGCAACAACAAAAAAAGAACAATATAACTAAACTCTGTAAACAATAATGGTACTAAAAAGCAATGCAAAAAGCTTACTGTTGCTCTGTACTTACCACTTGTGAAGTTTTTATCGGGGCTGATGTGGCAATTTTATCTGTTCTACAGGGCACTCTAACCTGAAAACATTTCAGTGGAACTTTATGGAATGCAGGCAATCTTTATAGTATAGTAAAATCTGTATATGTGAACACCTATAGATTCTGATAAACCTCTCAAAGTGAATATTTTTGCATGTTCCTACTGCCTTTGGAAGAACTAAATACTCCCGAGGGCCATATATAAAGATACAATTCAGTCAAATGTTTCATGAATAATGCCGTTTCATAAAAATGCTATTAAAGAAGACCAATTATGGAAAAATTAGCTTTATAGAAAACATGAGGTCATTTCAGCCATGGATTGATAATTGATAATGTACTGTATATGCTAGCCCCGCTTATGCATGGTTTCAAAATGGTTCAATTTGTCTCCCGTCACATCAACATGAGAGCTATATTGCATATATCATTTCACATACCTGTATGACTGTTCCCATTATGGGTAGATTGAGGGTCTGGCCAGGGACTGGAGGCGGCCATTGGTCTATATCGTGACAAGCTGCAGAAGTAAAACAATCATAAATTAATAGTAAGAATACTGTTTTTTTTAATTAAGTTGCTAAAATGTTTGATTGATAAGATAATAAAGTGTTCCATAATTTTTGGGTGTGTTAAACATCAGACAAGATCTTTCCTGGTCCTGTGTGTGATAAAATAAAACAAATATATCATTCTTTATTCCATAAGTACAATTCTCAAGCTGATATTTTGAACTTTTTTCTGAAATAAACACAAATTCTCTTGAGTACTCACCTGCTTCTAAGGATGGCTCACCATTGTCAAAGTACTCCGGGGCCACAATGTTGATTAAATGTGAGAAGAGATTTACGAACGGAAGCCTGGATATTAGCACCACTGACTGCAATACAAGAAGAGGATAGTGAATGAACAATGTACTGTACATATAAATAGTCTTTTAAAGACGGACATTGCAACGTTTTCTTTTAAACACTATTAACCTCTTGACTACCTAGAGTGACGAATCTCGTCACCTTAGAAATGGCCTTGAAACCTAGAGTGATGAGAAAATTTGTCGCAAAATTTTCCACTAAAATTGCTCCAATTTGGACAGTTTTCATCCAATTTACACTATATTAAAAAATGTTTTAAAATGTGTAGAATGATCGGCTCTGCTGATTAATTTCACTAAATTGAGTATCACCTGTTGTATATGCATGTAGTAAAATGTCAAAGACTGGCAAAAATGAATTCCCTGGTTTCAAACCAACTTTAGAAGCTGGGATTCAAGAGGTTAAACAGATAAAAATTGTTAATTCTAATATGATATGTGACGTCACAAATACTAGAACAATTGATTTGCTGATCTAAAGTGGTATGACCACAAAATTTCATAAATGCAAATAGAATCCTAACAAGGACTAGTTTCTATGATTTATGGTAAATATATGACCATAGATTTTATTCTGCCCATTGTCAAAGACTTCAACAGATCTGTGATTTCAGTCTTTTAACAATGATCAGAAAAATCATCAGTCATATATTGCGCCATATATCTCTGTCTTTATTCCTAAAGTAAAAAGACAAGTCTCAGTTTGGAGAACAGTCCAGTGGATTAATAATTTTTTCATGAAAAATAAAGATCTGCATATCTAACATAATTATTGAGGGGAAGCCCCCTTTACATTGGAATATGTATTCAAATAATATATAATAAAATTTTATATCCATGAATCAGTATTTGAGCTATAGTCCAGACAGAGGGACGTACTGGGGCATTATCTTTCTCCCCCGACTTTATGGGATGGTTATTGATATGGGATAACAAAAAACATTATTAAATGTGAACTTAATGAACACAACTTGTGTGACCATGAAGTTAGTCTTCAAGAGAATAGAAAGACATGACAATTCTGGAGCTCACCTTAAATAGCAATATGTAAAGAGGTCAAACTCGGAAAACAAGTCAGAGCTGCTAGTATAATTTAGATTTGAGATAAATTACCATTCAATGTCTACATGTCCACAATACTGTTAATTTTGAAACACCCTGTATCGATTGAATTCACTTACTTTTTGAAAGTATCCTCTACGTATTGATTTGTCTTTTGTCTGTCTGAAGTACACAAAGCCATAGTAATGTCCATTGTCTCCCTATAAAGACAATAATATTACAAAATGTATTAGTATTTAGCATTGTCCCTTTTTGAGAGACTTCAAGTCCGCAACTAGACCCTCAAAAAATGTTTTGCTTTAGATGGCGAGATGTGTCAGATGGTAAGAAGGGGTCGGAGTAAGACTAATTCACATTCGAAAATATGCAAAACTCTGAAAACTTAAACTCAAAACTCTATACCAAATTGTTGTATTTTTGACATATTCTTCAATATTTGACATAATTCTTCCTTCTTGATGTAACATTACTACAGTGTGTGTATGTGCATGGACTTGATGCTCAAGAATCAGTGGCCCTTGAAAATGTGCTTACCTGCAAGGCCACAGGACAGCTGTGATTGTAGTCCTTCAGGCCCAGGTTCTGTTTACGTGTATGACACTGACGTATACGGAAATGAAACTCTGTATCTCCCATACAACCAGAGTTGGAATCGGGGAACGATAAGTAGCAGATATTCATTTTCTGGAAGAGATAAAAAAGCTAGTTAGTTTCACATTATGTCCTGACCCTCAAAAAAACTGTGGAATTTCTGCACAGATATGATTTCATACGCAAAGCACATAAATGTATTATCCAGCACCTATTTTTAACTATTTAGTGTCAAGTTGACCCAGAGTTTCAAATATCAACCACTGTTTAGTCTTTTAATGATAAAGTTTCATTTAACATAGGAGCAAAATATGTTTGTGTATGTAAGAAAATGAGTAATGTTGTGGTGTGTTAAAAGGTAGAAGAGAGTATCAGACTGTGCCATTTTCCCCAAAAACACACAAAACATCTCACTTAAAGAGCAGAATGTTAGCCTTAAAAATTACCCAGCATGCCCAAAACCTATTCTTGGCACTAATCTGGTTTTGTATTTGTAAAAATTTCTGATAAAATACAATAATACATAATAGCCATTTTCTGACAGACTTACCAGCATCAGTATATGTACTTAGTGAATTTTTTTTAATAAATTTGAATTTCTAAATACATCTACTGTATATTCTTCACATAATTTAAAATTAACAAAATAACCCACCTCTCTCTCTGTAAGTTTCACATGACTTGGATACATCAGCTGAAATAAAATGGAGTGAGAAGTTAAAACATCGTTACATTGAACATAGAAATATTTGTAACCACTCTCACCTCATTTCAAAGAAGTGGTATTGATTTTCGTGGCATGAATGTTTGAGATCTTCAATGCCGAGGATAGTCCTGTATAAAAATGTACAAAACATTTATTTCTCAGGGATAGGAATTTGAAAAAAGCAGCTTTTAAATGGTCTCAATGACAGAAAAATGAAGTGATAAATATTTCCTTTATCCACATAAATTTGGGTTTAATATAAACATGTTTCATAAAATAACAAGCGCCAACTGCTTAAGGCACTGGTTAGTGACGCAAATTAGATGACAAAAGAATTCTTGGTGATTGGCTTATATTAAAGCTTTACATGGAACAATAAAAAAATTTATTTCTTAATTTATCAAATATTTCCAATCAGATCAAGGCACATCTAAATTTTTGAAAAATTATAATGCAAGCCAAGGTTATTTTCTGGTTCAAAATAAAGTATGGAGACATCCAATAGTGTATTACTTTGGGGGAAAACTGAATTGATAAAAAAGGGCCTGATTTGATGGGCCATATCCATGTCCCAACGAATAGAACACATGTATAAGTTGAATTTCTGAAAATTTTCAAATGCTCGTATAAAATCCATCAGCCTATTTACTTATCAACCGAGTTTGATGGCATCAAGTGTTAATGCATTATGCCATAGGTTTCTCCCCCAGACAATCAATGATGTCCTATTGTTATTGCTCATATAATATCTCACATACCATGGATATATCTTGAGAATAACTTTTGGGTATATATTATTGCCGAAATATCGGAAATAATCAACAGAACAACCAAACTCCAGAATTAAACACAATCGATTCCTTCGATTCGGTTATCGAGGGGAATCCCCATTGAGTCACACAAGTGCACACAAGTGCCCACAAGCGCCTTGAACCAGGGAGCCAATCAGGTTTATGATAAACAAATCAACTACCAATCAGATAATAGGAGGACTTTCCCAGAATATTCAATCTTCAGATTGAATTGATTTCTTCGAAAATAATTAGATCGGCCAGCACAATCGCAAAATTAACACTAAAAGAGGGGGATTTGGGACTTCTTCTTTGGTAAGTAGATGGGTATATATGTGGTGAAACTCAATATGCAAAAAAGTCCAGAGGGGTCTTGATTGTGCTATCCTATGGCACAGAGCCTCTTTAAGCTACTGGGTAACTAGAAATAGAGATACTGTACTTGAAAATAGATCCGAATATCATGGGAAATTCCAGAGATTCCAGCCAGATCATATTCATAGTAGTAGGCTTAGGGCTCAATAAATAAACCTCAAGATACTGGTAAGACATTGAATTGAAAAAATCACTGGAAAAAATGACCACCCTTCAAAACTTCCCTCAAACGAAGTGATACCTCTCTTTTCAACAACAGATCTCACAAGTCTTGTAGATAGCCTATTACTTCATCTTTCTATTGCAATTTGTTTTGTTCTATAAACTCTGTATTTTAAGTTTAACTGTAGCATATGTTTTTTGTCTGCTCCGGGTTTGTCACAGAAATTTATGTAATGGCTGCACAATCATGAAATGAAAAATAGAAAAAACACCTTGCAGCTTGGTGTCTCATGAGGTAATAATCACTGAGATACTGATACTACTACACACGATCGTGCCAGCATCAATGGGAAATTCAACCATTTCCTTAAAAAACTGTTTCTACCCGATCTGAAGAGGTATTAGAAATGCCACATCTGGACAAGTTTATTTTTCAAAGGGTGATGAATTTTGGTGATTCCATTCTGTCACTTTTTTATCATTGCCCGCCATATTGAAAATGAAAATTGAGGAGAAAATGCAATCTAGTTCTAATAAGTTTCACGGGGAGTCAGTCACTCCCTCCCCCTCTCTATTATACCCTTTTTTAGAAGGTTTCATTTACTGAACACAGCTGGCTAAAAATCCAGCTAAGGAACTGTTCAGATAGACAATTTAGACTAGAATTTTTTTCATGGCCTGACTTCGTCGCTAACATGCTAAATATAAGAGTTAGCTGACGTTTGGGAGTCTGACTTACCTTCTAAAGGTTAGAACCCGAATCTTAATGAAACCATATCACCTTTGTTGCGTCGATGATGATGCATAAACACAGCATTTGATAGAAATTAGTGTAAATGCTTTTCCGACTTTTTCATTTTTCATCAATGTTGACTTCCGGGGAGGCGTTGTAGTTATCACGAAATAACGCATTGATCCTTGAACTTTACTTTGTTGACGTGTCAACCAAGCATGTCTGGTGTGAAAATTAAAAGAATATTAAGCAATGTTCTACATCCGCCAAGCTAAGTGAAGTAGCCAATATTTAAAATTACCAATTTCAAGTGAAGTACGCAACAAACGAAACTGCGTGATCTACACTCCCACTATTGGTCTGAAAGAAATGCTACGTAGAAATATGAGCCGTCTGCTGTATTAGTCGATTAATAGAGTAAGACCTGTTAGTGATGCTTTATAATTTAGACCAAAACATTGAAGAACAAACGAACCTGTAAATCGTGAAAACAACGAACAAATATTCGGTTTCCACATATGTTCGGTAATTTTTCGTATTGAAACTTCCGGAACTTACAAGGAAATCATTCATTTTCATGGTCCATGATTTACCTCTTGGATGTTGTGGCAAATGCTCCATGGTTGACGGAACAAAGGTGATATGGTTTCATTAAGATTCGGGTTCTAACCTTTAGAAGGTAAGTCAGACTCCCAAACATCAGCTAACTCTAATATTTAGCATTTTAGCGACGAACTCAGGTCATGAAAACAATTCTAGTAGTTATTTCTCCAATTTGACAAGAGACTAACTGCCGAGGAAAAAGCGGCTTGTGCAACACAACAACAATTCCAGCAGGCGCGGTTTTGAATTTCATGCTGTGTTTTCATTAACTAATAGAGAGGGGATGAAGTGACTGAATCCCCATGTTCATTGTTATGTGATAAACTGATGTTGTGAAGAAATGTAAGCTTGGAATTGGAAAAATAAGAAAATAGGCGATGCTGATAGATGATTCAGTAGTGGCAAAAAAACTTTTCAGTATGAGGAAAAATTGAAGAATAGACAAATGAGAAAATAAAAAGATTATCCTAGTAAAGAGTCATAGAGGCTCATGCTGTGAAAACAAAAAAAAACAAACAAAAAAATTGACACTTATCCAAAGGTCTTTTATTACCTCCATCGCCTGTCCCAATTCCAAATCAAATGTTACAACACATGCGCAGTGTAACCAGTTAGAGAATCGATCCCATGGAAGCATCGAATTAGACTTGATCCCTTCATCCGACAGCATTTTCTCAAAAGATTTTCTCCTCTTTGAAAAGATCTCATTCGCCATTTTTAAAGTTTACATCTGCCATCTATCGGTGATTTTCGTTCAGTGCAATATCGTGCAGACTGTTATTCATACCCGGGAACAAAGAGCATAATTATTTCTAAAGGATTGGTATCGATATGGAGAACTGAATTCAACAATGTTTTTCTATTAAACCAATCATTGAAAACTGTCTGTAAAAACATGGTATTTTATGTAATGTTGACTGATTGACAACAATTTAATGTGAGAATTATTTTATATAATTATTATAAAATTATATTTTATATAACTGTTTCTGTTAACAATTTTTGTTTTTTAGTGCAATTGTTTTTGCTCCTTTCAACCAATTCTTGAGAATGAAATAAAATGTTTTTCCGAAACCTGTTGGAACAAAATAGCATATACAACATGTTTTTAGACCTCTCAATATTATAGTTATACAAAGGAATTTTTGGTTGATTTTAAAAAGGTATTTAAAAAATCAAAACAAAATCCCCCCAAAATAGATAAAAATCAGAATAAACCTTTTATTTCATTAACAAGATACTTTTTTGAAATCAACCAAAATTTCCTTTGTACAATTACAATATTGAGAGACCTAAACATGTAGTGTTTATGTCGTTTTGTTCCAATGAGGCTCGGAAAGATGTTTCATTTCACTCTGGAAACATGATACCAAGAACAAAACAAGTGTTTGATGTGTTTTCTAAAACAATATAGATGAAAGTATATATTTATTTTTCAAATTATATTGTTACCATTAAAAAGACGACCATTAAATTGACGATGTTTCTGGTTTAAGAAAAACATGTGTTCAAACATATGTGTTCTCCATATCGATACCACTCCTTTGTTTTTTATTGCTGTTCATATTATTTTGTTCCTTTATATATCTGAGATTTGTCACTGCCCAGTGCCCAGCCTAGTGTATCAAAACTCTGGGTCAAAGTCATTAGGGGCTGTGCAAACTCATCTAGATGACCATGTACTCAGGAACTTGTAAATCTACTGTTAATTTCAAGTTGGTAAGTTTTTCCAGAGATAGAGAGAAATAATCGATGACAAAATAAAAATTTCAATTTTCGTTCTTTGATAGAATATTTAAGAAAACAAGTTGGGATTTACCAGTCCAAAAATATTCTGAGAGAGAGAGAGTCCACACCCTGAAGTTGAACTAATAATGGGAAAAATAGCAATGGTAAGTTTTATCACTACTTTATTCATCATATTCAACATTTAAGTTTTACAAACATATTACATTTTAAACATTCACAGATTAATAAATATCTTTTTACATAATATACAATATTTATAAAAAATGTTTCAACCATATGAGGGGTCATTCATAAGCAGTATTTACTTCATCATTTAAAAAACTTAACTATCTATAATAATTCTTTAGAATAACCCTTTATAAACAGATATGGTTCAATTTTGTAGAAGATTCTCCATATCTTCCAATACAGACAATATCGATAAAAACACATATGAGACCATGTCATACAAGCCAACCTACATTTCTATGATGTCCTGGCTTCTATATTATATTCCTTCCATCCATACTGTGAAAAACTACAGAAAATCAGCCAGAATTTTTTTCAACATTTGTTGGCAGGTATGCATATTATAGTTTAGTAAATATTACATAAAAAAATCAGAAGTTTAACATATTAGTAAGTACATACTAAGTACAATGTATATCTAATTCCATTCAATTTCACTTGGCATATTACATACTTAACCAGTGATACAAATATATGATTGCACAAATTCTCATGTTGACATATTGTTATAGCGACCATTTTCTGAGACTGACATTCAGAGTCTGCCTTTGGCATTTGTCACAATTGCTACACTTGGTAATTGCAGCCAGATGTGACATTTTGTGATATCAATGCAATGCTTTTTGAGATTTCCTCTATTCGGTCTCATTAGGACCGATCACATTGTATTGTAACAAAAACTATATAATACACAATGCATTATTTCACATTCAAATATGAGAGAAATAATTACTCATCTTACTAATAGTCTGACATAGATTCTATGATTTATTGTGATATATGACCAATTATTTTTTCTGATCATAAAAACCACAGAGCAATTGAGGTCTTTTGGCATTGGGCAGAATAAAATCTGAGGTCATATATTTAAAAGTAATTATAAGTGCATTTTCATTTTATTCATGTTGAATGTGATCAATTCACTCTTTTGCACTTCAGTTCAAAACAATATCAAAGGCAATTATTGAAATATTAGACAAGGCATACTATACAAACATAAAACAAACAACATTTCACAATTAACAATTACTTCACAAATCGAATCACAAAATGACCAAAAAATCCAATAAGGGGCCATCTCATACACATATGTTTCAATCTAAATTTTACAAGTAATAACTTTCATTTCATGTTTTATTAAAATATATGGCACATCCAAACAGTCTGTTTCAGGTATTAGTGAAATGCTCTTTGTAGAATTTAGTTCAAGAGTTTTGAGATGACCCCCACTTACAGTGAACCTGGACAAAAAATTCTGGAATGGTTCCAACATAATGAAAATTAACATTTGTGACATTTTCAATGCTGGCATTTCAAGAAGATGGTATGTGTCATACTTAGAATGAGAGACAAGGCTTGTGTTATAAAAAACAACATAAATGCCCTGGTAATGTTAAGCTACACTTATTAAAGCACTCTTGTTATGTTTAATGCTGAATTAGACCTTTAATTTTCATACATGTAACCTCAAAATTTGGTTTTAATTCATGAACTTTAGAGCCACTCGGGGCTAAAATCAAGTGAAAACTACTCCCTTGTGAACCCATGTACATTACAACAATTATGCCACAATGCAATAACATCCTAGTTTATTAGTTGAGATTTCTCCTACTCTTGTATACCCAACCAGGGCAAACCCAAACATTGTTCTTAAGGATGCATTCACATTAGGCTTATTCAGCATACAGTACATCATTTCACAAGTGTTTCACAATAAATTGTTGATATGAAAGCTGTTCATTTTTGCCTAATAAAAAAGCAAGTTATCAAAGGACTGAATTAATCAGATAACAATTTCAGGATGAGAATTTCTCTATGATCATTCAGGCTTTCAATGAGGGACTAGTCATTCTGTCTTTAGCCAAGACACTAGTCATTGTTGAGCTGAGACACTGGTCATTCTGTCTTTTAATAAGGGACTAGTCATTCTGTCATTAAACAAGATAATGGTCATTCTATGTTGAGCTGAGACACTAGTCATTCTGTCTTTAAATGAGGGACTAGTCATTCTGTGTTTAGCTGAGACACAGGTCATACCATCTTTAGTCATTCTGTAACACTGGTCATTCTGCCTCAAAATGAGACACAGATTATTTTGTCTCTTAATGAACCACTGGACGTCCTGGCTTGAGACGAGGCACTAATCATTCAACTTGGGGGAGCGACTAATAGTTCTGTTTTCCGGAGGGTCTGATCATGGGAAATGAGCTTCAATATTTCTGACTGGGATGGATCATTCTTTCTTGAGATGTCCATCATCAGGCACTTCTTGCTCCTCTTCCTCAGCTCCATTTTGTATTGCTACAAGTAGAACAATTTACTCAATTACATATCTCATAAACCCATTGCATGTTAATATACATACAGACATTGATGCACAAATGTAGTGAGTTACACAAGTAAGCTAATGTTCTACAATAAAATCTATCTAATCCAGATGCCACTGAGACTGGTGGAAAGTGTTTGAATTGGCAGGTGTTCACAGTTCAAGGTTTTTAAACATAGAAGTCTATGGCAGATTGTAATAGTGTTCACATTGAGAGGTGTTTGGATAATAGAGTTGCTCAGATAAACATGTTTTACTGAATAATTATAGAATATTACTATTGAGTTATTCTCCTCTGAACTTACACTTAAAATCTGAAATTCAATCAATAAAAATATACAGTAAAACCTCCACCTATTGGAGCCACAAAAAGTGTTCACTGTAGGTAGGTGTTCACTTTAGAGCTTTTTTTTTATACATGAGTCAATGTAAAAAATGCCTTGAAGTGTTGTTCAATAAACACAGGTGTTCACCATGGAAAGGTGTTCACTAAGACAGGTTTTACTGTACACTGCAAATGACTTACATGCTCCACCAGAATACACATCATCATCATCATCATCTTCATCTTTCTCCATCTCATTCTCATCCATGGGTTCCATACAGCAAAGGGCATAGCATACTACTGATATTATCAATGAAGGCAGGCCAAACACCAATAGACCAAGCCAAATGGATGTCGCCCATACACTCTGTAATACAAGAGGGCATAGCATACAACTGATATGATCAATGAAGGCAGGCCAAACACCAATAGACCAAGCCAAATAGATGTCGCCCATACACTCTGTAATACAAGAGGGCATAGCATACAACTGATATGATCAATGAAGGCAGGCCAAACACCAATAGACCAAGCCAAATGGATGTCGCCCATACACTCTGTAATACAAGAGGGCATAGCATACAACTGATATGATCAATGAAGGCAGGCCAAACACCAATAGACCGAGCCAAATAGATGTCGCCCATACATTCTGTAATACAAGAGGGCATAGCATACAACTGATATGATCAATGAAGGCAGGCCAAACACCAATAGACCAAGCCAAATAGATGTCGCCCATACATTCTGTAATACAAGAGGGCATATCATACAACTAATATGATCAATGAAGGCAGGCCAAACACCAATAGACCCAACCAAATAGATGTCGCACATTCACTCTGTAATACAAGAGGGCATAGCATACAACTGATATAATCAATGAAGGCAGGCCAAACACCAATAGACCAAGCCAAATAGATGTCGCCCATACACTCTGTAATACAAGAGGGCATAGCATACAACTGATATGATCAATGAAGGCAGGCCAAACACCAATAGACCAAGCCAAATAGATGTTGCCCATACACTCTGTAATACAAGAGGGCATAGCATACAACTGATATGATCAATGAAGGCAGGCCAAACACCAGGGCATGTAGACCAAGCCAAATAGATGTCGCCCATACACTCTGTAATACAAGAGGGCATAGCATACAACTGATATGATCAATGAAGGCAGGCCAAACACCAATAGACCAAGCCAAATAGATGTTGCCCATACACTCTGTAATACAAGAGGGCATAGCATACAACTGATATGATCAATGAAGGCAGGCCAAACACCAATAGACCAAGCCAAATAGATGTCGCCCATACACTCTGTAATACAAGAGGGCATAGCATACAACTGATATGATCAATGAAGGCAGGCCAAACAACAATAGACCAAGCCAAATAGATGTCGCCCATACACTCTGTCAGACAAGAGGGTATAGCATACAACTGATATGATCAATGAAGGCAGGCCAAACACCAATAGACCAAGCCAAATAGATGTCGCCCATACACTCTGTAATACAAGAGGGCATAGCATACAACTGATATGATCAATGAAGGCAGGCCAAACACCAATAGACCAAGCCAAATAGATATTGCCCATATACTCTGTAATACAAGAGGGCATAGCATACAACTGATATGATCAATGAAGGCAGGCCAAACACCAATAGACCAAGCCAAATAGATGTCGCCCATACACTCTGTAACACAAAAGGGTATAGCTTATAGTGTTTACCATCCTTACTAGGTTTGTTTATTTCATGGTATGAGGAAAATAGTTCTATTTAAAACCTGTTTGGGGACTTCAATGGTATACTACAGCACCATCTTTGGATAGAATACTCTAATTTGCAGACATATAGTGTACAGAATAACTGGAAACATGTGATCATAACAGGGAACTTTAAAATATTTGGGATTATTTTCTGCGGATGGATGTGTTTGGTAGTGGTAAATTGGTCAATGTACATAAATACGATGATGGTCTGACACCCCAACTATGTAAGAGAGCAGAACTTTTGATTTTCGTGGGATATTTTTGTTGACATTTTTTTTACATGAAGGTGAGATGTTTTGCTGTATTTCTCTGAAATTCTTGGAAAATTTATGGGCTGCGATTTGAGAAAATCTAATATAAACTTTGTCAATTTAACATGCATCTTAAATGGTACAAAAAGTAAGGAGAGTTGTACTATAACTGATGTACTCAAACTCCAGCAGACCCTTTTAGTTGTATAGATGTCACTCAAAAATGAGAATAAATTGCTTGAACAAGATTTTACTTTGGATTATTGAGTCGTTAACATTTCTCTCAAATGCTTCACTCATATCAATATGAAGAAATTTCTTATTATGGAATAAATTTGGAGGTTTGTGCAATTTTGTGCCAAAAATCTCAATTCATTGATTTATAGTTAATCTTATCTAGTCAGGTTGATCTTGATTTTAACTGATCAATATTGATCTATTTTCTTTCCTTAATCTAATTCTTTAAACAAAATAAATAGATTTGAACTCATGGTAAAGAGGTAAACATTACGGAAATGTATTTTACTTACGTATATTGCCATAAACAGCTCATAGAATGCACGCTTCAGCCTTTGGAAGAAACTGTTGCCTCCAAACGCCTTTAAAAAACACATAAGAAAATGATGAATTTTATAATCATAATTATAATTTTAAATATTTCTAATATAATTTTAAATATTTCTAATACCTCAAGATATTTGATTAACAATACATGTACAGAGTAAAATAGAATGTGCCCTTCAAAAAACATCAATAGGAAAACCATTCATTGAATGCTCATTGACATTTATTTATTATTTATGACATCATAGAGGTAGTGGCTTAAAAATGATGATTTTGGTTCAAATATTTGAATGATTGATGATTTATAAATGAACATGGTTAATACATAAGTGTTAAAATGAGCAACAAACATATACTGTATTCTCTCTTATTAGCACCCAGGAAGTTTAGAAAATTCAAAATACCACTTTCAGACAATTAAATAGCTTTTCTGATGTATTCATTTATACTTGGTTACTTTGTGAAGCGGGTTGGGTGCTCATTAGGGGGTGGGCACTAAATATGGCAATTGTGGAGTTCCTTTCTTTAATATCAACATGATACATGAAATTCTGTCTACCCAAGTACAGTATGAAATATTCCATATACCTGTATTTTGCCATCTCTACATCCCTCTATAAATGTTTTCATATCTTCTATACACATTTTATCCACTCGTCCCTCAGGTGTGTAGTAGTACATAGTCTCCGTGTCATACACCAACATACCTGTTTAAATGTTTAAGATCATAGAAATAATATGACCATGGCTGCTGAGTAATTCCTATATATTTCTAATCAAATCATTTTGGGTTCATTTTTTACATGAACAAATAAAAAGATATCAAACAATCAATTTAAGAAGTGTTTTCTCATGACTTCTTGATGAATTTGGACTACTATCAATAAAATCAAAAGGAAACCATAGAAACTAAAATACCTGGCATTGGAATGGTTGTCATGGTTATGCTATTCACTGCTTCATTGTCAGACATCCAGACGAATTGGAAATCTCTGAAATCGAATGAGTACTATGCATGATGCTTGTGATTTATGGCTAATAGAGAGCTGTCTTACAATTGTGTAAACTCAGAGGTTTCCTTCTATGTTCGGATTTTAGCAAATTTAACTGAAAAAGCATATTGACAAAAGTGATAAAGATTTTTCAAATTGACAAAGCTACATTTTTTAAAATTACAAAATATTTGAAGAATTTAGAGTATGTTAGGGTAACACTCTAACAGCCCTATTCAGACAGTCTGCACTTTGTGTTTTGGGTGGAATCATCAATCAACATGCATATTTCAATGCACTCATACATACTGTGAGCACATTTGCTTTCAATTATTTGAATGTTTACCGCATGTAGATGTTCTACATTAAAGAAAAAAGTACATGAAAGCCAAAAATATTTTTCAACCAACACAGAAAATATGAACTTCCAGACAAAGTAATATTCTGTAAGAACAGGCCCATATCAAGCTTTTGCCAAGGGGGGGGGGTTGTTTTAAAATAAATCCCCCCTCCCTCCCCACCTGGGTATGGGGCTGAAGAGTATGACCCACAAAAGTTTAAATGGTAATGATAAATTGTGCCTCCAAAGCAATCAACTTCAGATACCACCATCAATACAAACAATACAAATGAGAAGCCCTCTATGAAAAGTTCCCAGATGGTACAGATCATTTTTTCATTAGGCCAGGTTTAGTACCATTAACAAAGTGATGTCTAAATACATGAATAACTATATTACTCACTTGTGGTATTTGCTTCTCTGGTTAACCGCCATCATTCTTACTTGTTCTTTCACTCTGGAAATTAAATATAGATTTTTTTTTTCAATCTACAAGTAGATCCAATTGTGGGATCCCCATTTCTATCCCTTGGATGGATCTCTCACAAACTTCAGATACAGAGAGACTCTGATAAATCAGAATGTTTGATCCAACTTTTAATTTTCTTTTCATATAGTGTCTTCATTTTCAATATAAGGCAATTCAAAGTTAATTCTACTTTTAACATACTGACAAAGGGCCATATTTTTGGAGGGTGGAATGTGAAAAGACAAACAATTGTCTATTAGGATCTTATATTATTCAATAGTAAAATTTCTCAATTTTAAAGTTTCTGTTGTGATTTGAATAGATAACAAGTACATAAATGGACACCTGTTTGTTTGTTTGTTTCATTTATGAGCCTGAATCATTGAAGGGATGTGATGTTAAACATATATTAAACTTTGAATGGCCTTAATCAAAAATTTCAAAATGTCACTTCTTCTTTAAATTCCACGTTGGCATTTAGACCATTAGTTGCTATTTTATTAGTGTCTAGAACATATATATCATATGCGAAATTACGCAGACTTGTTACAATTCTCATAACTTTCCATAGAACATAAAATATATACAGTACATGTATATGAAAACAAAAACAAAAATATTTTGTAAAAATAGAATGGATTTTAGTGCATCTATAGTATCATATCACACTATTTATCAAACATTCTGTGGTCCTTTGAAGAGTCTTTTTTGACAGTGATCAAGTCTAAATTCTCTTCATCATCAGCAATGAACATACGTACTGAGAGAAGGAACTGATTTGTTTACATTCTTTAAGAAACTGTTTCATTTATGAGCCTGAATCATTGAAGGGATGTGATGTTAAACATATATTAAACTTTGAATGGCCTTAATCAAAAATTTCAAAATGTCACTTCTTATGTAGCATTACCATCATGAAAAATAAGTTGATCTCAAACAGCTTCATCTACTATTATTACTATTTGCCTCTAGGCATCAAGGTGGATCCTGTAGGTTTGTGTTTTGCATCTGCAGGACTGGTTAATGTTATTTATAGGTTGTTATTGCACGCCTACACATGCATTTTTGGATGCCTACATAAATTTTCATGGGTACATGTTGATTGCATCTGCCAATCTGTGATTTTATTGAGAAAAATTAAAACGTGTATTATTCATTTATTCCATTTATCTATATGTTTACTGAAGTATGTTATAAGTACAAAGCAAATTCTGCAGTTATTTAGCTAAAGGTTGTATGAAAAGATATGAAAAGGTACAGAGCAGATTTTGCAATTTTTTATAGTTAAAGGTTGTATGTGAAGAAGTGAAAATGTTAAAAAATTATATTCTGGTAAAGTGAAAAGCCGGTTGTTGGTGAATATTTATGTTTTATATTGCATAGATATCATGACACTGCTGCTATACTGTCCTCTCTAACTGCCAATGATTGTTTTTGATGATGCATATATATTGGTGTAGGGTTGTAAACAAAATATTACATAGCAAATACAAGTGTATTCAAGTTGTTACATTTTTACGTATGATCTGTAAAATGAAGCCCTCTGATTGGTCAGATCTTTTGCTGTACCAATCTGTATTGCTACTGAGATTGTCCCCATTGATCATCTCCATCGCAAAACAGAAACTATTGGTATGGAGGGGACTCTCGATATTCTGTATTGGCACTCGACTTTGTCCCGTTCTAATACAGAATTTCTTGAGCAGAATATATCCTGTATTGCACTTCAAATCATTCAATAACTTATAATATTTCAAATTGTTTAATTCAAGGGCGACCGCAATACAAGAAACATCACAAAATGAAAGCCACTTCTTATGAAATTGTGAATATTTTCTATGAAATTATTGTTGTATCTTGAATTAATTTAAAGTTCAGAAAAGTTAAGTGTTTAAGAGTTAGATTTCTGTCAATGTCAGTATATATGGAACAGTTTCTTAAAGAATGTAAACAAATCAGTTCCTTCTGTCAGTATGTTCGTTGCTGATGATGAAGAGAATTTAGACTTGATGACTGTCAAAAAAGACTCTTTAAAGGACCACGGAATGTTTGATAAATAGTGTGATATAATGCTATGGATGCACTAAAATCCATATTCTATTTTTATAAAATATTTTTGTTTTTGTTTTCATATACGTGTACTCTACATATTTTATGTTCTATGGAAAGTTATGAGAATTGTAACAAGTCTGGGTAATTGCCCATATGATATATATGTTCTAGACACTAATAAAACAGCAACTAATGGTCTAAATGCCAACGTGGAATTCAAAGAGCAGACAAAAAACATTTAATGCCATTTGAAACTCAAAACATTCAAACATTACTCTTCATTCAGCTAATTTGAAATGAGGAATAAAATTAGCAACCATGATGTATAGGACCATTTACACACCAACACACAAAATGTATCTCTTGAACCAAACACAGCATACCATGCTACTCACCAGCTAAATGCAGAGGTGCTGCAACATGGATAAGAAAGATTACTTTAGACAGAATGAACTTTACTCAATGACTGGAGATACATGATAACATCTGAATGTTCAAGATTTATACATTTTGTTGTACGTAATTGAAAATATTAGAAAACTGTTAACGCCCACATATATCACCACATGAAGGCCGAAGGGAGGCGCATGTCAAATTTCAAAAACAGATCCAAGACATATGAAACTCTTAACACATGTTAAGGGCCTCATAGGAATCTACAGAAAATCGAAATGTATTCAGGGCAAAACTTGCACCACTTTTGTTCATGTTTATCAAGCCAGCAGTACATATTAATAATAACACCCAGACCTTCATCCTCATAGATATATCATCATTAGTTACAGAAAACTTGAGTAAATTCCTTGGAAATATCATGGAAGCTACCTGTGAAAGGCTAATGGACATTTGTTCAGTGATATACTTCAGAAATTGAACTCAACATCACATTCCTTTAAGCATGGAACAGTGAATGCATGATCAGCTGTTTTCAAATAATCTACCAGTTCCAACTCACGGATGTATTGGATATATTTATAAAAAAAAGATTTTAGAGAATCGAGGACTTCTTGACCTAGTAGCTGGTACTACTTAGAAATTTTAGACAGTCTCTAGGAAATATCACCTATCAACACTCAGAAACAGAAGCAACAGGCATTCTCAGACGAACTAGTAACAATCAAAAATAACATTAAAAAAATTAAATATATACAAGAAGTAATGGCACTAGATGTAAAGAAATCATAAACGAGATAAAACAAATATCTAGGGGAGGACAGATAATATAGAGAGAAACGACCTGTTGAATTGATTCAAAACCACTTTAGGATCAATCTTATCAGCAAAATGAAAGTGCCAAACTATTGGATATTTTGTTTATGGGGGACACTTGTGATATACAATGCCACCGCTAGAATGGGTGACCAACAAATGAAGCCAACCATCCATAATGAGGAACAACCATCACAAGCTGAAACACTACCAGTAAAGCAAGGAAAACCTCAAATGAGAGCTGGTCAGAAGTTAAAACATATGAGAACAACAGAAGCACCAACCCTGAAGCCAACGAGACCCCCTCAGACACCAAAACAGAAAAACAAACCTGCAAACGCAAGAGGGAAATCAAAACAGGCGTCAATGAAATCAAAATTCCAAACTCCAGAAAGAACACATGATACGAATCCTGCTCATAATTACAATCAAGAAAATATTGTCAGATCGAATCAAGAAAAGTCTGGTCCCACAAAATGTGAATATGCTATCGTTGTTAATGAAATTGACAGTAGGAAATGTCCAACCCTTTTACAAGGAGCTGTTGATGCTCAACAAGACCCAACACCCAACAAGGTACCTACGCATCAACCTAATGTTGATGCACTAAAAGATAAAGTCCAGGAGGTGGAGAAAACAGTGTTATTAGAAACACTAAAAACTGACGATCTCTCAAAATCTATTTCAACATTCGATACCTTGCTCAAGCAAACTCAAAATGCAATAGAGAATAATGAAGCCAATATAACCCATGTACAAAAACAGATGGCCAAAATTGAGAAACTATTGCGGATACAGAAACTCTATTATAAAAACATTGACAGCAAAATTGGCGGCCTTATGCTGGATTTTCAAGAGGTATAATCTTTAGTCTTTATTCTTAGATACTGTGTACAGTCAAGTCCACAGATGCAGCAATTCATGGTTATTTAAGTGCATGCATGGGGGAAGTTGAGGTATTACCTCAGACTATGCATTTGATTGTACATGTTACAATTACACCCAAATATTGCCCCCAAATAAAAAGTAAAAATAAACATGTCTCTAGTTTAAAAAAATGGATTTTTTCAACGAGAGTTCATTTAAATTTCTTTACACCAAGATTATTTTATCCCTCTGGAATGTTTATTTTAGAAACATCAAGGTTAGGGAAACATCTGTCTAAATAGTAAAATATTTAGCTTAGGAAATTCCTCCCAAATAGACTTAAAAGTTGTTTCTGACATGTTCCTTATCAATCACCATTTAGTGGCCTTAACCAGGTCAGACTTTGGCTGAGTGGAGTTTAAAGATCAGAGTGATAAGGCATAGAAGAGCTCAAAAATTAAGTAAAATTATTGAAGCCTAAAAACAAAGACGATTTAATTTTCAAATTGTCAAATCAAATGATGAAATGATGAGATATGAGTGATATCACAAGATGTGAAGGTTATGAGAAATCCAAACCCAAAAACATGAGATATATGAAATATCACAACATGTAAAGGTTATGAGAAATCCAAACCCCAAAACATGAGATATATGAAATATCACAACATGTAAAGGTTATGAGAAATCCAAACCCAAAAACATGAGATATATGAAATATCACAACATTTAAAGGTTATACATAAGACATCCAAACCCCAAAAAAACATGAGATATATGAAATATCACAACATGAACAGGATATAAGGTAACACCAGGACATTGGTAGATTACCCCCAGTGAAGACATTGCTACACACTTCATTATTTAGTAACTGAAAACCAACATAGCAACGCTATCTTGTTTCTTAAAATATATGCACTCAACACAAGTAGCAATTCATCAGAAGTTATGTTTATGTAAATGTTCAATCACTTTCATCACTGTAATGTTTAATTACTTTAATATAGAATTACATTTCATTACTATAATGTTCAATTGCGTTTCATTACTATAATGTTCAATTGCGTTTCATTACTATAATGTTCAATTGCGTTTCATTACTATAATGTTCAATTGCGTTTCATTACTATAATGTTCAATTGCATTTCATTACTATAATGTTCAATTGCGTTTCATTACTATAATGTTCAATTGCGTTTCGTTTCATTACTATAATGTTCAATTGCGTTTCATTACTATAATGTTCAATTGCGTTTCATTACTATAATGTTCAATTGCGTTTCGTTTCATTACTATAATGTTCAATTGCGTTTCATTACGGTTGAATTTCTTGCTTTAAGCACCAGTTGGAATTTATTGATACTGTATTTTATTTTATCATATCTTACTATGTTCTATTTCTAATAATACTTTCAATACTGGAGAAATGCACCAACAAACCCAAGATATTAGACAATGTAACTCCTCTAATAAGACCTATATGCCATTTTCCAGTGGGTCTAAATGATCTTGTTCACTTGAGATTCCACTTTATCTTCAAAAGGATAGGTATCGATATGGAGAACTGAATTCAACAATGTTTTTCTCTTAAACTAATCAGTGAAAACATTCTGTAAAAAAACATGGTATTTTATGTAATGTTGACTGATTTACGACAATTTAATGCGAAAATTATTTAGAAATATTTTATATAACTGTTTTTGTTAACATTTTTTTTTAGTGCAATTGTTTTTGCTCCTTTCTACCAATTCTTGAGAATGAAATAAAATGTCTTTCCGAACCTTGTTGGAACAAAATAGCATATACAACATGTTTTTAGACCTCTCAATATTAAAGTTATCCAAAGGAATTTTTGGTTGATTTTAAAAAAGTATTCAAAAAATAAAAACAAAATCCCCCCAAAATAGATAAAAATCAAGAAAAAAACGTTTATCTAATTAACAAGATTTTTTTTTTAAATCAACCAAAATTTCCTTTGTACAATTACAAAATTGAGAGACCTAAACATGTTGTGTTTATGTCGTTTTGTTCCAATGATGTTCGGAAAGATATTTCATTTCACTCTGGAAACATGATACCAAGAACAAAACAAGTGTTTGATGGGTTTTTTAAAACAATATAGATGAAAGTATGTATATCTATTTCAAATTATATTGTTACCATTCAAAAGATAGCCATTAAATTGACAATTTGTGAGATTTTCAGAAATTTTTGATGACTGGTTTAAGAGAAACGTGTGTTCAAAAAGTTTGCCATATCGATACCCATTCTTTCTAAAAACAAACATGATAAACTTCAATCTAAATCATAGCCTTGGCAAAAATTCAATGGAAGTTTCAAAATGTAAAATATCATGTATCTCTAGGTGACGAACACTCTGGAAAAGCACCAACTGCTACTGCCAACCCCTTCCACAGAAAACAAGACAATAGCTGTAGAGAGTGTACAAAAGACACAAGCGTGTGGAATCACCAACAAAAATGTCACACGATACAGAGGTAGGAAGTCAAATCAGCATTTCTATTCTTGGTGAGGAAATAACAGGCTTGAGGCTTTAGGTTTTTGCCAAAATATGCAATATATTTTGTAAACTGTACATTTATGAAACATCAGTATCTCATGTCACAAAAAACTCACAAGTTAAAACTCACCAGTTAATTTTTCACTCAATATTGACTTTCTAAATAGATGCCCATGGGCTTCAGAAGGGATGTGATCATACTACCTGCTCCTCTGAGTTCACTACTTAGTATAACTTTAATGATCATACATCTAGTACAGGTAGTTTATTTCATACTCTACCCTTTAAAATTATTTTAAAAATTCATATATCTTCAGTCATATGAGTATATCAAACATTTCTGCTTCCAGACTGTGTGTCTGTGCTGCTTGATGGATTTTACAAGAGTGGTATCTATTACATCACACCTATCTATGCAGCGGGTGCGATACCTGTGTGGTGTGACATGGATACGCCCCCTGGGGGCTGGATGGTGATTCAAAGACGTATAGATGACACACAAAGCTTCAATAAAGGGTGGAAGGAGTATCGAGAAGGATTTGGTGATGTCAGCAAAAATTTCTGGCTTGGTCTTGACAACATGTTTCTTTTAACCAATCAGAAGCATTATTCACTCCGAGTTGACTTGTGGGATTTTTTTGATAGTCGCGTGTATGCTGAATATAAACATTTCTACATCGATGGCCAAAGAGACCGATACAAGCTCCACGTGGCTAATCACACTGGCTCCTGCCCCGATGGTCTCAGCCATCATAATGGCGTTGCATTTTCAACCCCCGACCAGGACAATGATGCCTGGGCAGACTACCATTGCGGCCAGGAGTGGGTATCAGGATGGTGGTTCAACAACTGCTGGTTTGTCATCCTCAACGGACAATATTATAACAGCTCCGAGGTGAAGTATCGGGGAATATCATGGAACGAATGGAAACAAGAGCAACTGCAGAAAGTGGAAATGAAAATCAGACCTACTTATTAATAAACTTAAGTTACTGATAATAGGGGAAATGAATGAATGACTTGAGTAGGGAAATGTGGATGAGACACTAGCTTATTCCTGATCAATGTAATTATTGTACCTACTTTACATGTTTATCAATTGTATTTGAAAGTAAACACTGAATCATTGGAATGTATTATAAATCTGTATGACTATAAATGGCATTTCTGAGAAATTACTGCATTTACCAAATACATGTTGTACACATGCCTGCAGTGTCAAAAATGGCATTATGGACCAATGTTATTTTCCTATACCTAGTGAAAAAATCAACTGGTCCGTATCAAAAGTAAGTAGACTAATGTCCAGTGGACCGGACCTTGGGGCCTACACTGCATGCCGAGTATACATGGACTTATTTTACTACGTACTTGAGCATTAATCTAAACATAAAATGAAAATATTTGTTTCATTTCATAATGGCAAAATGTTAGTTTAATCAGCATAGTGTTGCAGTGTAGCAATTGAATAGAATACCTTGCTAAAATGTGAAAACATGCTGATAATAAAAAACTTCACTTTTGTATTGACCAATGACATATTGTCACTATATATTCTTTTTTTCAATACTTATGCAGTAATAAATAGAGTATAAGCCTACTCAAACCAATATGTAAAAAAATATCTGTTACTCAGGAACTAATATAACAAGGCATTAACATGCAAAAGTGTCACCACCTGCCATTTACTGCAGACACTGACCACCAAACACTGTCTACGATAAAGTTGGAGACTATAGCAATATGTCACCAATTCTGGTGGTGGTGACATAAAAACCTGTAAATGTGAATGCCTTTCTAGGGAAACATTTTTTTATCCTACTTTATCTGTCTAATTGCTACCCATGCTACTGAAGCCAGTCCTAACAGCATTCACTTGACAAATGTTTAACTGAACAGTGATCTCCCCAGCATTGAGAGTTCGTGGTTAGTGTGGGTGCTGCCCTTACTTAAGATTTTGAAAATGGGTTTGCACTCTTTTGAAAATCATTTTGCACTCACTCAAAAATGAGAACGAAACACAAAGTGTTGCAAATCACACTTAAAAACCAAAATGGCCACCATGTAATTTACCCAACATGATAAAAACTTAAAACATAGCTTGTATATATAGGAATTTCAAGTTGAACTGATCAATGGTTTTCATAGAATTTTGGTAACAAGATTTATGTGGGACCTGGTTCTTCAAAGTGCGATAAAACATGAAAAGTGGCATATGGGCTTTACCTGTCATGCTTAGCTTTGTTCTGGGTATCCGTTTTATCAACCACAAGTATGACGACAAGTTTGCCGAGGGTGCTCATCTCATTGAGGGCACCACCAGTCACCTGAGGAAATGCGTGAAATCTCTCAGCATTTATCCAAGCCGTCAGTTCAGACTTGGTCGCCACATTTTCCTCAGCTGAAATACAATGACACATCAGTATTATGTATGTCACCATGATTATGTTATGCGTATCAATACTCACACCGGAATAGCCTGACAATGGTAAAGTCAGATACCATTGTCACAAATGGCGGACATAACCGTTGCTTCAACTGTTTAATCACTTGGTCCTCATTTCATCGTCGCTAATTCTGTGCATGTATTAGCTCTTGTGATAATGTATCATATGAAATCCCATTTTTGATCAAATTGGGTAGTGAATCGCCACAATATAGCGTCTTCGATATCGTCAATTAGTAATTTAGAAAGACAATGGCATATGGTAATTACAGTACAGCGTCCGTTGTTCCGTATCTCATTTTGATCGGTTAAATTTAAGACTTTATTTCGATGGTAGAACATTATTAACTGTACAATGAGTATTAAGACACTTTGATTGATTGTTGTTCCAAAGGAATTTAGTCTAGGTGCTCTATTAAATATTAGGGGTACCAAGATACGATAAATTTAATATCGATACGTATCTACGATACTGACCTCGCGATACGATACGAACGATACAATGATACAGCGTAAATTGAAGTAAAACTTAACTTCATTCTAATTTTTCAAACTAGTAAAGCCGGAAGTATTTCAGCCAGATTACGTTTATTTCACATCACGACAAAGAAAGTTGTAAAATATGCTAACATCGATTAAAACATCTAAACGACGTGTGGTATTCGGGAACTATCGGGGCAAAGGAAGGTGGCAAGCAAGATACGTAACTATGACTGTCTGTCATCTCTAAGGGCTGAGTTTTTCCCTCCCTTTGGGTAAGTAAGAAGGGACTTCCGGTCAAAAAACGATACACCGATATTCATTTTATGTATCGATACAGCTCGTATCGGAGGTGAAATGCTCGAGCACTCGAGCGCTCGCGGTACCCCTATTAAATATACAGTTCATGAATTTGCATAAAATCTAATTGAAGTGACGGTTATGTCTGCCATTTGTGACAACGGTATCTGACTTGTCCGTTGTCAGGCTATTCCCGGGTGAATACTACTTAATTTCTGTTTGTCAATATTTCTGTTTAATATTGTCCATTATTTCTATTTATTTGGTGATTCAGGGTCACAAGATTGGGAGGAAATAGAGTCTCCTTTCTGTTGAAACAAAATACCAAACACACAAATAAAGCATGAATAATGACTCTCTTACTCTTTTAACAAATACACTGTACAGTAAAAATCTAGTGGAACACATCTGCAAGTGGAACACCACCACAAGTGGAACACTTTTCAATGTGACCCATTGACTTAATATAAACTTAACTTCTGACAGTGGAACACTTCCATAACTGGAATACTTTTCAATCACTTTCCACTTTCACTTTCCACTTATAGAGGTGTTCCTATTTAATGTCGGGGAACATATTCTTCATTGGTTCATATTTCACTTGACTAATGACATAAATTAAAGATATCCCTCTTAGGTCCAAAGCCTTCTCTATATTCCGGCTTTGAGTGATTGTTTACAGCCGCCCTGATATTTAATATTTGTAAATCATGGTGACACATGCACAGTTGTTATGACACAATTATATGAAATATACCTTTATGTACACATTTGCAGAATATCTAATCGATTGTTATATATATTTTAATTTAGCTAAGTGGAATTTCATTTCAAAATGGCCTCCATTTTTCTGCTGAGTGAGCTGTATAAATGGCAGATCTGTTGAGTTCGAGGTTCTTTCAGAAAAGAAATTTTGAAATATCTTGATCCAGACAAGCAACGCTTCAACTTATATATGATTAATATTCTTATAAATATTTATAAGAATTATTAAACAGGAGTTCTAGGTGTGTGTGACACTTTTTCTAGATTACAGACGAAATCAATGAAGTTACATCTAACTGTAAGCTAGAGACTGGAGTAAATCCCTCTACTTTATTCGTACAAATAACATCATTACTTTTTGATCACTACTTCTATTGAAAATGTATTGACAACTTACGTTTGAATTGATAATGTGTATGATCTTTGAAAACAAGTACTGTTGGCATTTCCTTGATTGTCCTCTTTACATCCTAAATAAAACAAAATGGAATCACAAACTTATTTTATCTACTTTTCTAAAGATCCACAAGTGCATCTTCAATAAATATATGTACATGAATATGTAAAATACAGGGTGGTGCAAAAAATTGGAACATTTGTAAATTGTACAAAAACCTTTATTTTTTCTCTAAATACACCAATACATTACATACATGTATATCATAGAAAGTGTTATTAATACAATAAGGTACAATAAGAGGTAATGTATCTCACCTCAGGCAAAACATTGGCACTTCCTATGTAAAAGTAGCTTTGAACAGCTAATTCTTCAGCTATTTCAGCATATTTTTTCTGAAAATGCAAAGAAAAATGCAATTTACGAAAACCTAAAATTTAAAGGATAGTTTTACTCAGCTGAATGTCGTGGAAGGTAAACCAAATTTAAAGAATGTCACCCCTAAAATATAAATTAAAATTATCAATTGAAGTTATCATTTAAAATTGTAATTACAATTACAACAGTTTTCTAGAATTAACTTTTATTTGATTTACTAGACCACTAACCACCCTTGGTAATGAAAAAGGTATGCTGTTTTGCACTTTAAGTGAACAAAACAAATCATCTTTTACCAAATACATGATATGAAAGGAATTGAAATTGTAGAATATAATGTTAAGTATAAAAGACAGTGCCTTATGACAACATACTTACATAGAGATCGTCATGGGGATCAGAGGTATCTCCTATATACATGAAGAAAACACTGTTGCCACGGAGACCAACCTCCTCCTTATATTTGCCAACACTGGCCACTGGACGCAGAATTGGTCTGAAAGAACCAAATTCATTAATATGTTTAAATGGACACAATCACTTTTTAAAAGATTTATAAAACATTAACATGGGGTCTGTTTGATAAAGAAACAAATCTTGTTGTTGAAACTATTAGCACTTTGTGGTACTGATCCCCATGCTACTACAACAGCCATATCTCAAACCGTTTGGAATTTGGCAATAACATTCTGGATGTGTAACTAAAATATTACTAAATATATAGGAATTCAATTTGTGAACCTGGTATTGGTGAATCTGCATGGAATTTTCCACTCTTAAAATAGGCCTAACGCTGTCAATGATCCTACATCCTAAATGAATAATTGTTCTCAAACTATTAATCCAAATCCAAACTTTAGAGATATTGATATGAAAATAAAGGTTTTAGATCAAGAGATTTGTTTTGCATTCGGTTCCATGCTAATTAGATCTAGAGTGCCATATTAATTGAATATAGAGGCTATTATATAGATTTTTGTTTCTCCAATTTGAAGAGCATTTAATTCCATTGCATGTTATTTTGAGCTGATACGCTACACAATTTTGAATATGTTGTGAGAATAGTTGGAAGGGAAGTTTAAATAAAATGAAACCAATTGAATTCATACTGAAGGACAAGCAAATCCATAGATTCACAATGTGAGCCAAAATATGCATGAGGTGCATGTACCTAATGAACTGATGGGACGAGTTGGAAAAAATACTGTTCACAAGTTGAGAATTATTTTCTTTGTTCACAAACATAGGTTTTACTGCAAATATTTAACATACCCTCTCGCTCTGTGAGCAAACTCGACCAGTGCTTCCTTTGATCTTTCTCCATTATGTGTGTATACTTTGTCACCAGTGATACTGCAACATAATCATATTAACAATAAATGATGTGTTAATTTCATAAATAGGATTAAATCCTATGCTAAGGGCTAATGTGAAAAAGTCACTCAACTCTGGTAGAAGTACCTATTTCAAAAATCAACTTTCACACCTAATAAATCACAAACCATTTTGAAATGAGAAGTCATTTGTCAGACAGACACATCCATAAAACATGGTATTTTCAGGTTATAGGAAAATATTCCATTTCAAAACTAATTCCAGCATTTTGAAATGACATTGTTCACTAGTTTTATCTACAAAAAATAAATGCCTTATTCATTAAGTGTCATCCTCTGTAGCTGTATAATGCAGAAATGATTTCTAGGATACAATAAATTGTACAAACAAAACTCACAATTTTATAGTTGGAAAGCCCCGAACTCCAAACTCTGATGAAACTCCAGTAAAACGAGTGGCATCAATCTTTGCAACGTGTATCCCAGCATTCCTGAGTGCTAGTGCAACTTCCTTGTAGGTAGGCTCTAGTTTCTTACAGTGCCCGCACCATGGGGCGTAGAACTGAAGCAAAGTATTTATTATTGTACAACATTGTATTCAAATTATTTGTCTCTGCTTTCGAGTCACAGTGGAGGTATCCAAATTGAATTGAATATATTATGGTTGCTTATACATCCATGAATTGAATACGTAACCAAGCTTATTTCCACATCATTGGTCAGTGGTTACCCTGCGTGCAGAGTCTAGTTAAACTACACTCTGCCTAGTAGAGACCATATTACAGTTTAGTAGCCCTGCCCCTACGACGGGTACCGGTGACAGTTTGGGTAAATCACTTTTGACCTACGCGCTGACCTTCCACCAATCAGTGAGCTTGAAGAAACATGCGCCAAATGCGTTTGAATTAAATCTTTTCACAGATTTCATTGCACATGTAGATCCAATGTATAATAGTGTGACTGTCTTTAGCCAATGAGAATATATTGAATGCAGATATTTACCTCTATGAGCCAATCACCTTGCTTCCTTAACTCCAGAAATCTGTAAATCATACAAACTAGTAGTTATCATTTAAACAAGAAAAAACATAGTCAGCATTATCTATCTGCAAGTCATCAGGCCAGAACATCTATCCTTGAAAAAATATTGGGCTCGGCTATTACGCCTCACCTAATATTTGTTTCTCAAAGAGGTATTCTGCCATATCCAGCTCCTGATCATCCAGTATTTGTATAATATCGCCTTAGCAAAATGCATTAACGTTATTTCTCCTTATTTTCCAATTATTCAGTGGTACTTTTATTGGTGGTGGGATAATTAGTGATTTAAGTTTTTAATTGCAGTCTCTTGTGTAGTATGTATCCAACAGACCAAATGTAATATTCGGTCTAAATTTATTCAGACGAAGGATACAGATTACAGTCTAGTCTCTTGTGCATCTTGTCATAATTGGAAAACTCACAAATACTTGCTAATAGCCTTAGCCCTAGACTGTATCCTTCGTCTGAATAAATATTCAGACTGTAAGTCACCTATTGTAAAATGTGGTGTTGTATAAATGTTACAAATAAGTTTGTTAATGATAAAATGATTATAGTGCTGTCTCCAGCTCCGATTTCGGTGATCGGCTAGTATAAAAGGTTTGAGGGTATCATTTTGTTCCAGACACTCGCTAGAGTAAATTATCCTAACTTGAGTAAAAATGTGTGGTAAGTAAATTCGCTATGGGCAGTTAAAGAGGCCCCATCTATTCATTTTCAAACAGGGGGTAGGGGTATAAAATAATTTTTAACACATTTTAATAGTAAAATGACATTGAAATACTAATAAAATCTTATCAAAAACATTATTTACAATCAGTATGAATTTTCTTGTGTGGATTAGGGTGAAAATATGGGCATATCTTGAAATTCACTACAGGGGCGCCACCTATTTTCATACTTCTACCACGTGTAATAACTTATTTTAGATTCGTTAAGGTACGACATGTACTGAAAAAATTCATTCTGAAGGACCTAAATATGTTCATATCACATACTTAAAATTGGATCAATAGCTTTTGTACTGGCGGAGAAAAAAATTATTGAAATTTAAAATTGTGGCATCATGCAGGATAGGGGTGACCATATCTCACATTATTAACTTCCAAAATATGGAGCATATGTATCTCAAATGTACTCAAAATGGTGTATGTACTCTTGCTTTGTCATAATATTACTAATAAGAAGTAGAAAAATGATTGTACAATTTCAAAAAATATTAATTCTCATTTTGGCTTCTGACGTCCCAGGGGTGACCATATCTCACCTTGATAACTTCCAAAATATGGAGCATATGTATCTCAAATGTGCTCAAAATGGTGTATGCACTCTTGCTTTGTCATAATATTACTAATAAGAAGTAAAAAAAATGATTGTACATTTTAAAAAATATTAATTCTCATTTTGGCTTCTGACGTTCCAGGGGTGACCATATCTCACCTTAATAACTTCCAAAATATGGAGCATTTGTATCTCAAATATGCACAAAATGGTGTATATAGTCTTGTCCTGTCATAATATTACTAATAAGATGTAGAAAAATGATTGCTCATTTTTAAAAATATTAATTCTCATTTTGGCTTCTGACGTCTCAGGGGTGACCATATCTCACCTTAATAACTTCCAAAATATAGAGCATATATATCTCAGATGTACTCAAAATGGTGTATGTACTCTTGCTTTGTAATAATATTATACTAATAAGAAGTAGGAAAATGATTATATATTTAAAAAATTTTAATTTTAGCTTCTGACGTACCTGAATAACTTCTAAAATTATGTAACATATACAACTCAAATATACCAAAAATGGGGCATTTAGTCTTGCTTTGTCATAATGCTATTCATGAGATGTAAAAAAATTAATACACCTTTTTTTAATTGAAATTTTCATTTTAGCTTCCGAATCTGACATCCCAGGGGCAATTATATCTCACTTTGATATAACTCTCACGATATGCAACATATGCATCTCAAATGCATGCCCAAAATGGTATAAATATAGTCTTGTTTTGTCATATTTATTGGATTTATGAAATCAGAAGTTCAGAATTTATGGATTTGACTGTCTCCCCTGAAGGGTGCAGCTACATATAGCCCAGAGACAATAAGATCTACTTTCAAATATTTGCATCTTCTCCCCAAACACTCCTTATATTACAGGAACAATGGACGATAAGTCTTTTGCATGCCTTGGATGCAACATCTTTTGTATACTGGTAGCCTATCAGTAGTGTGAGTGCTTAGCCTCATTTACAAAAATTGGCCCCTTAACCCCAAATCTGACCCGAAATTTTGAAAACATCCTGAAAAATTAGGCCTAAAAGGCGCATTTATGCCCAAACATACACCAAACTGTCCCACTGCTAAATTACAAGGGCGATAAGTCACTTCTAATCCTGATTGACATTCTCTAGTTTGCATGGTTTGTCATGTGCTATATTGTTATTGCCCAATCCCAACAATTGTATTCACTGTATGGCCTACCGTGCCAAGAATAATGCAATTGTTCCAAAAGCTAATCTCTTCTTTGGGACCCTAGAAGTGTGGGACATCACAATCATAGATTAATATCTCATTACAATCAATGTATGTTATGACAAACATGCAAACTAGAGAATGTTAATGTGGCTAGAAAGATTTATCATTACAAAGAGCTCCTTTTCCCATATTTTACATACTCAAAATCCCTTAATTCAGTGTATAATCCAAGGTGCATATATTGCAGGCCACAGGATAACATATTAACACCTTACATTAGCAGTTGCCATTACTTCATAAATGGAGTAAAGTACTCCCACTATTGAAAGGCTAAAAGGATTCCTGTATGGATTACAAAAGAATGTTGGGTCCAATGTATGCAAGGGAATAATCTCATCCATTGTACTTGTAAAGGGTGTTTGGGGAACAGATGCAAATATTTGAAAGCAGATATTATTTGCCCTGAATTATATGTAGCTGTAGAGGAGACAGTCAAAATCCATTGATTCTGAACTGTTGATTTCATGATTCTCAATAAATATGACAAAACAAGACCATTTTGAGCACACATTTGAGATGCATATGTTGCATATCGTGAGAGTTATCAAGGTGAGATAGCCCCTGGGACACCAGAGGCTAAAATTAAAATTTAAAAAAAAAATGTAATCATTTTTCTACATTTCATTAGTAATATGAAAAAGAGAATATTTGAGGATTATATTTTACGTATCTTAGAAGTTATTATTATTATTATATGGTGCGATATGATTACCCAGGAACGTAAGAAGCTAAAATTAAAATTTTTGAAATGTATAATCATTTTTCTACTTCTTATTAGTAATATTATGACAAAGCAAGAGTGCATACACCTTTTTGAGTACATTTGAGATACATATGCTCCATATTTTGGAAGTTATTAAGGTGAGATATGGTCGACCCTGGGATGTCAGAAGCCAAAATGAGAATCAATATTATTTTAAATGTACAATTATTTTTTTACTTCTTATTAGTAATATTATGACAAAGCAAGAGTACATACACCATTTTGAGCACATTTGAGATACATATGCTCCATATTTTGGAAATTATTATATTAAGGTGAGATATGGTCACCCCTGGGACGTCTAAGCCAAAATGAGAATTAATATTATTTCAAATGTACAATCATTTTTTTATTACTTCTTATTAGTAATATTATGACAAAGCAAGAGTACATACACCATTTTGAGCACATTTGAGATATATATGCTCCATATTTTGGAAGTTATTAAGGTGAGATATGGTCACCCCTAGGACGTCAGAAGCCAAAATGAGAATCAATATTTTTAAAAATGCACAATCATTTTTCTACTTCTTATTAGTAATATTATGACAAGGCAAGAGTACATACACCATTTTGAGTACATTTGAGATACATATGTTCCATATTTTGGAAGTTATTAAGGTGAGATATGGTCACGCCTGGGACGTCAGAAGCCAGAATGAGAATCAATATTTTTTAAAATGTACAATCCTTTTTCTACTTCTTATTAGTAATATTATGACAAAGCAAGAGTACATACACCATTTTGAGTACATTTGAGATACATATGCTCCATATTTTGGAAGTCATTAAGGTGAGATATGGTCACCCCTGGGACGTCAGAAGCCAAAATGAGAATTAATATTTTTTAAAATGTACAATCATTTTGCTACTTCTTATTAGTAATATTATGACAAAGCAAGAGTACATACACCATTTTGAGTACATTTGAGATACATATGCTCCATATTTTGGAAGTTAATAATGTGAGATATGGTCACCCCTATCCTGCATGATGCCACAATTTTAAATTTCAATAATTTTTTTCTCCGCCAGTACAAAAGCTATTGATCCAATTTTAAGTATGTGATATGAACATATTTAGGTCCTTCAGAATGAATTTTTTCAGTACATGTCGTACCTTAACGAATCTAAAATAAGTTATTACACGTGGTAGAAGTATGAAAATAGGTGGCGCCCCTGTAGTGAATTTCAAGATATGCCCTTATTTTCACCCTAATCCACACAAGAAAATTCATACTGATTGTAAATAATGTTTTTGATAAGATTTTTTTTACTATTAAAATGTGTTAAAAATTATTTTATACCCCTACCCCCTGTTTGAAAATGAATAGATGGCGCCTCTTTAACTGCCCATAGCGAATTTACTTACCACACATTTTTACTCAAGTTAGGATAATTTACTCTAGAGAGTGTCTGGAACAAAATGATACCTTCAAACCTTTTATACTAGCCGATCACCGAAATTGGAGCTGGGGACAGCATCATTACCTTATAAAGAACTTACAATATTATTTTTTCGTATATTGTCCTCTTACTGAAGATATTCATAAAATGTACAGACGCTTCTTGTAGCGAAGCCATTGATTAGGTCAAGCCATTTTGGCAATGCCAATTCTCACGATAAACGAGATTTAGCCAGTGACGTCAGTCTATTTGTAAACAAATAACACGTGGAGCGGACGGAGCAACATTACGGAAGCGTATTGATAAATTCCATTTGTGCGGGAATTTATTAGATCTAGTCATTTATTATCATTATCCCGATTAATTTTCTTCATTTATAGTAAATAGAGCGGAAATATTCATGAAGAAGGCCGAGGTAATCAAGTGGTCATGTGTTGTCAAAGTTCAAAAATTTGCATATCTCGTTTGGATCTCGTGAACTCAAACGTCCTTGACATTGATTTCGCGATCTACTTATGAACACATCCTGAAGTTTTGGTGAGTCTGAACATTTCATTATTTTATATCAACTTGTACCCGCCTTATACAAATATTTTTGCTTCTAGTTTAAGATGAACATCTCTTCAACATATTCACCAATTTTCGAGGTGAACATTCTTGTAATAAACGAAAAATTTATGTGCAAAAAATATCACCGCGATTTCCACAGGAAATATATCAAGCATAACAGACCGAATATTATATTCGGTCTGTTGGATACATACTAGCCTTAGCCCCCAATCACCTGTATAATCTGTATCCAACAGTCTGACAAGAAGTCAATCTGTATATTTTCATTCCAAACAGAAATGTCAGACGAGAGGAATATAGTCTACCCCCCCCCCCCATGGTAATAATAGAACAATGAATGTGATGAGAAAATAATTATTTCTTACCGCTCATCAAGCTCCAAGACTTGGCCATATACCGCAGAGAAAATACAACCTATGAAAAGAAATATCATATTTATTCATATAATACCTTTGCTTTCCGAATCAATATTCTGCATAGGACATAAATTGATAATTTACCTACCAAAAATAAAAATTGAAATGGACCGGAAGTTTTCCATACTGCTGACTCACCCCAAATAGTTTTAGGTCTGATATCATTAAAGCAGTTTTTCATATACTTACTCCAAACCTTGATGTAATTGAGATATTTTATATAATGAAAATGCATTATAATATCATTTTATCTTCTAATTTGCTTACTTAATCAATTCATGAACCAATAACTAATTGGATTCTAAAACAAACTTTGGGCGTTCATTACCCAGTTAGAAACATGGCGGCCGTGAAAAAGGTGAGTTAAAAATGTCAATACATTTTGAAAGTTTATCTGAGTTATCAATAGATTTGGTCTGTTATATAACCCTACATTATTTTGATTATCATTTGCGTATCCAAAGATATCAGAAATAACATAATCAATTAATTATACTTTACATAGCGCGTGCTTGACAACCAAATTTGACATTCATGGGCATCAATCTTACCTTTTTGTCAAGGCTGCTCTACATTGGGGATCATAAAGAATTGCAAAAGCTATGAAAATTACATGCTGTCGCACATGTAATAAATTCTTACCTCAGTGTATTCAGTGCTCTATTTTCTCCGTCTGAGTAAGTCCAAATATAGTGGAATTTGTGTCCATAATGACAAATAAGAACTTCAAAAGTTGAAGTGGATATTCACATGTTATGCCGACTCTTCAAATGTTGAGGTGATTTTGTCGCCCGATTGCGCCGGAACGGAGGATTGGCTCCCAGAATGCAACATGACATGTGCCAGCTTTCAAAATACTGTTCCGCCATTTTGAAACCTGTCATGAGTAAATACGGTAACTGATGTTGCATTCTGGGAGTCAAACTTCCTTGGATAACAAACATGGCGATTCATGAAAACATTCATTCGATTTGGTAGGGATTTATCCATTATTTGCAGGTATGAAGCTTTGTATTCATTTATTGTGCTACTTTAGTGAACGGGAATTATTTTTCTACCGCTTGGGAGAGTTTGAGACACGAAACTTGGAAATTAGCTCATTGTAACAACTTGTGAACGTTGAGTTTTATTTTTGTCCCCCACTGTAGTCTATATCCAATAGACTGCATTTCCTGAGAATTCAGTCTATTGATCATTATGTCCCTCCTGTGGGAAAAAACAGGAAATTTCAGGCACACAATTATCAATTTTAGGTAACTTCCCTTCCCAAAAATAAGCATTATAACAATTCAATTAAGAAGTAAGGTATAATTACATATGTAAATGCTATGAAAAGTAACACAGCATATTGTCAAACGGAAATAAAGCTAGGGGAAGTAACAAGTATGCAAATTAATTTACCCAGTCGGCCATTTTGAATGGCACTTCCTATGTAAACAAATATTTTTCAATCCCAAATTTTAAGGCGACGCTATATTAAATAATAAGTACAAAAAATGACTGCCATATTTTTTTGATAAGACACATGTTTTTAAAATCTGTTTACCTTGTATATGAATTGTGTATCTTGACTAATGAAACATATGTCAAAGTTAACATCACACATAAACACATTTTTCCAAACTATGAATTGGAGGTGCATGGATCCCCAAAGCTAGCATGAAGAGTGCGAAGTGAGGCTAATTTTTGAAAGTTTCAAGGAGTAGCCTTGCAACAGTCACACATTTGCAAGAGTCTAAAATTTCCACAAATCATCTTACCTTTCCCAGGAACAACGAAGGAGCATGAAAATGTGCACTTCTTGCATTGTTAGAGTATAATAAACCTCAAACCATTGTAAATTCCAAATATTTCATGTCCACATTTTGTTTGCCGGAACTACTTCTAGACTTCCTGATTAATCCTCATGCAAGTTTTGTGACTACACCAAGTGGCATGGATTATCACTTGTATGTTTTATCTATTACAGTGTAATTATCATGATAGATACATGATAGAGGCTTTATGAATGATAAACAATGGAAACATGAATGAAGATAACTCTGGACTAAAAAATAGTTCCCGGAAACAAAATGGTGGACATGAAATATTTAGAATTCACAATGGTTTGAGCTTTATTATACTCTAACAATGCAAGAAGTACACATTTTCGTGCTCCTTCATTGTTCCTTGGTAAGGTAAGATGATTTGTGGAAATTTTAGACTCTTGCAAATGTGTGACTGTTGCAAGGCTACTCCTTGAAACTTTCAAAAATTAGCCTCACTTCGCACTCTTCATGCTAGCTTTGGGGATCCATGCACCTCCAATTCATAGTTTGGAAAAATGCGTTTATGTGTGATGTTAACTTTGACATGTTTCATTAGTCAAGATACACAATTCATATACAAGGTAAACAAATTTTAAAAACATGTGTCTTTATCAAAAAAATATGGCAGTCATTTTTTGTACTTATTATTTAATATAGCGTCGCCTTAACATATGTGGGCTATAGTCTGAATATTTTCATTCCGAATTTCAGACTAGAGGATATAGTCTAAAGGCTGCTCCAGGGGGCGATTTCCTAAAGATGACCTTTGGTATTGCCACGTTCAATAACCAATTTTATAAACAGATCCCATTTGCCATTGAAATCAAATCCTATGATCACATCCTGCAAATTGATTGGACATCATATACTGAGGAATCCCCGAATATGATAGAATATGATAGAATTATGGGAGCTACTCACTCCTTCTGAGGCTGCTTTGTGTCTATATGTCATTTGACTGACTGATTTTGATAGACAGCCTTTACATGCATACAATAATCTGATATATAATCTTCACGCCTGAAACTCAAATACTGAATTCAGTTGCTAAGAATGTTCCTAACATCAGTGGCTGTTGCTTGTGAAATTACAGAAAGTTTCAGGTGCCTTTGTGCCAATCAATATGAAAAACCGGAAATGCAGCCATTCTTTATGTGCATTTGGAAATCTCCAGACAATGTGCCATTTTAATTTCTCATAAAAAGCACTCTTAGTCAGCACTGAGGCATCTGAAACTTTCCATAGTTTCACAGGCAATGGCCACTGATGAACATTTAGAGATATAAAGTAAGCAGCTGAATTCAATATTTCTGTTTCCGAATTTGATGGCAGTCATTCTGAAAAACTGGCCAATTTGGGTCTTGGGATAGTTATCAGAAATTTACACCTAACAGGATATGAAAAACCCATGTGACTTTTAGAATTTTTGAAATAAGATAACAGAGTTCTGCTTTGACATTCAGTCAGTTTTACTATTTCCATTAGATATCGATTCTTGTAACTGAACCTAAAAGTTAAGATACAAGATCATCCATGTTATTATTTTCAAAATAGTTTTATGTAGTTCCTACTTCAAAATTGTGTTTATTAGGGTGAATAAGTATAAAACACCAGGTACTGTATACCTGCATACCATGTCCATAAGTATGTTTATCTTCATCCAATACCCTTCTATCTGGTTGTTGTTTTATGTTCTTTTCATTCTCATGTAATTTTCGCTCACTTCCTGCAATATTTCCCATGATGCATTATTGTCGCAGTTGTATAAAAGTCACGTGATAAAATTGAATACTCCCAACTGACAAATGAAAGAAACGGTCACACACACACACACATCAATAGTCGGCGGAGTAAGGATAACTATTCTAGATAATCTTTACTTTATAAGAAAATTTAAGCTTTGAAATATATTAAATCTAAACAATTATTTTGGGAAATATTGGTGCAGTAGTTCTAAGGAAGAAAATCATTAGCAAAACTTACAGAGAAATTTTTTAATAAACAACATGGCGCATCTTGTATCTTTTCCAGGATAGTGAAGTTCATATTACATATGAGGACCAGCAGCAAATCAACAAATTTGCAAGATTCAATGCAAAACTACAAGACGTCAAGGATGAATTAAATGCAAAGAAAGTAAGTTTACAAATCAACAAATTCAACAACTTGTGTCGAAAATCTTGAACACCTTTTTCTAAATCAAAATCTACAAAAAATGCTAGTACAGACCCATCCACCCTTGTTAAAAAACAATTCACAATTTAAGTCATCCAAACTTTCACCCATAAAAATGTGATTATTGTGTAGAATTTAGTGTAAAACGTGAAACTATCATGGGTCACATTATTGATGTGTATTGATTCACTCTTTTATATATATAGCAATATAACTATTGTTATTTGAGATATCAAACATATTTATTTAGTCAGATAGTGACACATTATTATCATCATAAGCAGGTGTCCAGAATCCGTACCTCCTTCTTTCCCCCTGCAATAACCAATTCGGAAGCGCCCGATAAAACTGAATCATGTAATCTAATTATGCGCCGATGACGTATACATGATTGCTGTCGCAATGTTGCGACAGCGAATCAAATTGCGAGTTCTTGATCGGGGAAATGCAAACTGCTTATCGCAGGGGGTAAAAAGAAATATTCTGGATTTTGAACCCCTGTGATTGGATGATGATTATTATGGTCATCATTTTTTGCTGTCACCAGCATTCATCATTATATCACGTAGATATCTTGTCTGTTTTTGAGTATTATGCAATGTTCTGTTTCAGAAAGAGTTGGTAAACCTGGAAGATGCTGGGGATGAGTTGATGATGCTTGATGATGACAGTGCTCTCATTCCGTATCCTTGGCAATAGCAAATAACTGGTTTTTGAGTAAAATGGTTAGACTGAAAAAAAGACAGAAATGATAATTCATGTTCTTTCAGTAAAACCGAGCACCTAGATATAATCCTTTCCACCTTTTAATGTTGACATTTTTTCAGTCCTAGTTTTGTTATCTCCTGCTAATCTGAACACTTCATCACTTCTGGTGGTGGACAATATTTTCGAATATCAGTTCTACGCAACATCTCCAGACATATTATATCACCAATTTATTAACTTCAATAATTAGATGCTTAATATACTCTTCTATTTTGGTTAGCCAAAGCTCGAAACCCTCTCTATATGGAACGTCTGTCTACAAGGAACAGTTTTGACCAGTCCGGAGAGCGTTCCATGTTTACAGGTTTTACTGTAGTTCCTTTTTTATGCCATCATCACTTGTCATATTGTTATAATCTCCAATCGTTTTGTGATGGCATCCATCAGTTAGCATTTGGAGTTTGGTGTCTGTAAAAAATGGCAGGTGGTGACATTTTGCATGTTATTGTCTTGCTTCAGCTATTGAACTACTACTGTACACTGTATATTGAGTTTTGACAATTTGACATCATATCATTACTTGTTCTGTGTTCTGGTTTAATGATCCTTGACCTGTGTCCAGCTATCAGATAGGTGAAGTATTTGTTGAATCCTCATTAGACGACACCAATCAGATGCTCGAAGATGCCAAGGCGAAGACCAATCAAGCCATCAGTGATCTTGATAAGAAAGGGGACTCTTATAGGAAAGTCTTGTCAGACTTGAAAGTCCAACTTTACGCAAAGTTTGGAAATAACATTAATCTTGAACAGGATGAAGAGTCCTAGTACTGTAACATGCAGCTTTTGGGAGACTTCAGTATTTATACTTGAAATACACAAGAAATGATTCAGTGTATGTGTGGAACTTGGGATCTCGTAAAATCTGGATTACTCAATTTAGTAATTATCGATTCCACCTTGTGAGTTATCACTTGAGTTTATTTAGTGGACATGTCCACTTCTGGATCTAGGATTCTAATTGATATCTGATCTTCATCTAAGTAATTAAAAACAGGCTTGACATCTGACATTTTCACATTGAAAACTTTTGTATGGTACTATACATTGCTTCAATTTGCTTGTGAAAATGTCCAATGTTCAACTGTAAAAAATACTCTCAATATCTCAAGTTAACAGTTCCTTTTGCTACCATGGTGATTTCAACTTTCCAGAGAAATCACTATTCACCAAGGATTCTTAAAGCTTTTATCAAATACTAGTACATGAACTGTATTAAGATTTCTCAGTTTGTATTCATTTTGTACTTTTGTGATATGGAAATCTATTGCATGATAATTTTTTTGTACATGTCATATGTATTGACTAAATATATGAAATAAAAAGAAAATAAATGTGTGTATTGTTTTATCCTCAAACTTGAACTGACAGGACTGAAGGCGCTGTGTTAAATTTATACTGTAGCCCGAGGAATCTTTGTACATGTATATTGAAATATGTTTGCAAATCAGTGTTTAGGAACTAATGACTGACCTGTTAACTCCAAAAATTCATTAAAAACAGTTTCTTTAAAAATTGTCTTAAATCATTGAGATATAGCTACCATGAGAAAAACAGAATATTCCTGTTGCTAGAGTTTTCATGATTTATTTTAATATAGGGAAATATAATTTCATGAATTTCCAGGTTTCAGGAATTTTACGCTTATATATATATATACATAGTCACAATTGAAATTTTAAAGCTTTTGTAAAAATAGATCCTTCATTCATTCATTCAAGCTTAATCCAATCCTAAAATCTTGAATGTCTCTGCACATTTTGGACTTAACATCTTATACACCCTATGTATTAGTCTTACACCTAACAGCTAGGTTTCAAAATACTTTCTTGAAGTTTAAACGATCTTATACCTTCTGTTTTGGAAACTCCCCATATTATGTAAATATAGTAGTTTGCAAGTGCAATATTTTACCTCAGGTAGGTTGACTCAAGGTAGCTATTATAAGATATCCTATGATTTTGAGGAATAAATTATTTTTATCTACGAGGTGATATTGATATCTGCATGAGATAGCGAAGCAAACAAGTGCAGATATCAATTACACCAAGTTTATTAGAATGATATTCTTAAAATATTGTAGGATGTTCTTATCATCCTACACTTAGTGTAATAAATGTATAAAATATATAAAATCAACAAGTAGAGTATATCATCACAATATCCTCCCCATATTGCTTTCCTGGAGTATATTGTGAAATCCTCCGCATATTGGATTTCCAGAGTATATCGTGTCGATATCCTCCAGTTATTCATTTTGCCAAAAGATATCAAATTTACTTTTTTAATGTTATTATACATTTGGTACACAAAGTGAAGGATAATATGAAGTATCGACCCAAAAGGACAAAATCCTGGTTCGATTTACTGGTTACTGGTCATAAGGGACAACATCCTGAGAAGAGCCTAAATTATATTGAAGTTTCTTTTTTGGGGGAGGGGGCAGGCTGTCCCCAAATACATTGAGTACAGGTAGTTTTGAATGTAAACTATTCCATTTCAACTTTTGTCCCTCTTGTATAAACAAAAATCACTATTGTTCAAGCCCCTCGTGGGATCAATAATGTGACTCCACCAAAAGAATATGTATTTACTATTCCAGTTCATTCTGTAACTATTCTATGCTTCAAGCAGTTCAAGAAATGTACTAGTTTCTACAGTAGTTGGAACTGGAGAAAACATCACTTTTAAATTATATACATGAACTCCCATTCTTTCACTCTACCTAAAGACTTGATACAAGGCATAAATTAGATTCACCATCTACATGTAAGTATTTATGCTTTATGCTGAAAAACTTGAAAAACCTTCAACTTCAAACTTCATTTACTACGAAATTAAGGAGGATAAAGCTCAGATTGGACTTGAATATTATATTGACACATATAAATATTTATTCAATTGATCAAATAAGTTGATTTAACCTTGCATTGTTTAACAAACAATATTTGAAATAAGTGCATTTCGTGACAGTTTTGCATCTAATGTAAACAATATTCACACCTCCAGTTTGAAGAGCTCCTGCCAATTACTATCAATGTGGGTCAAAGGTCATCACTATAGCAAAACATAAATAGACTAGCACAAGAGAAGGATAACTCATGTTTTATGCACATTATATCATTGATTAATTAGATTAGGATATCAGAACTTGTAAAACATTAATACTATTACTTGGAATGAGAGTAATCTGGAAATAAGATGTCTACAGCAGCCACTGGGACTTGGGTATGTTGATTTATGTATCAATATTGAGTTTATCAATCCAGACTGATTTCATATCAGCTTATGAACATGGCCTATCATAAACCTGTACTAATGTTATTCTTGAGAGGTATTATTGATATCAAGGTTAGGATATGTATCAAATAGAATACACAAAGTTCAATCCTTACGCCTATAGTCTAGTGGCCCTTATGCTCCATATCATATTTTACAATTGGAAAGATTATGAATTTCAAAGTACTGGAATTAATCCCTGAGTTGTTAATATCAGGAACTTTAAATGTTAGAATTTACTTTTTTAGTGAGAAAGGTCATGATCTTTCTGATTCTCAACTGAGTTGTAAACTGTACTGAACTTTATTACTTTGTTTATAACTTATGTCACCCTGTACTGAACTTTATTTCTTATAACTTTTGTCACCCTATACTTTATTTCAGTTTTCTTCTGGGTACCATGGTCACTTCAGGAGTAAGTCGAGAAATGATTTTGTGAATGAATACAGACAGAAAGCCAAACCCAAGCCACCTGGCAAGTTCACAGTCAGAGTAAAGGTAAGAACATTAACTTTAGATGTTTCTCCTTAGGGAGATAAAGTCACATCTCTGTATGTAGAACACTTCAGAGTCCCAAGACAACTTGACTTAATGTTAAATGAACCTCCATAAGAACACTTGTTAGAGGTACCAATAGTGTTCCATTGAGACAGATTTTACTCACTGTATAAACAAATATACATATTGTACAATTACATACTATGATTTTTATTGTTTTTTCAGAGTGGTCACAGAGAACACAAGTTTTCTAAACATGACAATCGACACTCATTCTTACAAGATGCACTCTACTTTGAGGAGGTAAGATGACAGTGCTGTATTATTTGCGATAAATTATAGTAGCCTAGATAACCCATCAATCTATAGAATCTATAGGCTAATCTGATTGATTCACAACAGGCTTTAGTTGCATTATTCAGACTGAGGATTTCTGTAAAACATCAGTGCTCTAAATACATGTAATGAAGTAATACATTTAATCCAATTACCTAAACCTTATCGAGGTCCACAACTTGTAAGTAGTGGACCTCGATAAACCTAAACCCATACATATAAACATAAATAGTTTTCTCACTTTGGTTTCAATAATTTTAATCCAATTTCAGATGTTCACTTGAATAAACAGGATACTTTATTTGATTTATTTCAGGGACTTGGAAAGAAAAAGCTGAAAAACAAAACCTTTGGATACAAACCTGACTTCATCATGTGGACCCCCCAAAGACAGGACTTCCAAAATGCTGGTCCCTTATTGTCCACATACAGAAAGGACTTCCACACAAAGCAAGAGCCAATGAAACAAGTATATGTAGAATCGAGACCTAAGACTGCCTTCGGGGAAAAGATGACGACCAGTTATCGGTATTCCCACTCCCATAATAAACCTGATAGGGAAACGATTAGTGCAATGAACAATGAAGGACTATTACCAATTGGAATTAAGAAAAATCAGGGTAGAATTCAGTCTGCGACTGGTTACAGAGACAGTGTGTCATCATGTATGACGTGGCACCCCCACAATTCCACCACGCAGTCCAGCCTGCGTCCACAGGTGCCCTACTCCACACAGACAGCCCCAGCCCAGTTAGAAACTTTTGCCCCACCCCCACAAACACAAGTCCAGCCACAGCCAGCACTTGTAGAATAGCCCACAAAATCATTTTTAAAGTGGTGCATCATAAAACTTCTATGTACATTGTATGTTTGAAATGCGTAAAATGATTGTTACATACAGCATGGGCTTTCAATAGATTATATTGAATGCCCATGCATACAGTTAGTCGTGCCCATTGTTTATTGTAAACATTAGTTGTTTATGTGCAGTGTATGTTTGAACAGGGAGTTATAGGAGAAATACCCTAAAATATGTAACAGCTATTAACAAACCAGATCTCAGGCTGTGGAAAATTTAATCCTATAATATCAGGGTATTTGTTGCATTTAGGCAGGGGTATTTCCGAAGGGTTTTAAGCAAACAATAAAATCAGGCATATACAGGGTGAATGGTACATTGTGAAAAAATATCAAATAAACTGAAAGTAAGGGTCTTTAAGCATACATACATATCCTTCAGGAAGAATATTCTTCCCAGGGAAGATATCATACACAGAGATATTGTATGAATTTTATTCAAACTTTACAAGCCAAAATTCAGGGTTTTACAACTTGGGTACAAAGAAAAGATATTAAATCTTGCCATTAATAGCTTTGTTTAGTTTAGCTTATGACAATCATGATACCATATCATCATTTTTAAATAGTTTAATTAGAAAGAGAATATTTTAAGTAGGCCTTTTTCTGTAAATAAATATTTCATATTTCTTCCAAAACCTGCTTAGATAATTTGTGCCTATTAACCCAGCATTATATTTTGAAATGGACATTTTCCACAGAACATGTACCATAGTATCTGAATATGTGTCCCATAATATTTCAACTATGCATATGTTGTAAACCTGATATTTTGTTTTTATTCATTTATACTAATCCAGAATAGTGTAACTTAAATGATTTCCAATTTAAATGATAAATGCTTAGTTTAATAAAGTTATATTAGTATTAACTAAAGATTCATTTGAGTTCTGAGTTGTTTATTTCATTAACCTGAGTTTGTAAAACTACATGAAGGTGCAATGGGACACTGCCTCATATGAGATGTTCCAAAACATCGAGGAAACATAGTGCCAAAGATGAACACATGTATAGATTAAATTTAATATGGATGTATCCTTTTTAATATATTTGAAAGTTTTAGTTCATTGTTAGGCACTATTCATAGGTTTGTGTGAGACACCCATGGGAGTAATAACAGCTGGTCAAATATGAGTCAAGGGCAAGATTCCTACTACAGGGAATATACATTTCAAAAGTCCATACTCCCAGAATGAAGTCAAGTCAAGGTCCCACCTGCTTGGATAATACAAGTGCACTGCTTCCTAACCCTCCCCGCATTGGGTGATCTCATGCAAACATTTGAATGGTGCATTATCAATACATGACTTTTGATTCAACTAATTTTGAAAACTTTATTTTATTTATCACAATTACATAAAAGATCGGCTTTACTACTTCCTTTATCTTCCTTTATTCTGTACTGAATAAAATGAATTTATTTCAATGGTGACTTGGGACGCCATAATTTTCTATATTTACTTTGCTCTATATCTAATAGTTATTTTATCATTAGTTGCAATGATTGTTGATCAACTCTTCAAAATCTTAAATAAACTGAATGGTCCAGTGGCGCAGTTCATTGTTATTGATTCCAAAGAGTCTGCCTGCATATATCTTATCCTATTGTGTTCTCTAATTCAGCAGTGCTTCTTAGATGAAATCCTTCTTAATAGCTCTTATTGCTATATTCCTTCACGTTCCTTTGGTGGATCTACTTTTCGTCTTGCCTTCTGATTCCTGAAATTTAGAGAATAAAATCTTAAGTATTTAACTGTCAACTGAAACATGTTTATCAATGCAGTTCACTCTGCATGAGCCAGATGTCATGAGAAGATAGGAATAAGGCTTGTAGCTAGTTTTACCAAGAGGGGGTTCTAACTTTTTAGAGGACAGAGCTCCAATTTTTCAGAGGGACCTTAATTTTCAACAAGGCATTAGCATGCCGTTTGTTTCAGACACCAAACACCAACTGCCAAACAGCAACCACCAAGAACCAACCATTATACACCATATTCAAATAATTGGAGACTATGTCTCCACTTCTGGTGGTAACAACAAACTCAAAATATTTCCTCAAAATTTTGACTGATATTTGGCTTCACTAGAATTTCTCAACAACAGGCTAAATAAATGAAAACAACAGGCAAAATTAATGGAAATGATTTTAACATGGAAAAGTTGATAAGTCCCTAAAAACAACATGCGATTTTGTGAAAACAACCTGAAAATCGCCTGTTGCATGCTGCTAATGAAACCCCTGAATGAGATGTTGGGACTTACTGTGGAAACCATTTATGTTTGGTAGTGAAGAATATCTGTTGCAGTTGTTCATCAGATGGTCCCGCTGAGTGATACTTATTCTGTTCATCTAAGATATGTTGCACTTTCAGTGCAGAATCACCCTAAAAAATAAAACAGAAGTAGGTATCATATTTTAATAATAACATATGATTTCCATGAAGTGCTGGGCAATGTGTTTTTGAAAATAATAGATCAAGTTTGTTTCAGTAAACTTGTATTCTGGTTAAAGATGTGCTCATATCTAGTTGAACTGTTCTTTAATTGATCATATATGCAGTTGAATTCTGGGTAAATATGTGATCTTATACCATGGTCAGAGCAATTTCAGGTATATAATAGTGACTGGTAAATCACATATTTAGGATAGAGATGATATCAGGGATGAGAAATTTCAAATGATATTAATATTTCCCTCTGTCACTGCATTCCTCCAGGAAATATTGATATCATCATTGTGATATACCCCATACATCAAATACCTCCTGGTGAATAACTTCTTTATATCTACAACTTACCTGGCTCATATGTTGTTGATTTCTGGGTATAGGTTTAGTGTGTTCATAAGGAAATTGCTGCTCAGGATGCCATGCTACAATCAGGTCTTCATTGACAACCACAACAGCAGGATCACTAAAAGTAAAAAACAAAATAATTTTACACTATTATATGTCAATAAGACCTGTATATAAGACTAAATAGAATATAGTCCGGGGTAGGGATACTAGTGGTTACTGTTAGTGATGCGGTTTTAGCACAAATAAAACACTTTTCCCTTTCCTGCACTGGCGGAGCCCAGCACAGGGCCAGTTTGCATTTGGTCTGTGAAAAGAGGATCAGTTTTATAGGACAGGTACTGATTTATTTAAAAACATTTCCAAGATGAGTGAATGATATATTTTAGCAGAGCGATTTGAGGAACTACTTATAGAATGCTATTTTCATATTGTTTTTCTACAACAGGCAGTTTGAAGGGGTGGTTGTCTTCAAATTTATTTATCTCAAAATCATTAAAGGGCTGCATGTGAGCTAAACAACGGTACCAAATGGTGCCATTATTTTAGCAACTCAATTTTTTGGGGGGCGAGACCACTGTGCCAAGTACCCTGAATTCAACTCTTCAGTTCTTCCGTTTCATTCAATTGTTCTTCAATTTTGAATGTATCTTTACTTATTTCTACCATTGTGATGTCATAACATGCAATCAAACACCTTGGCATTGATATCACTTTAGAGATAGTTAAAATGGTTTTCCAATGATAGCCCATATGACCAATAAGTGATGCAACATGATTCATGTGTCAGGTCGGTGTACCCCTACCCAAAAGAAATCTCCAAATTTTGCTGAGAGCACCTGTGTCAGATTGATTCTTTCGCTGTTCATTATCTCAAATAAAGCATTAATACCATTGTGATAGATTTCTTGTGAATAGACATGAAGATTATATACTTACGACATTTTGTTTCTATGATCCTTCCATTTTGTATTACTTATATGTATTCGGTTTTGTATTTCTGAAAAATAATTTTTTTCATTAAATTCAGTGAAGTGTATTGGACAAAAACAGAAAGCCAGTTTCTTTCATGCTATTCAACATATTCAATGTTTATATTCTGTTTGATAAGCATTTTACCAACTACCAGATTTCAAAGCACCCTGCAATCCCCTTGCACTGTGAGGAAAATTCTAAAAAAGTAAATAATTTGATAAAAATGAGTATTACCCCAACATTTAAGGGCAGTTTTAAGGTGAAGATAAAGTTCTAGAGATGGAACCACATGTTTTTAGTATATTTTCTCCACCATTCTGTCTTCCAATCAAATATCATAAGTGAACGAGCAACAAATTTTAAAAATCGCCTCAAACAAAAGTGGCAGCCAAAAGAAAGAAAAAGTGCACATCAAAGAACAGTTTTTTCTATTTTTACAATTCTTATATCCTGTTTCTTCAGTATCTGAGTAGATTATTGAAATGAGATAACATCTGGTTTCTTGTATATGCTATGTTTTCAATAACGCTGTCCCAACATTACAAAAACACAAAATAAAAATTTTGATGGACTTGGAAATAAAATAAAATCAGTGCAAGTCATATGCAAAAATCAACTTTGGATGAATGTATTAATAAGATCTTATCTTCAGTCCCTTCATTTGGTCAAAATCCGCTAAATAATTGAAGGACATTCTACTTCTAAAAAAAGAAATAAAATTTTCTTTCGAAGTTTCCTTCCCATCAAAATAGTACGAGGCATGTGATAGGACAATTAGCAGCTACAGAACATATCTGAGTGGTAATCAAGATGATCGAGTCCTATGATTGGCCCAGCTGATTTAAACCATTTTCTAATGGTGAAGCACGATCACATGAACATTTAATTTAAGACGATTTTTCGGATTATCAAAATAAATAGCAAATTGCTTCAAAATATGCATGAAAAGGCGTATTTAATCATTGAATATTAACATTTCTAACAAGTGATGGTATCTGTATCATTCAATGACCTACTAGGTGTGTTTAAAAAGCTGATTTAGACCAATCGATAACAAAAACGATTTAATTTCATTCGTCAATTTTATTTCTTCCAGTGTAAAAAAGTGACTTTTTTCATGGGACGCACTTTTTTGAGGGGGACACACTTTTGGAAAATCAGCACGTCCCAGGGACGCACTCTTAGGGACAAACATACTGAAAACACTGATATGAATATACCATATATAATCTCACTCGGTAGTGCTCATAATTTATTCGGAAATAATTCCCAAAGTTGATAGCAGACATAGAGTAGACTACTCAAAACAGTAGACGACAAAAAAAATTGAGACCCTATCTGTTGCAAGACTTATGCCTGGCACAACCGTCAAAAAGTTTATTATGTGTTTATTATGTGTTTTTAAGTTGCGCAAGGATCCTGCCATGACCGTGGTAGTGTTATCGTGAAAGCCTGGTATAACCGTTACAATGCTGTATTATATTGTAATACCTGTCATGACCGTGGTAATGTTAAAGCCTGGTATGACTGTGACAATGGTTGAAAGCTTGTCATAATCGTGCTAATGTTAAAGCCTGATATGACCGTGACAAGGGTTGCAAGGGCTGTCATGAACTTGGTAATGTTCAAGCCTGATAATGTAAAGCCTAATGTTAAAGCCTGATATGACTGTGACAAGGGTTGCAAGGCCTGTCATGACCTTGCTAATGTCAAGCCAAATATGACTGTGACAATGGTTGCAAGGCCTGTCATGACCGTGGTATTGTTAATCTACCATGGTCATGACAGGCCTTACAACCATTGCCACATAAGGCTTTACATTACCACGGTCATGACAGGACTTGCAATATGATATATAGCATTGTCACAGTTATACCAGGCTTTCACGATAACACTACCATTAATAACATGGTGACGGTTGTACCAGGCATATAGAGTCTTGCAATAGATAGCATGTGAAAAAATTATGCATAAGTAGCCTAGAGATACTGAATGTAGAATTTTTTTAAATATTTAGAAAAATTTCTATTGATTTAATTTATGCACTTCTTTGACATTCTAATGTGCGATATTACATTTCAAAAGTTAGATCCATTTATATGGTATACATATATAATACTTACGAGGACAAATACATGTGTAACGCGCTGATATTATACTTTTAGTCAGAGATTTTAGTAAATTTGAAGACATGGTGATCTTTTCACTAGATGGCGCTGTCAGAGCCGGTAGATGGCAAACTTTTAAAATTTTTATTGATACTTAACATTTATGTAGAGTTATCAGCTCTTTTTTGTTACCTCGAAATATAAAATAATATGAATCAAACAATTTATTATTTTTAAGTTCTAATTATTTGGAAATAACATAAATATTAGCAAAACTATAATACAAATTATGTTTTCGTTTAGTAGTAAGTTAGGCATTTAGATTAAGTGGGGTGTTCATGCTACAGGAGGAGATACATGTACATGTACTCTTCTATACCTTTACCTTCATAACCAGGAGTAAAGTACCAGTGGAAAACAAGTACAACTGTACCAGCAGCAGACCAACAGCAAGGGAGGAATTTGAAAATGGAAACTGACAAGGTAGACTAGCTGCGAAATCTCATGTTTTGTGGGTTTGAATTTCTTGTTCAAATCAAAGATGATGACGGTCAGCAAAACAGCAACAGCTTTTGAAAACCCATAATGTATTAGTATTTGAAGTTCCGCTAAGTGTCTCTATTTCACATCTTTTTGATGGACACCCAGTTTTTGAAATCCAGACTGCGTGAATTGAAAATATAAGCAAATGTTAAAATAGACCCATGTGTGAAATTGCCCAAAACAAAGAAATCACACACTTCGAAATTCAGTGGATAACACTTATGTATAATTATGCAAGACAGTGAAAATATATGTCTTTCAAACATAAAAAATAGGCTTTGTATAAAAAACCTCCTACCTCATACCCACCTACCCACGTACGTGGGACATGATACAGTCTTTGAAGGGTTCAATTTTAAAGATCTTAGTTTATTAAATCTTACTCTTAGTTTATGATGAATTATAGATGCATTTGTAACGACCCTTGATAGCAAGTTATTACTACATCCAAGCTGGGTTCAATTCCCACTCGGGACATCGAATTTAGCACACTTTCTTTCAATTTCTTTAACTGGCTTGTTGGACCTATGCTCATGGTTGTGAGCTATTTATTCCCCTGGGGCGCCCTTGGGTCAGGCTAAACCTCCTACCCACGTACCCTCGTACCCACGTACGTGGGTCCTGACCCAGTCTTTAAAGAGTTAAATCTTTAACATTTTTTAAACATTATTCTATCTCAATGTATGCTTAATTATGGATGAATTTATGTACCCATATGCCTCTATTTCTAGATCGGACATCTGTCTCGTCATAAAATAAAGCCGGCATTGCATAATGTTCATTTGAGCTATTTTAGTGTTGTTTTTGATATATCGAAGCGATTTTTTGTTGATCGGGCAGTCTTACAGTGTACAACCAATCTATTGCTTGGCGCAAATTGGCCACATGGGGCATGTGTTGTAAAGTGCTGTAGTTTTTGACTCCATGAGCAGAATATGGTCAAACTTTCACAACAAAATTCACATTGAATGACCTGAATGATTCTGGATTGACGAAGTTATTCAACTTTTCATCGGTCCTGTTTTTTAACACCCTGTAGTTTCGATTTTTATCACATATACTTTTTATTCTTTCAAACGATATTACAAGTATTCATTGTTTGCACGACAGATTTGAACTATACGTGTAATTTGTCTTATGTCTTTTATTTAATTTAACATCATATTGGAGATACAAAGTGATAGAGTGATCAATTCACACGATCTCAAGGAATAATAAAGGCTGCATTTCTGTTTAACCGTGGCGCAATTGAATAACAAAATATTTGAAAAAGTAGAAGGATTCGCTATATTCGTTTTTAATCGCCTTTTGGCACAATTTAAGGATAATTGTGCGCACTAGTTCAGTGAATCATTTAGATGGAATTAAAAGTTAGAGTTGCCAAACTTATGCAGGGGAGTGTAAGTTTGGTTTTGTAAACTTCGACATTATTCAAGGCCGTTTGATCCATAATTAGGTAATATGAAGAGTAGAGTTTTATTTTGACAATGATTTGATGTAAAACTGGTTTGAATGATAAAGGTTCAGCTTTGTAGTTTCTAGCTTTTTGCGCGTAAAACGTGAATACAATGGACAACAACGACACCAAATCTTTGACTAACATACGTTAATAACGTATAATATTCGTAAGAATGAATTCTAATAACATTTGAAATAAACATCTAATAAAATGTGGTGAATTTAATTGGTTGGAAACTCTAAGAAATATATTTTTAAAAAGATGTCAACTTTTGGACAAGGGTAAACTTCCCGGGAAATTTACAATCTGAATGAGGTAACAGGAGGCACGGATTGCACTGAACGAAGGCTAGGAGATTGCTAATCAGCACTGATGTGTTATACAGGTAAGACTGCCCGATCAACAAAAAAACATTTCGACATATCAAAAACATAAATCAAATAGCTCAAAAATAATGAACATTTATGCAATTCCGGCTTTATTTTATTTTACTAGAGAGATGTCAGACCTATAAATAAAGGCATATGGATGCATAAATTCATCTATAATTCAGGATAAACTGAGATTGAATAATGTTTTAAACATTTAAAAATTTAACTCTTTAAAGACTGGGTCAGGACCCACGTACGTGGGTACGAGGGTACGTGGGTAGGAGGTTTTTTATACAAAGCCCTTGGGTCATTACACATTAAAATTTTAAGATGGCCGCCGCTTTAAAAATGACGGGACTTTTTCGCAAAAATCATAAATTTTTCATTCTAAACCAAAGTAATTAATATTATTGTTTGAAATTTTGGTAGTATATTCGCAACATCTATCTATTTCACATATATTCTGTGTTTTTCATCCTGACCCCCAGGGGCCGTGTATGGGGGGTCAGGAAAACAGAAATTTTCGCTAATTTTTAGATCTTTCTGAAGTATAGCTTTATTATACTCAAATGAAAGGCAATTAAGAGTAGATTTAAAATATTGTATCTTTTTTCTGATTCGAGCCTCGTAAAATTCAAAATGGCCGTCTAATGTACGATTTCACAATCATTTTTCGATCCCTTCAAAGTATGGCTATATTATACTCAAATTGAAGAAACTTTGGAGTAGATCACAATTATGCTATTATTTTTCAGATTTGTACCTCAGAAAATTCAAAATGGCTGCTTTGCAGGAATTCGCAATTCTAAAATCTAAATTTTTCAATTTTAACCAAAGTAATGAGTATAATTGATTGGAATTCGGTAATTGATATTTTGTTCGTTGGGATTTGCTACTCCGCAGAGTTGCCATTATCTAGTTTTTATATTATAAGTATCAGGATAGATGGTGCTGACTGTGGAAAGTTATGAAATCAAAGACCAAGACCATTTTGAGAACAATCACATGATTGTATAGTAATGATTGTTGCACTAAGACATCAACGTTACATCTGGAATATACATGTACCTCAGCTTGTTAAGTCCCACCTGCGTTTTTGTCATGTAAACAAAGGCTTCAAAAGAAATGTAGCTATGGAATATACATTTCGTAAACAATCTACATGTAAACATACTGGAAGAAAGGAATCGAATATGAGCAAGGTAATTAGTGAGACAGAAACACGTTTTGCATTCTAAAAAGTTACAAATCGATAACACCTACTGAAGCTATGTACTTGTACATGTATATGTATTACCGTAATTGCTTTATTGTTTCAGATAGAAGAAGCTACAAGTAATGCTGTGGATATCTATAAAGGCCTAGCATGCTCCCCGAGTGTCACACGTGGAGAGATCAGTTTTGGAGACAACACATCATTAACTACAGTGACATCTATCTGGTCACAACGGGATATTGAGAGAAGTGAAAATGTGAAATTTTCTCGAAGCCACTATATCAGCCAGGAAAACCATATAGAGGTGCTTGCCAGATCTGCACCAACTGAACTAAAATCAGAGTAGGTTATACATTATTATGCATACAGAAAAACTGTTTATATTGACCATTTTTTTCTGGGAAACAATGTTCAGTGTAAGTAGGTGTTCACTACATAGAGAGTAATTCATACAGAAGTCAATAGAGTATGTGCTGAGGAAAGGTGTCTACTAGAGACAGGTGTTCACTAGAGAGAGGTGTTCACTTAAACAGGTTTTACTTTGTGTATACAGGTACATGTACATTATCTTTACTTGTAATAAGTAAAAGATAATATTCTCATTCATGTATATCAATCTCATGTTGTATTTTTCTAGGATTATCATATTGCAAAATTCAATTACGCTAAATGCTGGTGTCTGCTTCTAATTATAGTTTTATTCAAAATAAATCCTGTATTCATTCTTCCAAAATATATTGGTATGGATTAAATTGTGGCTCCCATGTTTTAACCAACATGTAACCTGGATTTGTATGAGAAATGATTCAAATCACTATATTGAATACATATTTTCTTTCTGGACTTTCAAAATTATTTTAGAAACAATACAGTGAGTCAATTCCAATTCTATTCCTCCTTCCTCAAATAGTTAAAGAAATGTATTTCATGCGGGATAAACACTGTATCTACAGTAAGACCCCCAGTACATAACCCTTTCACAGTATCAACCTTACTTTATTACAGAGTATGGAATGTCCAGTCTCCCAGTGGAAAGCTCAGGGTAATTATCAGATCTGTCAAGTCTGATAAACAAGATGAGAAGCAATATATTGAGGTATGTAAAGTCTGCATATATTAAAAATTATGTTAGTCAATAGAGCTTAAAAGTATGTAAATCTACAGAACTTAAAAAGTATTAAAAAGTCTACAGAGCTTGGAATACATGAACATAGCAAGATAGACTTATTGGCAAATCTTTTAAGTTTTTCTGACTATTTGTTCTGATATTTGAAAGTTCTAATATTTCATTATATAAAAGTCACAATATTTTACAATGTTTAAATGAATATGTTTACCCACTGTATCCATCTTTCAACTAAGACAAAGAAGGGGGAGGGTTGTTATTCATATCCTCTATGAAGCCATTGTATTCACATACTTATTAACTTTCAGATTTGGAATACACAAAACAAGGAAAAGAATATTGATGTAAAATCTTTAGACATCCATGGAAAGATTTATGACCAAGATGGTATGTACTTTTACTAAAATCAAATCCTCAACCTCTCAAAAGTACCACCTGATTCTCATAATTTTATACAATATATTTTGAAAAATAATGATTTAAGTGATAATGAGAAACTAGGGAAAATAGAAAAAGACAAAGAGACTTAATATAAGGCACTGGTTGTAAAGAAAACCATTTACGATTTGCAAAAGGAATGAAAAATATTGAAGAAACGTTGAAAAATAGTTTCTGTAATCATAACTTTATTTTGAAACATGTGAATGAATGAAATAAGAATAAAAAAAAAACCGCATAATTTTATACCTAAAATGGTTTAAAACTAAAATACTAAATACCCTACAATATTACATAGATTTCTGTCATATTAATTAAATGTCTTACATGTCAATTGTTTTAGGTCACTTTGGAACTCTGCAATGGTCAAAATCAGAGAAATTCCTACTCTACGTGGCAGAGAAAAAACAGCCTAAAACAGAATCATTTTTTGAGAAGAAACCCGAATCTAATAGCGACTCATCAAAAGATCCTCCTCTGCGCGGTGAGGAGCATGTGTTTAGGGAGATGTGGGGGGAACAGTTTGTAGACAAATGCCACCCAGTTCTATGTGTGTTTGACATAGAAGCAGCCACTACAAGGGTATTGGATACAACAAAGGTTTTGAACACTGAAATGGATATGTCTGCTGGTCAGGTAATGAATAAGTCTTTTTATGAATATATTGCCATACAGGATTAATCAAACCAAAATCAGTGTTTTTATAATTACACTTTTTCAACTCTACTTAATTTACAAAAAAGCCAAATGTTATGGTATATTCCGAGTCCAAATTACAGTATAAAACCTGTGAAAGTGGAACACCTTCTGGAGCTCTAAAAATGTTCAACTTGGGAGGTGTTCCACTTATCGAGGTTTATTTAACATTAAGTCGATTGGTCATGGAACTCTGAAAAGTCTTCTACTTACAGATGTGTCCTAATCACAGAGGTTTTCATATTGCATGTTTTACTATAATTACCACTCATACAGTATTGTTAGTACATATAATGAAATCTCATATTGTTATTTTTCTCTTGCAGGCAATCTGGACCCCAGGTGACTCCGGTGTTGTGTTTGTAGGCTGGACCAATGAACCTTTCAAATTGGGTCTTATATATTGTCCACAGAGGAGGTAAGCATCAGTGATGCATGCTGGGTTAAGGTGTTGTTTGTCAGCTGATGAATGGAGATTTAGACTTGGTTTTATATACTGTCCATAGTAATCATTAGTGAGACATTCTGGGTTCAAGAGTTGCTTGTGGTACATTTAAGACTGGGTCTTATTTACTGTCCACAGGCTGGTTCCATATGGCATTTAAGACTGGATCTTATTTACTGTCCATTGGCTGGTTCCATATGGCATTTTAGACTGGGTCTTATTTACTGTCCACAGGCTGGTTCCATATGGCATTTAAGACTGGGTCTTGTTTACTGTCCATAAATGTGGTAAGCACCAGTGATGATTCATGATTGCTGGGTAAAGTGTTGTTTATGGGCTTGTTCTGTGGGAATTTAAGACAGGGTCTGATATACTGCCCATAGAGGAGGCAAGTGGCAGAGATGCATGCTTGGTAAATGACTCTGGGCAGGCTGCATGAACCTTTTCCAAGGAGGATTGGCAACTTTACCATGTTATTAGCTACTCAAACACAGAAAAACATGGAAATTGCAACCTTCCCATGTTATAAGCTACTCAAACACAGAAACACTCGGAAATTGCAACCTTCCCATGTTATTGGCTACTCAAACACAGAAACACATGGAAATTGTAAGATGTTATTATATATTTTGTAAATTGTTCAGTATTACTGATACTCTTTGCAGGAATGCTCTTTACCACATTGACCTGGAGTCAACAACTTGTACGCAGCTTAGTGAAAAGGACAAATCAGTACGCTCCCCACGATTCACTCCTGATGGCAAAAAACTAGTGTACTTACAAAATGCCACATATGGACCTCATATGACTTGTGCCAACTTGATTGAGGTAAATCAATTTTGTTTCATATCATATCCTGTGAATTTGTCTTTCGACAAGGTAAATTTAAATTGATCAATGATTTTTGGATGTATCTTCTTTGAATGGCAATATAAATGTAATAATTAACAAAGAAACATTGTTCAAAATACAGTGTGTATGTAGTTTACATGTATTTTGAGATGGTGTACTTAAAAGTCAAGCGGATGAAGATTATGGCTTTACTTCTAAGTTGTTCTTTTGATATTACAGTGTGACTGGGCTTCAAAAAATTTGACTACCATTGTTGGTGATTGTTTCCAAGGTGAAGGTATGTGTTTTTTACTAAGAACATTTTGACTAGTTAATCATTCATTTTGCTGGCTACTAATAGTAATCAAAAGATTAGATTAGATAATGACAGCCAATTCACAAATAAATTTGGTTTTAATGTGTGTTTACAAAATTCAATGGTAATTGCTGATTCTGATACTCAGCTCATCAATCCAGAGGTTTTACTAGAATTTCTCACAAAAGGCCAAATAAATGAAAACAACAGGCAAAATTAGTGGAAATCATCAATTTAACATGGAAAAGTGGAAAAGTCCATAAAAACAACAGGCGTTTTTGTGAAAACAACCAGTGAAAATTGCATGTTGCCTGCTGTTAATGAAACCCCTGAATTCTGTTTCAAAAGCTACAGATCTGAAAAGAACAAAGGTGACATGTTTAATCATAAAGGTGACATGTTTAATCATAAATGTGACTTGTTTAATCATAAAGGTGACATGTTTAATCATAATTCAGAACACCTAACAGATCAACTTTGCAGATTTGTTTGCAGATTTGATTTATTTTCAGATGGAATTTCAAAATTCCCAGGCATTTATTCCTTGGAATTTCCAACCCGTTGCTGGGCAACAGACAACAAGACTCTATTCATGAGTTCCACCTGGGGTAGCAAAGTTGTAAGTATAAATTTATTACTTATAAATATTCTATCAAATGTACTCGAAAAATTGGAATTTCTCTATCTTCTTGTCTGATGAATATTCTCATCTAAAAGACATGCTAGCAGAGACGCACAGCATAAAGATAGCAAACAAGTTCAGATTAAGTAAAATAGTCCCGATGTCATTTTATCAATTGCAGATTATCAGGAACACCATTCTATATTCATATTCAGGCCTGTAGCCAGGGAGGGTGGTTCGGGTTTCCCTTCCTCCTGGCCAAAATTTCTTTCAAAATCATGCAGTTTTTCACCATTTTGAGCACTTTTCAAGTGATTTTAGACATCTTTGAGCCAAAGTTTTCAAAAGTGAACCTCCCTGGAATTAAAAAAAAGTGAACCCCTCTTGACAATCCTGGCTACGGGCCTGTTCAGTACACACGTGGAACAGCTTTGATACCTCAAAATGGTGTTCCACTGTGGAGTGAACATTACAACATAACAAAATGTAACATTCACTGTACAATATCTCTTTTTATGTAAATTAGGACAACAATATACAGTGCACAGATTCAATCCGTTACATAGTCTGCTGGTTTGAATGGATAAATCTCTATTTCTTTTACAGGATATTATAAGCATAAACATAGAAACCAAGACAGTCGCTAAATTGAATGAGGGTAAGATATAAGTTTATTACAATAACATGTATATAATATATAACATGCATATGACACTGATACATCTTAGGATTGGAATAAGCAGGTCCAAATACTATGACTTCAAAATGACCAGTTCATCTGACCTCACACCCTTTACATGCAATTAATAGAAAACACAAAATAGCAAATCCTAATGAACTGGATGCTTTCCCATATCAAACCCCAATTCATTATTTGCACTGATGCTGAGGATATATTTTTACTGACTTAATTTCTGATCATCCATTTCGGATATAAATCTGTGTCAAGTGTCACTGTTAGGTGTCATGTGTCTCTGTTAGGGGTCACGTGTCTCTGTCAAGTGTCAAATGTCGCGATTTGAAATGTCACATCTCACGAATCCGTTGATCATTCATTGGTTCCATTTACATCCTAATACTCTTTTATATGCTTGTCTGAATTTTTGATTTTTCCAACCATAAATAAATGGGTTCAACAGAGAATTTGCAGCTGCCATCAATCCTGTAATATCAAAGAAAATTGTAGGTATGTTTTTGTTGGTCCCAGCATAGGCAGTTTTCAATGTGATGCAGATAAAATATGGAAACCAACACAAAATGAAAAGTCCAACTACTATCGCTAAAACTTTTGCAGATTTTATATTTGCTTTGTTTTTCTGTGATTGGGCTTCTTGAGCTGCACTCTCCAGTACTTTAATGATGCGGTATTGCTTTTGTGCTTCCCAGAATATTATGCTATAGAGCACAGTGATCGTGATCATTATGAAGTTAAAGGGTAGGCCGGTTACAAGTGTCATGTAATACAGGGGGATGATCTTATGCCAGTAACAATTCATTTCCTCCAATGGATTATGCCAGAGTATTAGAACACATCCGGATAATATACTCAACGCCCAGTTGAATATGACACCTTTGACGACCCTGGATCTTGTAACTATACTGTTGTACCGTAGGGGATGGAGTATAGCAATGTATCTGTCAATCCCAATACAAAGGAGGCTCAGACATGATGCCTGTCCAGAAGTTGCGTATAGAATATACTTGGTCAAACAGATATAACATGCCTGCTGTGTTCATGAAGTATTCGACGCTACCCATTAACATTGTGATGCCCATCACGAAATCTGCAGACGATAAACTTACGATAAAGTGCGCTGTTTCAGTTTGTAGATGCTGGAATTTCCAGATTATGAAAATCGTCAGTCCATTTCCGAACCACATAATGGCCACGAATATGAGACTCAGCATGCCGTATATAATATCAGAATTAACGTCCATATTTTCTGCAGCTGTTTGGTTGGTCATGTTGGACTCCATTCTTATTTTTATCTCTTGCAATATTCAATTCAACTATAGGATATTCAGTAACTATTTCAAAATCAAATGAGACAAAAATAGAAATCTGCTTGTCGCTTTTCTACATGTGTCCCTCACTGATACAGTTGTTAAGTTCCTTTCTTAATACGTATTAATCTACTCTCGTCAGTTGTTATGTTCACGAGATGTACAAGGAATATCTTTTATATTTCCATTAGATTTATTAGATACAGAATTAACAAATGAATGTAATCTAATACAAACACCTACCACCTTTTAGAGATATTAAAATATGAGTGAAATAACAGAATAATGGTTGTTTGATTTCTGGATAATTAGTCTAAGTATGGTATGTATATCTCATGGTTTTAGCCCATGTCGTAATTGAGGCTTTGACCCAGGGTGTCAGGCCATCCATCTTAATATGTCGATCATGCAACATTTTAAATCTCTAATTCTTGATTTCATCATTATGTACAGGGTGACCCCAAAAAATGGAATAACTTTGTCGATAAAAAAAGGATTTAATTTTGTGTTTTCATTAAACATTGGTTAACAATTTTTTTCTAAATATATGCTGATGTCTTTTGGAATATCACTTCTGTTATAAAGTAGGCTGTTGTTTTCCAATATGGTTGCTCAATTCAAAATGGCCACCATTTTCCCCTAAAAAATCTTTGATAACTCCAATATAATAAGACTACAGATTTTTTATCACACCATCGGTGGGATATAGTCGTCATACTGGTCGTGGTCGTGATCGTGGTCGAATGGCCGCCATTTTCCCCTAAAAAATCTTTGATAACTCCAATATAATAAGACTACAGATTTTTTATCACACCATCAGTGGGATATAGTCGTCATACTGGTCGTGGTCGTGATCGTGGTCGTGATCGTGATCGTCCCGCTTTTTGTCATCGCTGTTCAAGGAAAACTGCTCATCAGATTTTCTCCAAATTCGAAGAGATTACAGAGCATATGAAGTACTAGAGCTGATTAACTTTTGGCTGACCATCTTGTTTTCTGGCGGCCATTTTGAAGGTTTTTCGAAAAATCTTGTCATTGCCATTTCAGGAAAACCGCTCATCAGATTTCCTTCAAATTTACACACATGATAGAGGATATCAAGTACTAGAGCTGATTAACTTTTGGGCGGCCATCTTGTTTTCTGGTGGCCGTTTTGAAGGTTTTTCAAAAAATCTTGTCATCGCCATTTCAGGAAAACCGCTCATGGGATTTCCTTCAAATTTACACAAATGATAGGGGATATCAAGTACTAGAGCTGATTAACTTTTGGGCGGCCATCTTGTTTTCTTGTTCTTGAAATTTGTAAACATAATAGGAGAACAGTTTTCCTGGTTCATAGTGTGTGCCTATTTGATGGTGTGATCTCGTTCACGTCCTGTGCCTGGTTTAACTCAAAGACCACTTATCAGATTTTGTCTATATTTTATAAGCTAATGTGTTACGGAAATAGGACCTTCCTTGAGAAGGAATTCCCAGTATGGCTGCTCAATTCAATATGGCTGTCATTTTTTATTCTTTGATGACTCATATACCAGGTGTTAAATTTGGTTCAAATATAAAGGATCATGTCTTATGACATAGAATATATGTTCAAGAAGGAATTTTCAAGATGGCTGCTGAGTTAAGAAATATTACCTCCATAAAAATATAATCTTTTGATGACTGAAAAACCAGTCATCATATTTGCTTTAGATAGGTATAAGACTCTGCTCCAGAAGAGATTTCAAAGATGGCTGCTAATTCAAAATGGCTGCCAGGAGAATTATATTTCAAAATGAGTCAAACACCAATTATCAGATTTGATGCCTTATGGGTATGGGGCGTCATGTCATGTCATGTCATGTCATGTCATGGATGTAGATTTTGTCAACAGGAGACAATACTACTGCCTTGATATTTCTTTTATGAAATATTAAAAATAATATTTGATAAAATGTTTTGTTCAGTGGGATTTGCTACTCCAGGGAGTTGCTGTTTTTTAAATTAGATTTCAAGTTTAATGTTTGAAACTTTGCCATTCAAAAGCTATAGACTTGGGTTCACTCAGGTCTTTCATGTAGTAGGTTTTTCAATGTGAATAAAAGTTTTTGCATTTTTTATTCATGGGTTTCATCTTTTTAGGCCACTTTGTAGATTAATATCTTAAGAGGGGAGAAGCACTCTTCTTCTAACTAATATACCTACCACTTTAACAATCGCAAACCTTGTCTCTTAATTATTATCCCATCGAACGAAGTTCGGAGGGATATAGGGAACACCTCCGTCCGTCCGTCCGTACGTACGTCCGTACGTCCGTCCGTCCGTCCGTCCGTCCGTCTGTCCGTCTGTCCGTCCGTCCGTCCGTTCGGGCAATAACTCAAATACCGTTGGCCCGATTTTGTTCATATTTTGTACACATATACCCTATGGGGGTAGAAGTTCTGCTCGAAAGCCGATTTCAAATAGCAATATGTTTTGAATTTAAAAAATTATAAAGGACATTAATAATGCTACAAATGTAGATATTAAAGAAGCACATTGCAGCCATCTTGAAAAATGGCGGCCTTTACTCGTCATTTTACGATTTTTGCTGTAACTCAAAAAATAGTGGAGCGATTTTGTTCATATTTGGTATGTGAATATTATAAGCATTACACACTGTCTAAAGACACTTTTGGTAGAAGGCGGCCATTTTGAAAAAAAATTGAAAAATGGCCGCCATTTTAACGTATTTTGCTATAACTCGAAAAGTAGTGGAGCGATTTTGTTCATATTTGGTATGTGAATACTATAAGCATGGCACACTGTCCTATGACACTTTGGGTAGTAGGTGGCCATTTTGAAAAAAAATTGAAAAATGGCCGCCATTTTAACATATTTTACTATAACTAGAAAAGTAGTGGAGCGATTTTGTTCATATTTGGTATGTGAATACTATAAGCATGGCACACTGTCCTATGACACTTTTGGTAGAAGGCGGCCATTTTGAAAATTTTTTTGAAAAATGGCCGCCATTCTAACGTATTTTACTATAACTCAAAAAGTAGTAGAGCGATTTTGTTCATATTTGGTATGTGAATACAATAAGCATGTCACACTGTCTATTTCTAATGACACTTTTGGTAGAAGGTGGCCATTTTAACGTATTTTACTATAACTCGAAAAGTAGTGGAGCGATTTTGTTCATATTTGATATGTGAATGCTTTAAGCATGGCACATTGTCTAATTAAACTTTGGGGAGTAGTCGGCCATTTCGAAAAATGGCCACCATTTTTATGTGTGTTATTTTACAAGTACGTGTATGATTTTTCAAAAATTTTAGAGGTGGCTACTTAAAAGCATATTATTTCTTCTGATGACAACTTGGCTAGTGAGCAACCATTTTGAAAATGGTGGCCTTTCTGGTGTGTTGTTTTATGATATTTGCTATTCGTTTGTAAAAATGCCAGCCATTTCTGTTCGATGGGATTCGCTACGCTTTGGCGTTGCCTTTGTTCTGGTTTATTGATGGGTGTTGTATTACTTATTAATATCATTGTTATTTCTGAATAAACAGATTCGATGTGATAATCCCACTTTATTTAATGAAATTTCAGAGAATAATCAATAACATTAGTAGTAAATAAAATCATATCTCCTTTCTTACCATGGAACTGCTCTGTCAAAAGGTCAATAGTGGGGCTATTAGTAGATACTGTTGCTCAGTTAAATATAGCAACATTTCTAACAAGTCCATCAATAATATAAGCAATTATAGTTCATTGATGAGTCTTTTTGCAAAATACATATATTAAAGAAGAATTTGCTTTCATATACTCATTCAATATATCTAAAGTAGGGGTGTGAACTTTTTACCTATCATCGATCATTACCTGACACACCACGTGTTTCACTGATTCTTAATTCACGATTAACTGCAATCACAAAAGGTTAATCTTCAACATCCCTCCACGTCATTTAGAGCTGAAAGTTAGGTTGACATGTTAAGCTGGTAAAAAACTGCTGACGCTTACCTTTGTTGTTTGTGTGTTTTGCCAATCCACCACATTTCATTAGCTTATTCAATAGAAGTAAGCATTTAAATCCAAGGTGAATGTTGGTGTATTTGAATTTAATCGTCCCGATTTTATTCAGTTGAGAAAAAGTCTAGAAATGGCAGTGATCTGAAGGGGGTCAGCCCCTCCCCGGAAAAAAATTATGTTGGAAATTTTAATCATGAACAGGAGGGGTATGTAAAATATGCAATGTGATAAATTCCCGTCAGTACCACAAGCATGATCTATCACTTATTTGGACTTAATTTTTTTTTACGCCTTCTATAAACTGTGAACAAAGTCAATATTTCACATGGTATTTATTCGTCGATACAATACCTGGTCTGTACTAATTGTTTCATTCAGTGCTAAATGCTAAACAGGAAGTAGGAAATGAAGCGATGATTTTGTCGACGAAGCGACACCAATTATTGTGGTAATGAAAAGGGCAGATCAAACAACATGTCTTTGTTTGTTTGTTTGTTTGTTTATATCCAATAGTTTGAGGTGCTTTAATGTCACCTTTATTTAGTCTCTGGTGCCCATTGTCACTTTGTGCTCTTACTTGTGTGTTTTACTCTAATGTTTTGTAGAAATCTCTTTTTTCTTTTTTTTCTTTTAATCCTAATCTAATATAGCTAATGTTTATATTAAAATAATACTTATATCTTTTTCCAGATGCTGAAGTGGGAGTTTGGACAGTGTTAGATGTCACAAGAGATATGATACTTGCCTCCTATGCCAACCCATCTACCCCACCATACTTGGTAATATACTTATTCTTATACACTGACTTCTGGTGAATGAAACAAAATATTTCAATGGATCTGGATTTTTCTTGCTTCGGTTTCCGTTGTTTTGGGTAAAGTCACACATTTCTGGAAATAAAAACCCTATTCACTTCACATGATATAACTTCTATCCATCATAAAGTAGTTCCATAAATGATTTGTTTTTTGTTTTATTTCAGAGATTAGGTGTGCTCAATTTGAAAGAAGATGCCACTTACAGTATAACATGGACTCAGCTAGACACCCCTTCACGAATATCTGGTATCAAATACAAAATAAATACACACACACCTACAGGAGAAAAAGCTAAGGACCACTTTTCCAATTTAAAGTATGAGTCGATACTTGTAACTCCTACCTCTGAAAGCAATGTTAAACCACCCTTGGTGGTGTATCCCCATGGGGGGCCCCACTCTGCGATTGTGTGTGATTTTATGCTGTACATTGCTGGACTTTGCAAATGTGGCTATGCTGTGTTATTGGTGAACTATAGGGGGTCCACTGGTGCAGGGAAAGATAGCATTGATTCATTACCTGGCAATGTAGGCACCCAAGATGTCAATGATGTACAGGTATCTCAATTTCAGTTGATTAGAAATTTGCTAGTTATTTCAGGATGCATAGCATAAGAAGTGGCAACTTCTATGAATAAAAATAGAATGTTTACATGTATACATGTATGCCTTGAGTTTAATGAATTCATGTCCAATATAAAGATTGATACAATATTTTAAAGCAAAAATGGAATGATCTATGATCTAAGAATAGAACTGAAGTTTTCTGTATCATTTACTTTAGATAATATGTTAACTATCTCTCCTTCTAAACAAGGGAGCTTATTATCCTACTGAACAAAGTAAGAACATGTGTGCTTTTTTCAGGGCGCTGCAGAAGAAATTATCAAGGATGGCAATTTTGATAAAAATAGGGTGGTTGTTATGGGAGGCTCCCATGGGGGTTTCCTGACAGGTCACCTTATAGGACAACATCCTGTAAGTACACTAACTCAGACCCTGAAAATCTGGCATATAATATTATAAATCCACACACTAAATTGTTAAGAATTGAAAGTGACAAAGGTTCAGGTAGATCCTTCTTTTAGATATTTTTTTAGACTTTATTCTAATACAGAGGGGGAGAAACACCAGGGTTCAAAGATGACATACGCTTATAATGTAAATCTGAATTGAGATGACATCGTCGCTGATTGGTCAAAAATCGACAAACAAATGACGTCATTTATGGCGGTTTCAAAATTTTCGAAATACGCTTCGAATAATATTATGTTCATTTCTGGCGTGTTAACCAATATCATAGTTTCTCATTTCACATCAAGATAGGGAAAGGTGTACAGAATATGCCTTTGTCAATTAAAACATCCCATCGAAGTGTAATATTTGATAACTAGCCGATGAAAATTCGAACGAACGAAGGTGGTAAGCAAGAGAGGTAATTATGTCTGTCATCTTAAAACTCTGGGGCTTTCCCTCCTCTTATTCTAATAATACACATTCAAACTTTTAATACTGAACAGTTTACTTACTTTAGACTTCAGTCATGCTGCATTTAACTATTACCTTATATAGAACTACATGTACCTTGTTGTTGGGAGTTGTCAAAGTGATTTGCTTTTACTTTATAGAAATTCTACAGAGCAGCTGTCATGCGAAATCCTGCAATAAATGTTGCCAGTACGTATATCAATGTATCATCAATAGACAAACAACAGCCATTTTTCTCTGTGCATTAATGACTTTAAGCGATCCATATGCTGGATGTTGTTCAATCAAAAACATAATTTTTATGGCCCAGGAGTATTTATTGGAAGTAGTTTCAAAATAAGCCCATGGGCAAGGGGCTTTTAATGTTTCCAGAGAAAACATCAAAATTTAGCCTTGCTTTCCTCCATGGCCTTATTATTAGAAAATCTGGTACAGTTGATAAAAATTTGATGGTTCAGAAAAACAAATCAGCATTATTCGTAGTGTTTTATACATTTTCTTTTCTTTTGATTCTGTTTTCTAATGATTGATGAACCTTATATTTAAAATATTTTATTTATTTCATATGCTGCCAATTTTGCATTCATTTCATGTGTTACTTTGGTTTTCAGGTATGCTCGGATCTACAGACATCCCTGATTGGTAAGTATAGGCTGAAGGGAGGGGGGGGGGTACAGATTAGGGGTGGTACAGATCAGAAAAAATGAAATATTCCATCAAATAAGATTTTGTTATACAGTTTTTGAAGTACATGTACTGTAGTTTGAAGTGTAAAATTAAAAAAAATCCAGTTTTAATACACATATAGTGATTTATTGTATTGGAAGAATCTGTCAAATTAAATTCAGTATCACATTCACATTAAGACTTCCTTCTTCCCCACAGGTGTTTTGTAGAGGCAGGGATCGAATACAATCAAAGTATACTAGCAGGTGTCGAAGATTACAAAAAAATGTGGGAGAGATCACCTATCAAGTATGTTAAAGATGTGAGTACTGTTATGTACAGTAGATTGTTAAAGAGGTAATGTCTCAGTAATTCAATTTAAGATCATAAAGATTGTAAATTACAGAGCTTGTAACAGTCATTGGAATTAGGAACTTACAAAGTGTTACATCTTTGATTCAAAGGGTAATATTGACAAACTCATTTATTCATATCTAGAGGCATAAAATCTCATGTGTCACAAACTACAATGACCTAATCATGAGTAACTGCCTCACTGCGTATAGTTCAAATGAAAGTCTAAGCATACTGTACATTGGTATAATAGGACAAATATCTCAAGATACATATCAAATATGGCATAGCTGCAATAAACATGCAACAGTGGCCTCATTGTATCTCTGGGAATAACTTAAATCAACATGTTATTGTTCATGTTGATTATGCTGGACTAATTATCCAACCAAACAAAGTTCAAATGGGATAGAGAGAAGCCATCTGTCTGTCCGTCTGACAGATTTGATTCAAATTGTATAGGCATATGCCTTATGGGTGTAGGACATCTACTCAAAAAGGAATTTTCAATATGGCTGCTCAATTCAAAATGGCCACCATTTTTCATAAAAAACTTAATCTTTGATAACTCCAATACTAGTCGACCGATTTGGTTCAAATTTCATATGCTGATGCCATTTTGTTGATACATACATTTAACCAAGCCTCAAAAAAGTAAGTAGATGGTTGTATAATTTTATAAATATTATGAGCATTCTTCATTTAGGTTTAAATAGATGGCATACAAATATGCTAGCTAGGCTTTTACTTATTGGAATTATTGATATTTTATAAGGTATTCTCTCATATTTGTGCAATCAAGAAGTAAACACATAACACTTTTTATTTTAAAATTTGAAATAAAATAAAATGTTTACTTTTAAAGAAAAAGTTTTCTATGGACTTATCAAGGACGTCTTTGGACTTATCAAGTAACTGATATTTGAGTTTATAAATATAGTCCTGTATAAGATAATGCTACGAAAGTTAGGTAAGTATTCCAATGAAACCAAGTGGCAGGAGAGGTATAATATTAAGTTGCATATAAAAGTGTGAATTGCTTTGCTATATATCGGGCGAGAGCCCAGCACTCTACACTACACTAAGTACCAATACTGCGTAAAAGCACCATAATCGATACCTTAATTGTGTATCTGTAGTTTCTCTGTTGCTTTGGAGATGTACTTTGGGGTGCGTACATCTTCATAGAGGGTCATGGCACAGGGCCATTCAAATGACCCTGGTCATTCATGGGTATGTTGTACATGTAGCAGGACATTGCGAGCCTGTCTGCATGGGGCGCCCCAACATCAAATCCAGTGTGAATGATTCTGCAGGGATGTACTTTTTCTCATGTCACTTTTCCATTTATGATAATAATACTTTCATTCAATTTACACTTCAATTGTTTCATGTTGTGTGTTACACAATTACAACATGCCACAATCAAAGGCATAAAAATCAATCACAAACAATCCGAACAATCGAAAACTCTGTACAGTAGTTTCTCTGTAACTGTGAGGATATACTTGTTTTCCGTTTATTGATTAAATAATTCTCTCATTCAGTATACACTTTCATGACAAAGTTACACAGGAAGGTGGCTCATTAATCAATTTTATATACTGATTTTTTTAAGAAAGATTCTTTTATGTCATCCGGCATGAAATTGCCTGTTGTTGTTATTTTTTTTAATTTTACTTATTAGGCTTCATTGTGCTGATATTTTCAATGCATGGACATAGCCAGGATGAGGTAGAAAAATACACAAGTTTTACAATATGAAAATTTTAAAATGAAGTCATATGGTTGTGTTATTTTGCTTTTAGTTCAAATTTGGAAATAAAATTTCAGTGATCTCTCCAGGGCTTTTTTTAGGTGGGTGCAAAATTCTCATTTTCACAATTCAGACCAAAATTGGTCAAAATATGGCAATTTTTCATGTTTTTTTCTCATTTTCAAGTGGGTGCAAATGGATTTTCAGGTGGGTGCAAGCCCAATTTCAAAATCTCAGGTGGGTGCTGGGCCCACTTGCTTAAATGCTGGGGAGATGACTGAATTTGCATCGCCAAATTTTAGATTCTGCAATGCATAGCGTAGCAAGTTGAAAATCCAGTACAAACAAAACAACATTTTACTCCAGGTGACGACACCAGTGATGATTATGCTTGGGGCAATTGATTTGAGGGTGCCTCCCAAACAAGGACATGAATACTACAGAGCATTGAAGGCTAACAATGTAGAAGCAAGGTATGTTTATTTAAAAAATAGAGCATTTTTAAGTAAATCTTGGAATTTTCAAAAAATGATCTTCATGGAATATTGGAAGCAGCATGATGATCTAAATATGGTTTATGAATACAAATAATACTGTATCATCATCTTTTTTACAGCTTAGTATGTGGCATCTTGATAAATTGATTTCATTTATTGAAACAGAATATGTACTTGACCCTCAATAAGACTACATGCACATAGGTTTGCTAAATGAAAATATTTCCTTACTCAAATAAATTGAAAGCCTGTGATGATATCAATATAAACGTCGGTAAAACATTTAGGAGATTTTTTTATGATTAATTTGAAATCATACATTGAAAAGCTACTGGTAATGCCCCCCGAGTGTGCATTACCAGAAGCATTCATGAAATTCCAATTGCGTCTTCTTAGCTTATGAATGACATCATGATTTCCACAATTACAAAAAATGGAATTTGATGAGGGAGAATGTTCTTGCCTAACGAAGTGATGAATTAGGATCTTTTTGTGTAGTTTATGCTTGAATATTGGATACTTATTGCCATGAAGAAACAGTTTGTATTAGAACTCCACTCAGCTGAAATTAGTGAGACATTTACTTTGGATGTTAGATTTGCAACTTCTTATGCCTCAGTGACATTTGATCTGTGGCAACCATATGGCATCCATAGCTTCCCAAAATCAAGAGAAATATGCAGCATAAAATATAGGAAAAATCAGCGCGATGTAGATTTTCTATATCGATTTTGTGAAGCTATGGCCGCCGTACATCCTCCGAAGAGCAATTGTGACTGAGGCTTATGCAAAATATACTGTATGTCCTTTCAGGATGCTTGTATATGAGGGGAACTGCCACCCAATTAACAAAGTGGACGCTGAGGCTGATGCCTTTGTCAACATAGTGAAATGGTTCACTAAACACCTCAGTTCACCATAGACGTGGGAAATACATCGAAATAGTGACTGATGCCTTATCAGCATATTGGATGCTTCATAAAATACCCATCAAGAGACCACTACTGCTCAGTTTAAATTAAAAACAGCAGATAATTATGGTCCATTAAAGCTTAAAGGGGAATTCTGATGCTCATGGCATTTTTCTGTTTCTGGAAAAACGTGCTCTGTTGTTTTGATACATATTCTGTGCTATCGACACACCTGATTAGTTGAATTATGTAAATCTTATTTAAGTGAGGTGCTTATCATGTAATTATTGCCCTTAATGTAGATACATTTCATAATACACATTCACATTCCAGGCCCGTAGCCAGGAATTGCCAAGGGGGGTTCACTTTTTGAAAAATTCACTTGTAACAAATTTGGTCCAAAAATGGCCAAGATCGCTTATAAAGTGCTCAGAATGGTGAAAAATGCATGATTTTGAAAGACTTTGTGGCCAGGGGGGTTCGAGCCTGCATTCTATTGTCACTACCGTAAGATTAAGATATTAACACAGGCATGAGTAATTAATGAGTATTATCTCCACAAGTTAATGACCCCAAATCGAATAAGATGAAAGATGAAAGATCTCAAAATACCTCAAATCTTGGCTCTCTTTGATCATCATATCTAACCCATAATATCATGGTGTCTCATTAAGCAAAAATTATCAACTGTGCTTATGTTTTAGCTCCAACCAATAAACACTCTTAAGACTATTCTGCATTTCATTAAAAATATCCACTTGCTGTATTCACTTTAAAATACCTCAAGGTTGACTAAATATCATGAATATGTGAAATGTATCAACTCTATATGTACCATCTTGATTCACAAGGTGTCAGTTGTTCCAACTTCACCTTGATAATCCAGGAATGAATCCACATTCACTGAGTAAACAAAACAAAATGCTAAAAGTATTCTCAAAGTCATCATGATAAACCATGACATCTCATTTCTTCTCAGCCCTCAGGTGAAACAGAAAGATGCTATGAGTATCAGAAGGTCTCAAAGTAAAGATATCATGATACAAAATCTTGTCATGATTATGTAAGATAAACATCAGTTCAAGGAATCTTTCAATAGAATCCCGATCAAGCTCCATTAAGGGCCATAAAAATATAATTTATGAGTGAGTGACTGCTGGTGAAACAAATATTTGGACACTTTTGATTGGTGCGTGATGATATCCACGAGCATGAACCACCACACAGTGACAGGACAGAAAAATAAGCATTTGCCTCCAATGTGTGTTATAACACCTTGGAGGTCAAAGATGATATGTACTGAATGTACAAAGGATGAAATATATGTTGTCTCCTATGTGATTTAGCTGTGCAATATGTCTGCCACCCCATTATTCCTTTGGTTGCCAAGTTAGTCTTCTGCAAAGACTAAAGAACCAGGTTGCCTCCAAGACATTATTTGAGGCTCTGCAGAAGACTAAAGTTGGAATTATCTTCTTATAAAGGAGATAATACTGTCATGTAAAATTATACTGTAAATGTACCATTCAAAATGTGTACATCAAATACTGAAATATATGATTTTTGAATAACAAAATGAATTCTATTCTTTTGTTCTCTGTTATAATATTATCTTATGAAGATTGGAAGTTTAACATTTGGAATGCCTTTCACAGGCTGGTTGAGAAGGTACAACAAGATAAAGATGCAAAATGTAACCACCTGCCATATGTTACAGATGTCACCGTCCACAAAAAAGATGGAGACTATAGCAATATGTCAACACTTGTGCCTTGTGGTGGTGACATTATGGGTTGAGTGTGATTCTCTAAAAATATTTTACCATGTAATAATTATAATATTTTTATGTACAATAGTTTTTGACTCCCATTCATCAATTCTATTGAATTTGGACCAATAACTTCCATATTTCTCAGAACACATACCTAGGATTATAAGTGAAACACTCGCAAGCTTTTCAAAACTTTACTTCCACAATAGCTACCTAAAGATTCACCAGGAATGCTCCAAAATCTCTGTTACAGACTTTCCGATTTGCTTCATTTCACAACAGTTTCATCTGTGCCTCTTGCCTCAAATAATTTAATTGTTCTTTCCAATAGTCGGAGGAGAGCTTTATTAATTAAATAACAGTTCTAGGAATGAAACATGATGTATGTCTTAATACTTGGTCATAACTTTTGAAGCAGGGTGGGTGCTTATAAGGAGGTGGGTGCTAAATACGGCAATTACAGTAATTTCGATCTTCACCAGATACAATATTGTCATTTCTTTTCTTGCACAATATTCTATTTAAATTCAGATATTCCATTCAAATAACAGAGGCTGATATTTTCCAAAATGATGACTACATTTTTCTTAATATGTGACTCTTCAAATCAGCATTTTCCATAAACTTATTGAATGACTTGGTGTCGTGTCACAATTGCAAGACTCCATGGGAACCATGTTCAGCATAATTGAAAGCTTATGAATAGCTATACATTATGTCTTGGGATGAAATTTATTTCTATACTATAAAGAAACCTGTGTATATGGAACAACCTTCACAATGTTAAAATTGTTCCTTGTAGACAGGGCGGTGTCCATTACAGAGATGACTCAAGGCGTTTTAACATGTAAGTCAATGGGACTTGGTTTTTTATGTCACAATCAGAAGTGGTGACACATTGTTATATTATGTCACCACCAAAAGTGGTGACATATTGTTAGTCTCCAATGTTTTTGTGGACAGTGGTTAGTGGTGACATTTTGCATGTTAATGCCTTGGAGAGGTGTTTTGTTGGACAGGTTTAACTGTGTATTGAACAATTAACCAGGTAGGCTTAATGAGCATCAGCTAAAATATCATGTGACCAACCATTACCACATCTTAAAGCTCACATCTAAATAAAGCATATGTTTAGTTACATCCTTCAAGATTAGGCATCGGTCACCTAGCTCATGGAAAGAATTGAAATACTCTTGGACCAAGGATGGTTTAGATATGCCTTACAAATATTTTATGCCGTAATGAGAACTAAAAAATAACACCTGAACAAAATAAAAAATATTTGATTAATGTTTTTTCCCACAACAAAACCACATGATCAGGCATTCAAGAGATAATGGTATTTCGAGATAATGTTCCTTAAGTAAGAAAGTAAGCGGAAACAGTAATACAATATTCACATTATTTTCTATCTATTTGTATAATATTACACTCATTTAATTATATACAATTGAACAAAGAATTATAGATCTGTTAGAATACAATACATGTACCATATACAAAACAGGAAATGTATATTAATATGACTTGCTGAGCTTGCACACTAAGGTCAGTTAGTCCTCAATTTTTACACTGATTAGAAAAAATAAATTTTCTTATTTTCCCACAACAATGTTTTACTAATTTTGCATCTGTCATGTAGAGTTTCTTATTACACTATTTATTGTTATTTCTTAATTTATTCTCCTATAAAGTTTGGCTTTCTTTTTTCTTTGAAAGCTTTCAAGGCTTCAATTCTGTCTTTAGTTGGTATTACCTGAAACATAAAAAAGATTATTGGTAAAAGGAGAGACAGTAATACATGTAATACTGTAGACATGGAAAAATATGCTGTGTTTTAATTTACACTATATTCGCAGGGGGTATTGCGTGCGCGTAAATATAAAGCCGTGTAATTAATCATCTCAATTGAAAATTGTCTCTAAGAATACATAATAGGAGAGGTTCTGAAATATAAATTATATAAAGTTTTAGAATTATAGAAAATCATAGAACAGTGATAATAGGACCAATCATTATATACATGTGTCTTACATACATTGATTTTATGTTTGTAAGTGCTATATTTTCTCACAGCACATAGAATTTTATCTGATGATTTGAAATGTAAAACTGGAAATTAAATTCTCTGTTTCAATTTCTTTATTTTCTTTATGTTGTTAAGTTATGTTTATGTTGAAAAATACAAGGAATACATATACAGTAAAACCTGTCTTAGTGAACACCTGTCTCCAGTGGACACCCTTCCTCCACACATGCTCAACTGACTTCTGTTTAAATTACCCTCTCTGCAGTGAACACCTACCAACACTGAACGTTATTTTTCTCAGCAAAAAAATGTTCAATGTACACAGGTTCTACTATACTGTACAATATCATGTGGAAGACACCCTAAAGGGCATGTTCCTAGTTTGTACCTGAGCATAACATAGTTGTTCATATTGTAGACCAGAGTCAAGGTCCACTTCAATCCCTCTGTTTATTGCAACTTTCGCCATCTTAACACCAACAGGGCCCTGGAATAAAGAACAAGGTTATTTACATGTGCAATATGATAGCTAATTATAAAAAGAGAGGTTAAATAAAGATTGGTATTGTGGTTTATCAGGTTTATGTGGTTTATATTATCCTGATTATGAAACCCCATGAACCCCCATAAAGCATAAATCAGAGAATGATGTTCTTTAACAAGATTTATTTTTACAACAATTAACATCTGGGAATATAAAGAATTACAAAACATTTGATGAAATATCATACTTATTGAAAGTTTCATCCGACAAAGTTCTTACCAATCATGGGATAATCTAATTTACCTTATAACAAAGACACGTAAAATGGTATTTAGAAAATACTGGACTAATAAAACTCATGTCTTACATTAGGCAAGATCTCCTGCGCTAACTCAACAGCTCTTTGATAAGCAGCGTCACCAGCCTCATTCTGGGGTACGGAATGGTTCACGAGTCCTATTTTACATGCCTCATCCCCGTCTATGACCCTCGCAGTGAATATTAACTCCTTTGCGATTGCTGGACCTACTAGGCGAGGAAGCCTCTGAGTCCCACCTGGAAAATACACACAGAAAACATTTTATGATTAGAACATAAGAATCATACATGAATTTGAGTATATTCAAAATTAAATCTAACTAAAAAAAATCATAATGTCTTATGATGTTTGCAGCAATTAATAGGCTCACATGAGGATTCCTTCAGTTTTGCACTTTTGCTGTTTCAATTGATTTTGATGACAACAAGTTGATTTTTCCAAAACAAGGCAAAGTTTAGATAAACAGCCTGCTTTAACAGAAACATTTATATCAACATACTTTTGATTGAAAAAGCATGGCACATCTATGAAGAGAAAATTCCAAACTATTTTTAACAATTCCAATAAGCAGTGAAAATCAGACATAGAAGGAACTACTCTTGGGCAATATTTAAATGTTGACCAAAATATCTTTTTTTTTATTTCCAAACCCTCTTCACCATAATACTATCTAACATTTTTTTCCTACAGTGTGATAAAAGTTAATAAAAAACACTGACAAAAGCCAACTGACTTTACCCCCCCCCCCCCCCTCCTCAAAGTGATTAATTATATTTGAAGGTGAACATTGGAATATCAACCTTCCCTCTGATAACCATGATGAATTCTTGTAGTATATCACAGTATCAAAAGCAACTGTTTTACAGTACTTTGAACTTTCGGTGTATACTACATAGTACATATAGCAAACACCTTTGTTTTTATTGGTGCTAAATTTTACTGAATGAGCATTTTCAAAGTTTAGCCAAGATTTAATTTCAATGAAGATATTTCACTATGATTTAAATTTCAATGAACGTTATGTAAGCCAATAAATAGCAGAAGGCATTAACATGCAAAATGTTACCACCTACCATTTGTTACAGACACCAAAGGCCAACCATCGGACACCATCCACAAAAAACAATATGTTACCATTTGTAGTGGTGACATAAAAATTTAAAAACAGTGATATTTTCACCTGCCTGTATATACTAAACTAGATATAGAATAACATAGAAACATGCTCCCTACCTCCACCTGGGATGATACCCAGTCTAGTTTCAACTACACCCATCTTGGCATTAGAAGCAGCAATCCTTAAGTCAGCGGCCATCGCCATTTCTAGCCCCCCACCTAAAGCAGCGCCATCCATAGCTACTATGACAGGCATGGGCAGATATGTGAATTCATTAATTACCTGACGTCCCTTTGCCACAAAAGGCCCAACCTCACCCTCTGTCATTTTAGCTCTCTCTTTTAAATCTGCGCCTACAATTAAATATCCCAAACTCCTAAGTTGTGTGGTTTAATCAACATACCTCCACCTGGTATTATACCAAGTCTAGTTTCAACGACACCCATCTTGGCTACTGAAGATGCTGTTCTTAAATCTGCCGCCATCGCCATTTCTAACCCTCCCCCTAAGGCAGCTCCATCTATTGCTGCAATAACGGGCATGGGGAGGTAGGTGAAATCATTAACTATGCGTCGTAAGTTCGCAACAAATGGTCCAATTTCAGCCTCAGTCATTGTTGCCCTTTCCTTTAAGTCAGCACCTAGAATGTGATGAGAAAGTGTCCTTATCCTAAACATGGGGTTTCAAAATGTGAAATGGTAATCAGTGATCTCCCTAGCATTAAAGCAAGTGGGCACAGCACCCACGTGAGATTTTGAAAATAGGCTTGCACCCACCTGAAAATCCATTTGCACCCACTTGAAAATGAGAAAAATCATGAAAAATTTGCATATTTTGACCAATTTTGGCCTGATTGTGAAAATGAGAATTTTGCACCCACCTGACTAAAAATCCTGGTGAGATCACTGGTAATGTTCTCATAGAAAATATAATACAGGATGGCATAAAAATGCCATTCTACTAATTTTAGAATAACCCTTGTCAGGAAATGAATCTTCTTGATTTTGTTGGAGTTGGTGTTTAAAATAGGTGGGATGTAAGTTTGTTAGAGGAAACACAGACTTTCTAAAATGCCCATCATGGTGTAAATGACTTTGAATTTAGAAAAAAACACTTCTCACAAGGTATGACGTTGTACAGAAACTGTTTGATCTCTAAATGACAAAGTCATTTCAATAAATATTTTCCACTGACAGACTACTTATACACATTGAACAATGAACATGCTATCCACTTCAGAAGAATCAAGATGAATCCTTCATTTTTGACAAAGTTATTCAAAAAATAGTTTGTAGAAAGATCCTTAATCTAAACATGGGGTATATAGGATATATGTAACATGTGGAAGGTGAATAGATAAAACTGTACAGTCCTATCAAAATGATGAAAATACAGTTTTTCGACGATAATTTTAAAACTATAGTTCAGTAATCATCAATAATAAAAATATAATTGCATTTAATAAACTGTTCAGCACTGACATCCTGAGCATTTGTATGTATTATATACATGTTATATTATTATAAAAAAAACTAAGAATATTTGTACCTGCGCAGAAAATTCCAGGTGCGTCACTTCTCACTATAACAGCTCTCACTTTCTTGTCATATTTCACAGTCTGAAGGGCTTCATCCATCTTTAATACACAAAGAATGGAGCTTTATGTACAGAAGGGGGAAGGGACACTTACATGTGTAATGTACAGAGGGAGGGGACATTTACATGTATAATGTACAGAGAAGGGGGACATTTACATGTGCAATGTACAGAGAAGGGAGGGGAACATTTACATGTATAATGTACAGAGAAGGGGGACATTTACATGTGCAATGTACAGAGAAGGGAGGGGAACATTTCTATGTGTAATATACAGAGAAGGGAGGTGAACATTTCCATGTGTAATGTACAGAGAAGAGAGGGGAACATTTCCATGTGTAATGTACAGAGAAGGGAGGGGAACATTTACATGTGTAATGTACAGAGAAGGGAGGGGAACATTTAGATGTGTAATGTACAGAGAAGGAAGGGGAACATTTACATGTGTAATGAACAGAGATGGGAGGGGAACATTTACATGTGTAATGTACAGAGAAGAGAGGGGACGATTTACATGTATAATGTACAGAGAAGGGGGACATTTACATGTGCAATGTACAGAGAAGGGAGGGGAACATTTACATGCAAATGATACATACTGTACAGAGGAGAACATTTACATGTGTAATATACAGAGAAGAGAGGGGAACATTTCTATGTGTAATATACAGAGAAGGGAGGGGAACATTTACATGTGTAATGTACAGAGAGAGGGAAGGGGAAGTGTAATGCACAGAGAAGGGAGGGGAACATTTACAGGGAGGTGAACATTTCCATGTGTAATGTACAGAGAAGAGAGGGGAACATTTACATGTGTAATGTACAGAGAAGGAAGGGGAACATTTACATGTGTAATGAACAGAGATGGGAGGGGAACATTTACATGTGTAATGTACAGAGAAGAGAGGGGAACATTTACATGTGTAATGTACAGAGAAGGGAGGGGAACATTTAGATGTGTAATGTACAGAGAAGGAAGGGGAACATTTACATGTGTAATGAACAGAGATGGGAGGGGAACATTTACATGTGTAATGTACAGAGAAGGGAGGGGAACATTTACATGTGTAATGTACAGAGAAGGGAGGGGAACATTTAGATGTGTAATGTACAGAGAAGGAAGGGGAACATTTACATGTGTAATGGACAGAGATGGGAGGGGAACATTTACATGTGTAATGTACAGAGAAGAGAGGGGAACATTTACATGTGTAATGTACAGAGAAGGGAGGGGAACATTTAGATGTGTAATGTACAGAGAAGGAAGGGGAACATTTACATGTGTAATGAACAGAGATGGGAGGGGAACATTTACATGTGTAATGTACAGAGAAGAGAGGGGAACATTTACATGTGTAATGTACAGAGAAGGAAGGGGAACATTTACATGTGGGAACATTTACATGTATAATGTAAAGAGAAGGGAGGGGAACATTTACACAAAGGGGAAAAACATGTATAAACATCTGCATGTGTGATATACAAAGATGTCAGGCAACATTTAGACATTACATGTATATGCATGTACAGGATGAACGGGAAACATCGTCATATGTTATATACTTTATGAAATGTCAACCACTTTTAATTATAACCAAATGCATTTTGCTTTAAATATGTATGACTTAATACTTCATTTAGTTCAGTGCAAAGGGCAATTTTCAGTTTGGAGAACCAATTTCATCTGCATATTTCGAAGTTATCAATGTCACCAAAGACTTTCATATTTTTACGTATTGTAGATTTAAATGTCCTCTTTTTGGGGACATTGGTAACATCAAAATATGCAGATGACTTTGCTTCTCCAAATCGAAAATCGTCTTTGGTTTTCCAAACCAAAAATCGTCCTTTAGATTTGACTTACCAATTTGAGGAGATTTCTACTAAATGCATTCTTGGCCTTTGGGCGGTTCATGGCCATCACGGCAATACCTGAAGACAACAAAATATTATGTTAATCTAAATTTCTTTATGTAACTAACTTTTAATGTTATCAGTCAAACAAACTGAACAAATCACAAACAAACCAAAATTAAAACATATATCTCACTGGCGGATCTGAGGGGGGGGGCTGCCCCCCCCTTGGGTGGGCCTTGAAAAAAAATTGGGCCCAAAAAAAGGCCTTGAGGCCCCAAAAGTGGGCCTTTTTGGTCATTACTGAGCCTTTCAAGGCCTTATTTTTTAATTTCAGGCCAAATTTTAAAGAAAATAGGCCTCAAATTTGGGCCCACTTTTGGCTTTATTTTTATTTTTCTCTGACCTAAAATTTGGGCCCCCCCCCCTTGTTGGTTCCAAGATCCGCCCCTGTATCTATTCTCTAAAAAGTTGGAAAATTCGTGGTTTGCCTCATCGCTTTTTACCAAATTTGACTCTTCGCTCACTTTTATTATCACACGCCCCCCACCTAACACAAAATCCTGGATCCGCCCGTGATTCTGTATTATAAATATGAAGCTGCATAGCAACTGGTTTTAGTAAACTACACTCACACTCACTCTTTGGGTCATCCTCACTCATACAGGTAAGAGATACATGTTCCAAAGACAAAGTGAGTGTTTGGATTCCTAAGCTTATAGTCAAAACAGTAATGTTTGTGAGTACTTTGAATTTAAAAAATAAGCAATCAAATAACCAAATTCAAACAATTTATGTAAAAATAGAAACATATATTTATCCTAACTTTTGTTTATTTTAGTTTGTTTTCTAGTTTAGCTATCATATCTGTGTCCTCGTATATTTTGATACTTCTCTGCCATGCACATGCTATCTATTGCAAGACTAACGCCTGGTGTAACCGTCACCATGTTATTCGGTGTTTTTTAAGTAGCGCAAGGATCCTGCCATGACCGTGGCAGTGTTATTTTGTATGCCTGGTATAACCGTGACAACGCTGTATTATATTGCAAGGCCTGTCATGACCGTGGTAATGTAAAAGCCCCGTATGACCGTGACAATGGTTGCATGGCCTGTCATGACCATGGTAATGTTAAAGCCCAGTATGACCGTGACAACGCTTGTAAAGCCTGCCATGACCGTGACAATGCTATGTTATATTGCCGTATATATTATATGACCGTCATAATGATTGAAAGGCCTGTCATTACCGTCAGAATGTTAAAGCCTGTCATGACCGTGGTAAGGTTAAAGCCTGATATGACCGTAACAATGCTATATTATATTGCAAGGCCTGTCATGGCCGTGGTAATGTTCAAGCCTGATATGACCGTTACAAGGCTTGCAAGGCCTGTCATGACCGTGACAATGCTATATTATATTGCAAGGCCTGTCATGACCGTGGTAATGTTAAAGCCCCGTATGACCGTGACAATAGTTGCAAGGCCTCTCATGACCGTGGTTGTATTTAAAGTAGCATGAGAACATCGTAATGACAATTTTTCTTCGTGTTTAACTACCTTAAATGTAAATAAAGACTACTAAAAATGTGTATTAATTTCACGACGAAACCCTAATTTTTACTCATAAATAATTTTCGAACAAACTATATCTCTACTCTCATTCAAGGAGCTTCGATTCGAAAGCATATACTTTCTATAATGATCAATTAATAAGATTTATCCATAAAAAATACCAACAGCAACGGGCAAAACATGAAGGTCATTAATGTCATATAAAGGTTGCGGTCGCGCCAGGCTTACACGATTACACTACCACGGTCATGGCAGGCATTTTAATATAATACAGCATTGTCGCGGTTATACCAGGCTTTCACGATAACATTACCACGGTCATGGCAGGATCCTTGCGGTACTTAAAAAACACCGAATAACATGGTGACGGTTACGCCAGGCGTTAGTCTTGCAACAGATAGGGTCTCCTGCCATGTTATTTTCGGAAAAATTAACATGGCTGAAACTCCCTAAATTACAAAAGGCCACAGCTTTGCTGCACATTATACATTACTATCTGAAATATACAAAAGTTAGGATAAATATAAATGTTTCTATTTTTACACAAACTGTTTCAATATGGTCATTTGATTTGATTTGATTCAAAGTACTCACAAACATTACTGTTTTGACTGTAGAGAACCCCATAGACTAGAGGACCAATCGCCAAAAGAAACTTGATACGACTTCCTGTACACTAAAAATAATCCACTAGACTTACGTGGATTTTGAATTGTTCATAGACAAAAAGGGGTGGGAATGAATAGATTCTGATCTGAATGAATTCAATTGAATTGTCAACGATGAACTAAATTGAATACTTATTTTCACCTATGTTGCAAGGCTGACAACTAACCTTCACTTTCTCCATCGAGATACCTTAGCTCAAACTCACTAAAACTTGCATCTGCACTGAATAATCTCTGACCTGAACCCAGATATTTCGTTAAATATCTAGAGAAATTTGGACTTTTGACTAGAAGTTTGAGGGCCATATTTACTTATGCCACTTACATCATTGACAAAAATCAATCATCTGTTTAATCATAATACATGATGACCCACTTAGCGAGTGCGCATGCGCGAGTTCTACTTCCTGAGAGTAAAGTGAGATTTTGCTGAATTTCTCGTTATTATTTAGAATATCACCGTTAATATAAATACTTGATTGTGCATAGCTTGCTATAAGTAAGAATCGATTATGAAGAAACATTTTATTGTATATATTCATGTTTCTGTCGTTCTGGAAAGGAAATAGATCGAATTATACGTCGTATTTTCACCTAATATCGCCCATATATATTCACATTTTCAGCTTCATACTTGATACTGTCTATGTTTGTGATGACTAAACACGGGTTTCTCTTAAAATTGTGAGTTATTTAGTTGTTTGACATTCCCTTAGAATTAAAATAGCCTGAAAGTTTATTTTTTATTGCAGTTCCACACCGTCAGAATAACAGAATCATGCCCAAGTACAAACCAACAAAGGCAAAGAACAGGCCTGTCAACTGTCCCGCAATTTGCGTATTTGTCACGCATTTGCTGAAGAATTTGAAGTCACGCCAGTTATTTTTGCGTGACAGAAAATGTCACGCAAATACGCATTTTACCTGGTAATTGTCACGCAAAAATATTTCTGTAGAAAAATTTCTAAAAAAGATCGTCCACACAGCAAAAATACGAACGCCGGAAAAAAATGTACGCATTCCGTTCGGACTTTTCACGCGAATTACGTATATGTCACGCATTCCGTTCAAAATTTTTCGTACCTAGACCTTACCCAGTACTGAGTAGGTCAGCAGTCCCTAACAACAACATGGTCAGGATGTCTGTCTTATACAAACATTGCTAATGTGCACTACCGAAAATAAAGTCCCTCAGTAGGTCTAGGCTCTAATAGAATGGGACTGATTCCGGAGGGTTCATTCTAAATAATTTTGGAATGTATGTGCAGCACGGCCAATTTTGGCTTTGGGCATCAACCATGGAAATTGGCGAATCTGAGAAAAAATGGAAAAATTGTCTACGACTCTACGAGAGTACCTTTTTGAGGTCAAAAATCAGTTCTTCTACAAAAAATGGTACTAAATTGGCTAAATCAGTTGCCGAGGGTCGGGACAAATCAGCCGAAAAGTGAATTTTTAGTCAATTTACCAGTATTTCTGAAAATTTAGTCCCAGCAAACTCCAGAGGAATTTGACATGGACATCTATGAAGTTGAGAGAGGGAAATAAAATGGACTTTCATAAGTCTGAGAGGAATTTAACATTGAAAGTTTCAAACTTGAGAGGAAATTAACATCGAAAAAATGCTTAAAATATTGAAGTGAACTCCCTAGGGACTTACCTTATCGATATTTTACAACCAATAATGGTTGTACATGTAAGTACAGTACACATAACAGTGATCTCCACAGGATTTTTTCACAGGCGGGTGCAAAATTTTCATTTTCACAATTTAGACCAAAATTGGTCAAAATGTGCCCATTTTTTATGATTTTTGTCATTTTCAAGTGGGTGCAAATGGATTTCCAGGTGGGTGCAAGCCTATTTTCAAAGTCTCAGGTGGGTGCTGCGCCCACTTCCTTTAATGCTGGGGAGATCACTGCATAAGTTATACAGTATTGAATCAAAAAATACTTTTTGAGTTTTAAGAACAACCCACAGACTGAAATAACCTACCAAATATAAATTCTTGGGTATATTTTCACGGGGTGCCATCGAATAATTTTGGGGTCGTACTGGAGAATGACATTTTACTAGGAAATGGCAATAATTTAGCACAATATATTTTTTAACTAGCATTCTACTTTGATTTTGACAAAAGTAAGTATTCCATGCAATGACTATTTCATTCATGAGTTTGAAGGAATTCTGTTGGAACCCAGTTCTGATCAAGTAAGAAGTTATTGAGATCGGCGCAGACGGACTTTACTCCGAAAGATGGTTTTTTGATTATAACTTTTTACAACATTTACATATAGGCTTTTAAAAAATGTCCGACACAGTCCTTATACTGTTGAATACTTCTGTTAATTCTGATTCACACGTCTAGTACTAATACTAGTATAAGAGGCCACGCATTTCATTAGCCAAACCAAAAGCAATCCAAGATGTACTGATATACTGTTATATAAAAGTGGATTTCCCCTTTTTGAAGCTTTGAACTGAATTTACACTTCTTAATGCTGAAATTGATAGTTTATCCTTACATTTTAAGAAAAAATGTATGTCAAAGAAGATGTTAAGCCAAATGCTGCCTTGATAGCTCAGAAAAAGTTGAAATTTTCCTATTTACTCTCTACAGGCCTTGTTGCCACTTTAACTCATCAAGTCATGAGTGTCATGCAAAAATTTAGCTTTCTTGAGTAGATTATTTTAATTAGCCTATTAATTTGGGAATTCGTGTGAGAGCTTGAAATAAAACACAATGTGTTTATAATATACAAATATCATTCAAAGTTATGTAGGCTTCACTTGCGGATACAGAAGCCAACAGAGGGGGGCACATTACATGTCGGCAAAAAGATTTAAAACCAAAAATTAGGCCTATTTTTTTTTATAATTTGGCCTAAAAAGTCCAGAAATGCTAAGTCATGTGCCCAAAAATTTTTGGGACCCTAACATTTTTTTCTGGGCCCCGATAAGGGGGGAGGGGGCATGGCCCCCCTTGGATCCCCCTGGATCCGCCAGTGCACTTACACCATGGAACTAAACATTCCTTGGACTGGGTTCGATTCTCAAACAACTTGATATTTGTATCTACATTTCAATTATCTTGAAGTTGATAATTATCCAGGCCAGGGTTACTGAACACTCCGAGGCGTACACTAATTTTAACTAAACCACATTAAAATAAGGGTCAATTTAATATATTGTATGAATATCTTTATTTTTCTATCTACAGTTAAAAAAACGCAGCAGTTTTTTTTAAAGATTATGAGACCGATGCAGAGTTGTTGCAAGTAGCAGAAGATTCGTCAGTGGTCCTCCAAGCACTACCCGACCATCCCCTATGGTGAGATAATATTTTAAATACATATTTAGATTATATTTGTCTCAATGTATAACTTTTAAGTATAAAATTGAAGAATATTCTGAAAAAATATTTATTGAGAAATGCAAAGGGAAAAATTTAAATTCACAATTTTTATATGTTTGTATCTACTCAACTAATTTTGTATTGTTTTATTTTTTTCAACTCTGGCACACCCAACCTGATTATGATTTCTGGTGATCCCACGCAACATGACAATGAGAAAGAATGATGGTGTATGACCCTGGCACACTCCACCCAACTTTGATTTCTGATGATGATGCACCAAGCTGGAAGTTTAGTGTACACCAACAAACATATAATGCTACATCATGTACTTATCTTTGTTAGAAGGTCCCATGTCATTGGGAAACTGGAAAGTATTTTCAAGGAAAAGTCAAAAGTAATGTGATGTGATTTACAAATATCCTGCAAGTTGTGTAGGCTTACACGATGGAACTAATCATTCCTTGGATTGGGTTCAATTCCCAAATGACTTGATATAGTATTCACATTTCACTTTTATTTTGGCTTTTTATAGAAGCATATACATAGTTTCATCTAAAAAGTTAATTTTTTTATTTATTTATTTTAACACACTTTTACAGCAGTGGCACATGGGTCCTTAGGTCCCAGTGCGGCATATTACATATTAATTTAAAAATTACATAGTATAACATTCAAATTATTTAAAAAGAACAGTTAAAGGGAGAATCAGATCTATTGGGAGAGACAAATTGCAAGCGACATGTACAGTTGACCTACCAATACATGTACATTCCTTCGGGCTAAAATTAAAATATGATATCTCCCTAAAGATCCATGATACCTGTATGTTATGAACTGGTGAAATTATCAAAATGAGGAAAATTGTTTAAATTCTCCCAAATAAAAATGGTTACCATGAAATTAAAATAGAATGTATTATTGTAAAAATTCTTAAGTTTTTCTCAAATAATACAGCTGAGCTACATGTACTTTGGAATATTTCAATAGAATATTGAAAGCCCATGAAAATAGGCATGACAAGGAATGCTATGAGTCTAAATATTTTGAAACTAAACAATTTTTGTAAAGAGTAACCATCTGGATTTTGCTAGATCTGCTTCTGCCTTTAAATGGTGCTGGGATAAAGTCCCAATGGTGCTTGATTGATGCTTGGCTGTGCTTGGCAGTGCTTGAATCACAGGGTAAGACTGGTTATTAATTGTTTTGATGTCCTTTTGGCTTAAATGAAATAATCCACTGGAAAACACCAGGTAAATTTATTAAATAAATTATTTATTTAATCATATGCACTCAATGACCCCAATGGGGTTTCCCAGGGAATTCCCTCCAAAGGGTGTCAAACTAGCTCAGCGCCAAGACATCCAGGGCTACCAAATGTTGTATATTTAAGTGTCATTAGCTCAAATAATAGTTTTTTAAAGACTATCTACATGATGACATGATAGGGATACTATGAGTTGATGAACCACTGCCAGTTGCCCGGGACCAGTTATCAATGTCAACGAAAAGTCGTACAAAACGTCTGCTCCAATGAGGGGGTATGTTATCACTTATTAATGGTGTAAATTTCACCAATTTAAGGGAAATGATACATAGGGATCTTATATCAATATTGAAATGTAAAATAAGCAACAAAACAGCATGGTTATGGCATATGAGAAGAATTTGTGGGACCTATTCTGAACAATTTTACACTGACTTCCTGTGTGAGAGTAAACCGGAAGTTGATTTTTACTCTCATGCGCAAGAAATGTGCGCAGGAAAATTAAGTGGGTCATCGTGTATTTATTGCTTTGATCGCTAAATTTAGCATGTTTGACGACACATTTATCTCATTAAATTTTTGATCCGTAACATACAGCAATTGGGTCTAAGCAACTTACTTTTAATATTTGTTTTCAATTTGTTAATGTTGGTAGCGGCGGGTAATTTCTGGTCAAGGTCGGATAGTTCAT